TTGTTTTCTGTCATTGAAATCTTATGATACACCAGAGACTGTCGATGAACCTTCTGAAAGTAAGAAATGACTGTTACAATATTTATGTCTGCTGACATCTAGTTGAATTGACAAGCGTGTACAAGACATTAGCATGAAGTTCCGGCAACAATTTTACGGTGTACGTGCAGTTTCTCCACCGAGATATGTTTCACTCTGACCCACTCAGTAGCGTAGCGAGGGGGGGGGGCGGGGGGGGGACATATTTCCGCGGGCGCCGACCTTAGGGGGCGCCAAATGGGTTGGAAAAATAAATTTAAAGGTTAAGGGGGGTGCAAATCGAAAGTTTGAGGGGGGTGCAAATCGAAATATTGAGGGGGGGGGTGGCAAATCGAAAGTTTGAGGGGGGTGCAAATCGAAATCTTGAGGGGGGTGCAAATCGAAAAGTTTGTCCCCGGGCGCCGGGAAGGGTCGCTACGCATCTGGACCCACTTGGTGAAAAACATGGAATTTCACAACAAAAGTGGAAAACCCCGTTGTATGATCCTACTGATTCAAGAGATTATCCCCCTTGTATGATCCTACTGATTCAAGAGATTATACATCATCTTTATTTTAATAATTTTTAACTGGAAAAAAAACCACTTAAATCGAAATTGGACAGTTACTGTTTCAAAATTCAGAAGCAATGATTAAGTAAGAACTATGCAACAATTAGGCTAGTATTAAGTGACGTAATTGTTAATGAACACGTATCAAAATGTGTCGTTACCTAATTATCTGTTTAAAGCTTCTATTGCAGTTGTCGCTTCGGGGGGGGGGGGGGGGCGTCTATAAATAAATCCCTTACCTGACGATTGGGGTGGGGGTAGGAGGGACGAGTGTGAAGCTTCAAATTGACTAGCATACATCTGGTTATCTTTTCAAAGGAATGCGTTGATTTGTAGACTTATGAAGTCACTTGACGGGGGACGCCTGGTTTAGTTTATTTATTTATTTATTGTCGGCTGAATCAAATTAGCAGACGTCATTAATGGACAACGTCCTAAATAAAAGTCTCCTAGTTGCTGGACCGTTACAAAGACGTGCCAAATGACGTCGATTGTAACCCACCGAGGTATCAGATTAAGTCCAGATCTACCATCTCGGCTGACGTAGGAACCACCTCAACACACGATTCACATTCACGGTCTAAATCTAGCTTGGTTTTTTCCCGGATGTTTGTGATTTGGTGGTAAGTTTGTGTCAAACAAATTTTACTTACCAACACCGGCTTTTCCCCGTTGTTATTTTTAGACGAGACGAATTCTTAACTGTAAAGTTAAGTTTACTTGCAAGGAATCCCCAATTTTAGAAGGAGCGGTGACCGCCTTCCTATACCTAGATCGCGATCTACAATATCAGGAACATGAGATCCATAGAACAGGTATTAAATTATCCTTTGTTCTTTTTAAAACCCTTTTTTTCTCGCGACTTTTCAAGTTTTAAAAATAATTTGTTAATGTCACGCTTAGGGGGCTGGGTGTATTCATTGAATTATTGAATTTAAATTCAATCTTCTTTTACATAGCAAGAACCCATATATATATATATATATATATATATATATATATATATATATATATATATATATATATATATATATATATCATCTTGTACAGTGGCGTAGCCAGGATCGTCTCAAGGTGGGGTTCCAATTTTTACCCGGGGACAAACTTTCGATTTACACCCCCCCCCCCCCCTCAAACTTTCGATTTGCACCCCCCCCCCCCTCAAACTTTCGATTTGCACCCCCCCCCCTCATACTTATATATATACCGAGGGGTCTGTAGGGGGTTATGACCCCCCCCCCCCTAACCCCCCCCCCCCTCCCTACGCCACTGATCTTGTATTACAAATGTGACAGAAATATTTTCTCATCTCTTTTATTTATAACCCGGTCTCGCATTCCCTTTCCCATCGTAAAGTTCCTACCATTCTCATCGTCCAAAGCCCTTAAATCTCCTTACTCTCCAGTCATCCTTCCCTCCGCCCCCTCCCCCCCCCCCCCCCCCCCCATCACTTCCCTTTCTACCACATCTATACTTTCAAAAACACCCCTCTTCTTTATGAACCTCGTCATTCAGAACTCTATTCCCCCACATTTCATTCATTCATATCCTCTGTCCTGTGCCATCTTCTGAATTAGACTCCAGGTGTTGGCCAATTTTGTCTTGTGGGTGTCAAGGTCCCAGGTCCAGACGTTTCTTGGTCAACCTCTTGTGCGATATACTCGTGGGTTCCACCTGAATGATTGCCTCAAAACATAAATATATCACTAACATATTTTTTTTATATTTTCTTCACTATTTTTCTAGCGTTTTACTTGCTCTAAACCTTCAACAGTGAACTCGCATCATAGTTACCTCGAAAAGTTACATCGATAGTATGCGCTTAATATTTTTGAAATTCTTAATTTCATGTAATGGTGTAGATGTGTAATATAGACTAAAATTATTTGCCACAATATTCAGGTCCAAATACTTACCTTGTGTTAATCTTATACGGAAGAGAGATGTGTCAAGTAGCTGAGACTGAGTTCACTCAGCTCAAATGGGTTCCCGTCATCTGTATAGACGAATACGTTACAACGTGTTGATATAATGACACGTGGGGGTCAAGTTTCGGGACAACTCGGTCAAGATGTTCATTAAGTTTGCAAAACTTTGAACATGCCTGTGACAAAATGATGCTGGTGGACACTGATTGTGTAGCCCCTACGTCAAAGTTACTCAGCTGTGGGGCTTTTGTTTGAATCCTTTCATCCATAAAAATCGATGCATTTTAGAACACACATGCCTTTCATGTTACACACACACACACACACACATATATATATATATATATATATATATATATATATATATATATATATATATATATATATATATATATATATATATATAATTCGTTCCAGACCTACACACTACCAAACATTTAATGTACTCAAACCAGTGTTTCTTCCAGACTTTCTTCTCCGGGGGGGGGGGGGCACTTGAAATTTTCGGGGGGGGGGGTAGACTTTCTACGGGGGGGGGGGGGCGGACACTGTTAAAAGTATATATTTTCTACATAAATTATATAAATTTCATTTCGTTCGGGGGGGGGGGGGGGTAAAAAAATTTCGGTGAAGCCCCCCCCCCCGAAGAGGTGCCTGGAAGAAACTCTGACTCAAATAAGTCTCTACAACAATACCTATAGTAGCAACTAGACCTCATTCACTTTTACTTTTACCCCCACCAAACCAAGTTAGCAGTTATATATAGCTGTTGTAGTTTTATAACGGATTATCACTATCATTGTGTGTTACATCTAGTGTTTATGTCTGTTGAGGACACACACTACATTGGCTAGAGATAAACTTTGGTATCTTACTTCCTTTTTTACCAGGGCATATGGAGGCCGGGGAATCCCCTAAATTTGGTGACATATATAGACACAAACGTAAGGGGGAAAAACTCTAGCGGTCGCACATTGCTTGTCTAATCACCGGAACGTACCGTTTATCTCTGGGTTGTTTTCTACGGGCTGGTTGCTACAGCGAGTATTTGTTTAAGAAATTGGTGAGTTGCTTTTATTTACGCCGTGTGTGTGTACATACTGATTGAGAGATAAGTCAGGTTGGTTTCATGTGTTGTTCACATCAGTCAATATGTAGTTTATCGGAGGGACTTCTAGTGTCGCTTCTGTATGTGTGTGTGTTTGTATTTTTAAATGATTTTTAAAGTATGGGAACGTATATATCTAACTCATGTATATATATATATATATATATATATATATATATATATATATATATATATATATATATATATATATATATATATATATATATATATATATATATATATATATATATATATATATATATATATATATATACATCTTTATTATGACAGTTTGAAAAAGTCATACGCATATCCGTTTTATTGCATTAACAAAATAAGCGATGTGTGTAAAAAAATCTCAATGCAACCATTGTATTTGTATAGGCTAATTTGTAGTAAGTTAGTCCCGTAGCTTCACTCACATTACAGCTAGAATTGGCAGATATTTCACTGTGTATTTTTCAGAACTTTTCTGTTTATGTTTAGTTATCGTTAAATATAGCGCTATAGATAATCAAACGATTCACTAATAGAATGTTACCGTGTGGCAACTCTGTCAACCTATGTGTATATCCACGCAAATGTACATAAACACACACGTAGAAACACATACATGCTCAAACACACACAAATACACGCACAAAAACACACAGTCACACAGACTTACATAAGCACACAGAAACACAACTTACACAAACACACACATGCTTACACACACACAAACACAAATACACGCACAAAAAAACACAGACATACAAACACACAGAAACACAACTCACACAAACAGACACATGCAAACATAAAACACAGATCCTCAAAAACACACATAAATTGTGTATGTATGTGTAATTATATGAGGAGTCCACTAGCAAAACCTGCTAACTTCACTTTTTGAAGAAAAAAAAGTTACTCCAATAGCCTTCTTAATTAAGTGGCAATTACAGTAGTATACTAATTTTTCTTCAAAAAGGTATACATTAAAATAAATTATGTAAAAGTAAAATATCGAAAACCCTAAGAATATTTAACCAAAAATAATAATTTAAAAGTCGATTTCCTCGAAACACCCATATATATATATATATATATATATATATATATATATATATATATATATATATATATATATATATATATATATATATATATATATATATATATATATATATATATATATATCATGAGTACGAAGAAATTGAATTCATTCATACTGAAGATGGAATTACCCATGTTTTGACGACGTATAACGTATATTTGATCTGCCACAAAGTTAATTATAAACCTTTTGGCTGAAGCAGATCAGTGCCCTATGTTGGTGAATGTAGGGTTCTTTAGCCCCGTTTTTTGCGTGTCACTTATTTAAGGCAGTACGGTAGGTTGGCCGGCTGATCAATAGTACAGCTAGTTCAGGTATTTTACTTCCCTGTGCAACGTGTGGACGTTTAAGAAACTTGATCGTTTTGCCATTTGACATCGTAAGTTCTTGATTTTTTGTTGATTTTTTTTTCTCTTCAATTCTGATTAATGCAGTTATTTATAAAGCAATTCTGATTCATATACATATTTATAGATTTGTGTTTTCTTAATGAAAGTTTTTGAGAAACAAACCACTTTTGTAGTTCTTTCTCAAACACGACCTCATAAGATAGCATAACGTAGGTGTTAGATACTTAAAACTTTTGTAACTCAAGTGCCTTCTGCTTTTTATCTCTGGGTTACTCACTCATTGAGTGATAGCTGTTCTCCGAAAAACAACGCCACCTACATCCGTTTCGTTGTATGAGTAATTTGTTGTTTCTCGCTGCGAATGGGGAAGTCATGAATGTTTCGTCTTTTTAGTTTTTTTTTTTTTCTGTTTATGAATCGGCGTGTGTCCGCTTGAGATCTTTAAACCGTGAACATTCGTATTGTTTCGTCATTTTGTTTTTAAACTTTCTCGTGGTGTTAATACCGCTTTACCGGATTTATATTAGCCAGATCGTGAATGTCCGCGTCTTTTCGCAGTTTTACGAACAAAACATTTCGTTTGCCGTAAGTATCCGATTGCCTTGTGTATTTATTTAGGTCGAGGATGTTTGTCTCTTTAATTTTGTGTGTATTTTTAAACCTCGGCGTGTCTTGGATATTCTAGAGACGAGAGCTGGTGTCCTTGGGACTTGGGAATCTCTGTGTGATCTTGGTACGTTTTAGACATTCGAATCGTTTCTTGTGGTAAGGATATACCGTGTGCGTTCACTTCACTGATATCTATACCTCTATCTTGTGTGTGAATTATGGTACCTCTATGAAGTATGTGTTCTGGTACTTCTATGAAGTATGTGAATTCTGGTACCTCTATGTAGTATGTGAATTTTGGTACCTCTAAGTAGTATGTGAATTCTGGTACCTCTATGTAGTATGTGAATTCTGTTACCTCTATGTAGTATGTGAATTCTGGTACCTCTATGTAGAATGTGAATTCTGGTACCTCTATGTAGTATGTGAATTCTGGTACCTCTATGTAGAATGTGAATTCTCTTACCTCAATGCCGTCTGTGGATTTTAATACCTTTGAGCCGGCTATGGATTCTAATATCTCAAAGTAGTTTGGGAATTTTAGTACCTTTTAGCCATCCTTAAATTTTGATACCTATAATTATATGACATTCATGTATTCTGGTACCTCTATTTAAGTGTGGTTTCTAGTATTTCTATGCCATGTGAATTGACGTGACTTAAATTTTAGTTGCACTATACCATGTGTATGAATATGTCTTTGATTCTAGAACTTTTGAAGTCTGTAATGCTTGCTACTAGCTTTAACATCATGAGCTAATGCATCTACATACGGTTGTTCATGACTGTACATAAAGCTGTTAATGTACATTGTAAATGATGCTGTTCATTTACGTAATGGTATTCATGTACATGACGTTGTACATGTACATGATGTTGTACATGTACATGTTGTACATGTACAGGTACAGTACACAGCTAGTCTGTAGAGTCATGTGTCTACGCTTAACGAACAGTAAAGTGTTGAATTGGTTAATCACTACATGACGACTTTGATCTTATAAGAACCTGTATGATCGTACACAAAAAAAACACGATAATGTATTACAAGTAACTTGCTAGACATGTACACAGCTATCAGATCAAAGATAACATCGAACATTAAAACATGCCGAGACAGTCATATAGTTTCATAACGGTGAGGTCTAAGACAGGTAGACGTGTTGCCCACGTGTACAGCAGGTAGGTGTGACCTGGCTAGGACGACGGTGTTAAAACAACACACATGCATTGTTCAACCCTTTTGTCAGCTCGTTTTTTGACATCCGTGACCTGCTCTTGTTTTAGTGAGATGTAAAGGGAGAGAAAAAAATATGTGGCGTTGTCTCCCTTTGTTGACTCGTATTTTTTATTTTTTACCTTTTTTTTTAAGCTGGTTAGCTAAGACGTTACACATTCATCATTTGCGCTCGTTAGTTTAACTTTTTATTTTTCACATTGCCTGTTAAAAAAAATACATGAATTTTAATAATATAGTTTTTTTGTGTGTAAATAACCCATTGTCTTTTTTATTATTGAAAAAAAAGTATATGATGTCTTATCCTATTTTCAGTACCACGGCGTACTTGCAATGAAATTATTCTTTCATGTGGTTTTTTTTTTTTCAACATTACTTTGTAGCATGTTTTAGTTATATAAGAGTAATGAATACAGTCTTTTTATTGTCTACGTGTTATTTTCAGATGAAGGAGTAAATACATAGATCATCCACTTACCGTGACTGACCGATGAGCTCAAGTCAGGATTGGTCAGGATTGGTCATCTTTGTGATAAAGAATAGAACATCGCTGTGTTAAACACAAGCCTGTTATTTGCGCACCAAATTTGTCAGCACAAGTGCGCAACGACAGCCACTCTCGTTCAAGAGTTTAGAAAAAAACTTCAACATTTATTTGTTGGTTAACACGTGCTTTTACTCAAGCGGATCTATTCGTATTTTAAACAAACACGCACATACGTTTTGGATTATTTTATTCACTTCCAACCACTTCCCCGAAAATGTGATGGATAATTGTATGTATTCCGGAATAGTTTAGCTGTTTTTGTTTGAAGTAAACTGTGGTCTGACAAAGGGAGAGAATGAGTGACTACAGTTTCAGGGACATCACAATCCTCCATGCTGACCAGGACGTGGAGTGGTGCAAGTACCTGGAGGGGAACTTCCGGCTGGACAAGCTCAAGCTCCACACACTCAACGTGGGACAGTTGTGCTACAACAACCCGCCAGGTGCGTCGTCAGGTAGTGCCTGAGGCGTAGCGATAGGGGGGGGGGCAGGGGGGTACATATGTCCCCGGGCGCCGACCTTAGGGGGCGCCAAAATGGGTTGTAAAAAACAAATTAAAATGTCATCTTAGCTGCATTTTTGCAGTTTGAGGGGGATGGGGGGTGCAAATCGAAAGTATGAGGGGGAAGGGGGGTTCAAATTCAAAATTTGCTCCTGAGGGGGGCGCCTAATTGAAAGTTTGTCCCCGGGCGCCGGGAAGGGTCGCTACTACTCTGGGTAGTGCCGACTTAGTTTTAGGGTTGAGTGAGCAAACGCCGAGGGGGCCTTGTGATAAGTTTATATTATTTCTAAAGCTCAACTTGCTTGATAGATTTATTGATAATCAAAGTTCCGTTATAAATGTTAGTAAGATAGTCTTCGAGGAGTCGACGATCAAGTTTGTTTTCTTGCCCAGGTATTTTTGATAATATTTAAGGGTGTTTAACACACACAATAAAAACCACTAGAATGGTGCTTAACGATATGAAATACGTCGTGAAATATTAAAGTAAAGAAATATTTTGTGATGGTTTTAGCTATACATGCGTGTTGAGGATTTGATAATGTCGTAGTCTTTATCCAAATCTTAAGCTGACTCATTACATAAAGAAAACAGATAAATATATAGACTATTCGGCTAAGAAACAACTATTACCTTAAGATAATTATCTGGCTCAAGAAAATTAAACGTAATTGTTTACCATTGTAAATTGCTTAAATAATTGTAGGGATATGCTGAAGCATAAACAGAAACTATAATTTTTTAGATTAGAATATATATTATTTCTTCATATTTTAAATCATCCTTATAGTTAACGTGGTTTTTTCTTAACTTAACCTCTTTGACCCCTGTCGTGTACAGAGATCGAGGTGGCCGTGAGAGAGTCCTACGTGGTGATGCTGCTGGTCACCAGCAACTTCCTCACCTACATGGAGAGCAAGGTCGACTGGTTCGAGCCCATGCTGAGGAAGCGGGACAGCGAGGTGACCACCGTCGTGGCGGCTCTCGTGGACATCGACAACTTCCCGGAGGAGATGGGCAAGCTGCCGTACAAGGATGAGAGCCGGAACTCGTGGGCTGTCATTGAGGTAGGTTGAGTCGGGGGGGGGGGGGCGTCTAGGGTTTGGACTTCTGTACAAAGGTTAAAGGCTAACTCGTGGACTGTCATCGAGGTAGGATGAGTCGGTGAGGGGGGGGGGGTCTAGGGTTTGGACTTCTGTACAAAGTTAAAGGCTATCTCGTTGGCTGTAATTAAGGTTGGGTTAAGTCAGGGGGGAACGTCTAGGGTAAGAGTTAAGCCTACCATGCAAGGATAAGAACCTAAATTGTGGACTGTTAATGAGGTAGGGTTAAGTCGGTGGGGGAGGGGGGGGGGGCATGTGGGGTTAGAGTTAGGTCTACCGTGCAAGGATAAGAACATAAATTGTGGACGGACATTGAGGTAGGGTTAAGTATGTGGGTAACTTTTAGGGTTAGGGTTAGATCTTCTGTACAAAGGTTAAATGCTAATTCGTTTGCTGTCATTGAGGATGAGTAAAATCTGGATGTAAGGTCTATAACATAATATGTGCAGAGTCGTAGAATCAGTAAAGTGACTAGATTTAATGTTGGAGTTAGGTTTATTGTTTTTCTAAGGGTCTGATATAAACATTGGCTGTTCGTTTTGAACAGCTTAAAGGCGTTAGCAGAGTACCTATACATATACGTATACATATACATATACGTATACATTTAGAATCAAAGGAAACGAAGTAGCTTTTTTTTAATAAAAAAAAAGATGTTTACGGTTTTAGAAGATTGTTAATTTGGTGTTTTAGATTGACGTTCAAGGTAGAAATATAAAAGAATGTATCACACAAATATTAGAAATACTAGACAAAAATTCCAGCAAAAGAAATGAAAGATCGAGGAAAGTCAGCGAACATCGAGCTGTGGATTTCGAGATGATTCCATCATCCATACAAGGGGTGAGTGGTTTTTTTATATCACACCCATTTTTATTGGTACAGAGTGATGAAGTTATGGGCTTTGCTTAGATTTTCATACATTTTCTTGTTTTTATTACCCCCTTCGTCGTTTTACTGTATATTTTAAATACTTGAGTATATGTGTTAGTCTTTACCACAGGGGCGTGGGGCACCACTTAGAGTTCACTGATTGGCGGTGTTAATCTCAATAAAACAAATCCCCTGCTTGTAAACCCCAGTAGTCAATTTATAATGAACTAACTGGATTAATTTTAAAGTTTTCATCTCTGGCCTATGTAATTATTTTAATCCACTGTTGAGCGATTCTCAGTCAGTTCTTCAGGGTGTTTAATGATAAATCCCAGGTGGCCTTAATTTACCTTCAACACTGGGTAAAGATCATCACCATACTTCATCCATGTTCAGCGATTTCCTACTTTCTCTTTTACCACCTCCCGCAAACAGAATGACACCAAAAACCTTTTCGGGGTGCCAGAAATATTTTTAAAAAAAAGGATGATGGATTTAATAGCTTGTTAGATTTTTTAAAGTAATCGGAAAAATGTATTTTTAAAAAAATCTATAACTGTCATAGATTTTGATTTACGTCTATTTGTCTTTTCGCAACAACTATCAGACAATGCTTATGTGTTGGTTTTATTGCAACAACTATCAGACATTGAGTATGTGTTTGTCTTATTGCGACAACTATCAGAGACAATTTGTTTTACACCGACTTGCCATTTTCCCCCCACACCCAGCCAGGAGAGAAGGTAGCCATCTTGTTTCACGAGGAGATGAAGGGCACTGTGACCGTGAACATACCTGGCGTTAAAACTGATATTCCTGTCAAGGTTGTCAACCCTTATAGCGTCACCTTTATAGTGCCAGGTAAGACTTCCTGGAATATTTGAAACGTCTATTATTTTTTTAAATAAACAGCATAGTAAACAGCATTATAGTTCATGTAGTTTAAATTCACTTAAGTAAAAAAAAAAAAGATTCCCCATTAAACCTAATGATCCAACTGGGCAGATAAAGTAGAGTTTATAAGTTTCTTGACCTCCGCATATAAAGGGATATTTACTTTTCCTAACTTAAGTTAGGTACCCATCAAAGATGTGTGGACTCAATGATTTCAACTGACTTGAACCCCGATTCGAACTCGAGACTTTCGAGTCAGCAGTCTATTGCTCTACTGCAAGGCCACACCGGCCCTTAACTTCATTTCGTACTCTGGTTTAATGAGTTAATTATTGCAATTACAGCTTTGATCTAAAAGTTGCTATATTCTGAGCTGTATAACTTAACGACATAATTTCAGACGTTGTTAAGGATAAGGTTGCTATATTCTTAGATGTATAACTTAACAACATAATTTCAAATGTTGTTAAGGATAAGGTTGCTATATTCTGAGATGTATAACTTAACTACATAATTTCAAATGTTGTTAAGGATAAGGTTTCTATATTCTGATAACTTAACGACGTAATTTCAGATGTTGTTAAGGATAAGGTTGCTATATTCTGATAACTTAACGACGTAATTTCAGATGTTGTTAAGGATTAGGTTGCTATATTCTGATAACTCAACGACATAATTTCAGATGTTGTTAAGGATAAGGTTGCTATATTCTGATAACTTAACGACGTAATTTCAGATGTCGTTGTTAAGGATAAGGTTAGAGTCCAGGTCAACGTGGACGGAGTGAAAATAAAACGTGTCACTCTCCTCAACAAGTCAATGATGTACCACCTGACCAGGTGAGTTGCTCACACGCACATCTTTGGTGATAATCTCACTCGTCACGTGATATATTCACGTTAATGTGTAGATAAGGCTCATTCAAATTCGTGACCTACTAGTCTATATTTGTAAAAACTCAAAGTCAATACATATTTCAATTGTCAGAAAATTTTATTTTGAATTTATAATACATACAGCTTATTCAAGAAATTGCTTTTATATAATTACGTACTTCACTTAAGGTCAAAATTATGAGTCTTTTAGATATAGTCGGACCAAATTCTAAACAACAGCTCGTTTATTATAATATGAGATTGCCTTACACGCCAACACATAAACTAAGCTAATCTACGTTTTAACAATTCGGCTTTTATGAGTAAAAACAATTAATGTCGAGTTGTTAGCGCAATTTCCATTCTGGAGAATTGCGTTTATTAACCCGTCATTTCTGGATGGATGGATGGATGAATGTATGGATGTGTGTCCGCAGCTTTAAGTCGTATCTCCTCCTCAACGAAGCAATATCGATGACTAGTTACAAAAACAATTATGTTAAGCAAGTTACGAGGATGAACATAGGCCATAAAAATTCCGGGTTTCTTTCATGGATTTCCCGGAAAAGCCAAAAAACCTCGAAAAAATGCAGTTTTTGGCCCATATCTCGGCAACAAAGACCACTTAGCGACTTGAAACATGTACCAATCGATTCCTGCCATAATTTAGAACAATATTGCCGAAGAAAGTTTTCAAAAATATCCTTTCGTTTGGTCACAACATTTTTTTGGAATTAATTAAAATTTGGACCGAATTAGTAGGCATTTTATGCAACCACACCACACGCGTCATCACGTTCAATAGCTGCGCCATCACGTTCAATGGCTGCGACGTCACGTTCGGTAGCTGGGCGCGCAATGGTTTTTAGTCATGTTACTCTATTGTAAATAAAACATGTAAAATACTAAAAAAAAATTAATAAAAAACGTTTTAATAACTAACCAATGGTTTTACTAACCCTGCTCTTGATTTACGCTACGACAGAGCTATTTTTAGATAACACAAGGAAATTGCGCTAAAATTGTCACTAGACTTTTTTTAATTACTTGTTTTGTTTTTTAATTCATTGTGTAGCCTACAATTTCCTAGTAGTAGGTATAGATATTGTATGTTAATTTATTAACTCATCATGTCTCACCCCCCACCCCCACTCCCCAGTATTGAGTTTATGTATTTAACTCATCATATCCCTCCCTACTCCCCAGTATTGAGTTTATGTATTTAACTCACCATATCTTCCCCACTCCCCAGTATTGAGTTTATGTATTTAACTCACCATATCCCCCCTACTCCCCAGTATTTGAGTTTATGTATTTAACTCACCATACCCCCCCCCACTACCCAGTAATGAGTTTATGTATTTAACTCATCATACCCCCCCCACTCCCCAGTATTGAGTTTATGTATTTAACTCATCATATCCCCTTACTCCCCAGTATTGAGTTTATGTATTTAACTCATCATATCCCTCCCTACTCCCCAGTATTGAGTTTATGTATTTAACTCACCATATCTTCCCCACTCCCCAGTATTGAGTTTATGTATTTAACTCACCATATCCCCCCTACTCCCCAGTATTTGAGTTTATGTATTTAACTCACCATACCCCCCCCACTCCCCAGTATTGAGTTTATGTATTTAACTCATCATACCCCCCCCACTCCCCAGTATTGAGTTTATGTATTTAACTCACCATACCCCCCCCCCCACTCCCCAGTATTGAGTTTATGTATTTAACTCACCATACCCCCCCCCCCACTCCCCAGTATTGAGTTTATGTATTTAACTCACCATATCCCCCCTACTCCCCAGTATTTGAGTTTATGTATTTAACTCACCATACCCCCCCACTCCCCAGTATTGAGTTTATGTATTTAACTCATGTGCCCCCCCCCCCCACTCCCCAGTATTGAGTTTATGTATTTAACTCACCATACCCCCCACTCCCCAGTATTGAGTTTATGTATTTAACTCACCATACCCCCCCTACTCCCCAGTATTGAGTTTATGTATTTAACTCATCATATCCCTCCCATTCCCCAGTATTGAATTTATGTATTTAACTCACCATACCCCCCCACTCCCCAGTATTGAGTTTATGTATTTAACTCATGTGCCCCCCCCCCCCCCCACTCCCCAGTATTGAGTTTATGTATTTAACTCACCATACCCCCCCCCCACTCCCCAGTATTGAGTTTATGTATTTAACTCACCATACCCCCCACTCCCCAGTATTGAGTTTATGTATTTAACTCACCATACCCCCCCACTCCCCAGTATTGAGTTTATGTATTTAACTCACCATATCACCCCCCCCCCCCCCCACTCCCCAGTATTGAGTTTATGTGCCAGAGCTACGGCGTCGCCTCCAAGGAGGAGCTAGACCGGAAGTTAGCAGACAACTTCAACAAGAGCCTGTGTAATGATGGTTGTGCTAAACAGGTGCTGGACGACGTCATGGGCAATTCTTCTACAGGTGAGAATCGTTTTCAACCACGCTTTACCTGTGTGTCTACATGAGCATTATAATATTTGCTCAACATATCAAAAATAATTACAAATTAATTTGAAAATGAATAAAGTGTTAATAAAGCATTATAACATTTGCTCAACACGTTAGACACTATCAAAAATAATTACCAAAATCTATTTTAAAAATTAATAAAGTATTAATTAAGCATTATAATATTTGTTCAACATGTTAGAAACTATAAAAAATAATTACCAAATTAATTTAAAAAATGAATAAAGTTTAATTCAGCATTTTAAAATAAATTTTGAAACATTTTTTTTCTTATTTTTTTTTTTGTGTGTTAAGTTAATAAAGAAAAAAAGTTTCGACTTTTATGTTATTAATCAGAGCCGCGGACATAGCATCGCCATACACAAAGTTTTTTCATATAAAAATAGCTCGTAATCTGATCCGTTGTCTAGCAATACAAAGGTCTGGTTAACTACAATACAAAGGTCTGGTTAACTACAATATAAAGGTCTGGTTAACTACAATACAAAGGTCTGGTTAACTACAATATAAAGGTCTGGTTAACTACAATACAAAGGTCTGGTTAACTACAATACAAAGGTCTGGTTAACTACAATACAAAGGTCTGGTTAACTACAATACAAAGGTCTGGTTAACTACAATACAAAGGTCTGGTTAACTACAATACAAAGGTCTGGTTAACTACAATACAAAGGTCTGGTTAACTACAATACAAAGGTCTGGTTAACTACAATATAAAGGTCTGGTTAACTACAATACAAAGGTCTGGTTAACTACAATATAAAGGTCTGGTTAACTACAATACAAAGGTCTGGTTAACTACAATACAAAGGTCTGGTTAACTACAATACAAAGGTCTGGTTAACTACAATATAAAGGTCTGGTTAACTACAATACAAAGGTCTGGTTAACTACAATACAAAGGTCTGGTTAACTACAATACAAAGGTCTGGTTAACTACAATACAAAGGTCTGGTTAACTACAATATAAAGGTCTGGTTAACTACAATATAAAGGTCTGGTTAACTACAATACAAAGGTCTGGTTAACTACAATACAAAGGTCTGGTTAACTACAATACAAAGGTCTGGTTAACTACAATATAAAGGTCTGGTTAACTACAATACAAAGGTCTGGTTAACTACAATACAAAGGTCTGGTTAACTACAATACAGAGGTCTTGTTAACTACACCGAAATGACTGAACCTAATATTCTCGTAGACCTCTGACCCTTCTAATAATAAACACAGCCCCTTGTCCTCGTCGTCCCCCCCACCCCCCCCCCCCACCCCCCCACCCCCCCCCCCCACCCCCCCCCCACCCCCCGTCAACTTTCCTGTCTGCCGCAGCAAAAAAACAGTTCGAATAGAGAGTTCACTTCCTTGTAGAATCTAGTGCTATCACAAAGCTAGCTAGACTTGGCTTCAACATCGGCTTCAAAAACAGGCTATCTCCTTCCTTATTTTTTATTTCTAATTGAACGAGTCTACACTGGATATTATGAAGGTATAAATAATAAACCTTTTCACTGGGCACGCATTCATATCTATCTGTGACATTTTGTTGTCGCCAAGCGTGGTATCAAAAGGCCGACGTTACTGGCACGCATATAAAACAGACCAGCGGTTCTCATGTTTCAGTCTCATGGTCTCAGAATGGTAGATTAATTGTGCTCGCGGTCCTCATATATATGACGACAATTACAAAGTTCTAAATATATTTACAATTAATCTAGGTGTATCACTTAATTAAGAAAACAACTTTTTATTGCACGATTATTACCCCTACCCCTACACTGCTTATTCCCCTTTGTATTGATTAATCATAATTGTATACAAGGCTACGATATTGCAACTTTGATGAGTTGGTTTGCTAACTCGAGAGACTCGAGTTTGATGCCGGAATTGAGTCCGCTCAGTTCTGCCAGCTCTGATGAGTACCTGATTTCAGTTCGGGGGAGACAAGGTACTGAACTAGTACCGTCCACTCGACCCAATCAAATGCCGAACCCGCTAGAGAACTTTATTCGCATATCCTATTGACCTTAATGTCCGAAATATTACTTTTTTTTAACTTGTACTAATTAAGGTATGTTTTATATGCAGTGTTAACCACAATTGCAAGTCAGTAATATTATATTTTGAAAAAAAAACAAGTTAATAAAAAGTCTAGTGACAATTTAAGCGCAATTTCCTTATGTTATCCATAACAATTTTTAATTTTTAATTTTTTGTAAATATCATCCTATAAATATAAACTCCTACACGATGCTCAGTTTAAATCATCCTAGGCCTACACGATGCTCAGTTTAAATGTTCTTAATTAATTTTTTGTGACCGAACGAAAGGATATTTTTGAAAACTTTCTTCGGCAATATTGGTCTAAATTTGGCAGGAATCGATTGGTAAATGTTTCAAGTCGCTAAGTGGTCTGGTTGCCGAGATATGGAGCAAAAACTGCATTTGTTCGAGGGTTTTTTGGCTTTTCCGGCTTTTCCGGGAAATCCAGGAAGGAATTCCGGGAATTTTTTTGGCCCACAATCATCGTCGGAACTTGCTTAACATATTTGCTTTTGGAACTAGTCCTCGATATTGCTTCGTTGAGGAGGAGATACGACTTAAAGCTGCGGACACACATCCATCCATCCATCCATCCATCCATCCATCCATCCATCCATCCATCCATCCATCCATCCAGAAATGACGCATTATTAAACGCAATTGCCAGTATGGAAATTGCGCTAAAAAACGTACAACTTAAATAACATTTGTGCTAAATGCAGCACTTACCACAACAGCAAGTCCAAAATATTACTTTTTTTCCGAAATATTTTTTTCCAAGATATTACTTTTTCTCCGAAATATTACTTTTTTTTTTTTAAACCTGTACAACTTAAAAACCATTCAAGGCAACATTAATCAAAACAGATGGTCTGAAATATTATTATTTTTTAAACCTTCACAAAATAAACACCATACGACGTGTGTTGTAGGCAGCATCGACAACAACAGCAAGTCCAAAATATTACTTTTTTTTACCCCCGAAATATTAAATGTTCCTTAAAAAACTTGTACAACTTAAACACCATTCTAGGCAGCATCGACCACAACAACAAGTTCCCCACCATCCTGCACTGGGCGGCCGCCAATGGCCTCAGTGAGTTCTGCTCGGCCCTGCTGTCGTCTGTTGGCTCGGTGGTCGCCTGCGGGATCGTCAACTGTGAAGGTCGTGACCCCGCCGACCTTGCCAGGATCAACAATCACCACGAGCTCTACAGTCTGCTTGTTGATTTCGCTGTGAGTAGTCTGTTAAGCTTTACCAAACGTCTTTGTGAGTAGTCTGTTTAGGTTTACCAAACGTCTTTGTGAGTAGTCTGTTTAGGTTTACCAAACGTCTTTGTGTTGTGTGGTTAAAAAGTTACGAGCTGACATGTAGGTGACGGGTCAACCATTTTAACCAATCTTTCTTGGCATTTCCAATGCTTTGTTTAAAATTAATTCCAGTTTCAGTTTTAGCTGTATTTTTATACCTAACAAAAAGCAAATTTAAAAAAGATAATGCTTTGTTAATTAACCTTAATTAATTAGTTTTGTCGTTTGTTATTCAGAGAGAAAGTGAATTTTTTAAGGTGAGAATTTTTGCATGAAATTTGCTTTGAGGGGGTTACCCGGGCCCTGTTCTTTAGTGGTGGTTCTTTGTCTGGGCCAGTATACCATTATATACTGGTGTCTTGGTCAGTATACCACTATACACTGGAGTCTCTGAGTCAGTATACCGCTATACACTGGTGTCTCTGTCAGTACATCACTATACACTGGTGTCTTACACATTTATTTCTCTACTTTTGAGTCACAGCTATATACTGGTGTCTCTGAGTCAGTATAACACTATACACTGGTGTCTCTGTCAGTACATCACTATACACTGGTGTCTTACACATTTATTTCTCTACTTTTGAGACACGGCTATACACTGGAATCATCCTACCGCTGTACACTAATCACTGCTACACATACAAGTTATATGCTGAAGGGCGACATCTATACCTCCTCCAACTATTACACTACTAAGCAAACAAGTTATATGCTGAAGGGCGACATCTATACCTCCTCCAACTATTACACTACTAAACAAACAAGTTATATGCTGAAGGGCGACATCTATACCTCCTCCAACTATTACACTACTAAACAAACAAGTTATATGCTGAAGGGCGACATCTATACCTCCTCCAACTATTACACTACTAAACAAACAAGTTATATGCTGAAGGGCGACATCTCTACTTCCTCCAACTATTACACTGCTAAACAAACAAGTTATATGCTGAAGGGCGACATCTCTACCTCGTCCAACTATTACACTACTAAACAAACATGTTATATGCTGAAGGGCGACATCTATACCTCCGCCAACTATTACACTGCTAAACAAACATGTTATATGCTGAAGGGCGACATCTATACCTCCGCCAACTATTACACTGCTAAACAAACATGTTATATGCTGAAGGGCGACATCTATACCTCCTCCAACTATTACACTGCTAAACAAACATGTTATATGCTGAAGGGCGACATCTATACTTCCTCCAACTATTACACTACTAAACAAACAAGTTATATGCTGAAGGGCGACATCTATACCTCCTCCAACTATTAATCATTGTGTGTGGAGGACCCTAATCCTTTGTTTATATACAAACAAAGGCATGCGTATCTGATTATTTGCTTAAACAGCACCAGAAGTGGTGTATACGAATGTGGTCACATATGGCGTGGTGTCTACAACTGTGGTTACATCTGACTGTTTAGAGATGATTTTCTAACTCTGTATGCGATTATATAACCTCTGTTAAAACGTTCTTTTTGTCAATCACGTACCTCTCTCTCTCCTTTTTCTCTCTTTCTTTTTGCATCATCTCTTCAAGTTCTTCCTCTTTCCTCGCCCACTTGCTTCTCTATTTCCTCTCTATTTCCTCTCTATTTCCCACTTCCCTCTCTATTTCCCACTTTCTATCTCACCCATTTAGTAGGCTGACATATCACAATATAATGCGTTATGTTTTTATTGATACAACGTATCTCCTTATATATTCTCTTACCTTTTGATTAGCCACACATGTATGTTAACATAGCTTGTATTGTCCATAACGAAACATTAACCATAGACCATAAGATAACTCAAATCTTAACCTAAGGTTTAGTTTCGCAACTATCGAGTTTCGCTGTTCGATCAGGTAGGTGCGGCTAATCCAAAACATACAACAGAATAAATATGCATGTTGCCTGCACATCTTTGTTACACAGGACTTTAAAAATATTCTCATTTATTGCATGTCGCTCATGTTCTAAGGTGTTCAGTTATAAATGACATCACGTTTATTTTTGGACGATGTTTAAAACACTCCCCACCTTCCCCCTTCTTCATAATGCGTTACAAAAAAAAATCGTACTCCGCCCTCCCCTAAACGACACCGCACTTTAGTCGAAACATCTCAAATTCTGTTGCAAAAATGAATTCATTAAAATCACAAATTTGAAGTCTAAATGTATCCCCCCACCCCCACCCCCAGCCCCTTCTATACACCGCGTCAAACATCATAACAGAAGTCATGAGCTTTTGTGTGAGCTTTAATTTAATGACGTCACTATTCTAAGTTCAAACAATCCTAGATTTGAGACAAGAACAATTTTCAGCTAGCCACATTATTCAGACATTCACATTATTCAGACAGCTACATTTTCCAGATTTTTCGATTTGTTTTAAACAATGCCATTTTTTAGAAAATCTAATTTTTCAGATAGTCCCATTTTTAAGACAACCCCATTTTTAGACAATCACACTTTTCAGATACTCAAGACAACTTTTGCACTTGTAAAAACGCGAATTTTGAGGCTTTAAATAAAATGTAACTTCCAAATCTTAAGACACAGAAATCACCACAAAGAACTTGTTATTTGAAAAACTGTAACACCGTGGAACACGGATGTTATATTTTATGCCAGGTTAATTAATTAAGCATACGACCATTAAATTCTCAAAGATCAAAAGCGTTAAACCATATCATTCTTGTTATCGTCTTCACAGAAACAGGAACTACTTCTCATATTTAAATTCTCAATTTTTGTATACCCCATTTACAGAAAAAAAAATTTCTAGAATTGGGCAAAATCAATTATTGTTGTTTATAATTCATTTTAAAAAGTTAAACTTATAATTATTAATAATAAATTTATTTAAAAAAGATCTTTGGATGAAATTGATGAAAGTTAATTTTTTTTTTTTTTGGTATTTATAGGAAACAAAAGAGATGGCTGATACATGTGATTTATACGTCAAGTATTGCTCGCAAGCCACAGGTAACTATGATACTGTCCGACTCTTACTTAGGTGATCTTACAATCACTTACACTCTGACTGATCCATAGTTTGTCGAAATACGTAAATTAACAGAATTCAAGATAAAGCATGCGCTTTTAGTTTTCAAAAAAAAAAAAAAAGTTGGATGTTGTGCTTAGGTTGGTGATTTATATATATATATATATATACATATATATATATATATATATATATATATATATATATATATATATATATATATATATATATATATATATATATATATATATATATAATTTGGTACTTTTGATTGGCTTAGCAATTATTTTTAATTTCTCCGTTTTAGGACAGAAAAGACAAAATAGCCAGGATGACAATTACGTGTTTCCAAGTGAGTCTAATTAAGTAATGATGTAATGATGTATGATTATGTAATGATGTATTGATGTATAGTTATGTAATAATGTATTTATACACAGAGCAGGCAGGTTCAAACTGTCTGATACAACTGCGCCGATCTAGTCTTTTTTTTGTGTTAAAGACAATTTTAAAATTAACCAGAACTCTATATTGTGCGCATAGTTCTGTATTGTTGTTGTTTTGTATTGATGCAACAGTAGAGTAAGATCCAATGTGTTCGTGCAGCGATTGTTTCATTTTAAAATGACCTGTAGTGAAATGATATTCTGAAGTGGATTTACAGCAATCTATGATATTGCAGTAACACCATGTGTGTGGGTATACCACAAAGGTGTGTTATAAAATGATGGTGTTGTATTATAAAATAGATTTATGTTCATGCATCTTGCTATGCCTGTGTGATGTTTTGTAAATCACAATGCTGCCTTGTAAAATAGTTGTAATTTGATACATTCTCCAGCTCCAGAAGGAGAGGATATCTACGAGATCATGACGCCCAGCCACACCCCTAAGCCGGCCTTACCACCTCCCCCCAACTTCAAACCTGCTGTTAAACCTTTTGGACCTCGTCCCTCGCCACCCCCGGGGAATTCTGAGCCACCAAAAATCACACCACGGAAACCTTCAGGTAAGTCGATGTGTTAATGAACATAAAATAGTGGTGGGAAGCGAGTGGTGGGGGGGGGGGGTGGAGAGTAGACTACATGAAACAAACAAGGCAGCAAAAAAAAAATACATTAAGTCTACTACTCAATTTTATCACCACCATTTCTGTGGACTCCTGGTGGAGCATAAGGACGCAACCACACCTCTCCATCGTTCTGGGCGATTCCTCCAAGTTGGATCCATATCATTCCAACTGCTTCTGCTTCAGTGACAGCTGACCTTTTCCAAGTTTGTTTTGTCCTACATACCAGTGGCGTAGCTAGGGGGGGGGGGGGGCAGCCTCGGGCACCGACCCTAAGGGGGCTCCAAAAGGGGTAAAAAAATTAAAAAGCTCAAGTTGGGGTATTGAATTATACACAGTTAAAGTTAAGAAAGTAAAAGGCTACATGGCTTTACACACAGATTTCAATGTTCTCTACATCAATCGTGTGCCACAACGATAAAAAAAAAACCTTTACGGGATGGATAGTAACTGGTAAAAACGCCACCAACACTCCAAACTAGGAGGGGTAGGGGGCGCTTTTCACCGACTTGATTAACTATATATATATATATATATATATATATATATATATATATATATATATATATATATATATATATATATATATATAAATGGGCGGGTTGAGGGAGAAAAATTGATAGTTCGTCCCGGGCGCCGGAATGGGTCATTACGCTTCATAATTTCCTTGGGGATGTTATCTAGTGATGTTGCTAGTAATGCTAGTTAGTTTACGCAAGGTGTAAACTACTACATTTAGCACCTATAATTTACAATTAGAATTGCGATGTAATTTTTTTAAATGCCATGAGTTTATATATAAGAATTATATTTTTAACTAAGCTCAATTTATTTCAAATTGACAGATCAGACGCTTGAAGATACCCAGGACAGTGAGTACGTTGTACCAGGTCAGTTTTGATGTATTGTTTACATATGATTGACATATGTGTTGATGTTTTTCTCTAACACTAGATGTTAACTTAACTAGTTTCGGTTCATAGAAGAAAGGCAGTGGTAGGGTGTGACATGAAATTCACATTGTCCCATAACTCAAGGCTGTCGTTAGATCCTTGTTTATAGTTTGGCGTTTACCTTTTTGCCTGTGAATGTGTACATTTTAAAGGTGCATAACTCAAACGTGCATTGATAAGAGTAGTCTCCCCTTTTACCCAACCTACTTTTTGTGACAGCGGTTCCAATGATGTCCCATCTCAAACTTATCCATTGATTTTTTTTTTTTGTTAGTTAGAAAGATATTGAAATTTACACACGCCCAGTTTGTTTCGTTCTCAGTGCTATTTCCTGACAATATGAGATAACTTTTTTAACTAGCGAAAGAAGGGAGTGCCAACCTTTTTTTTTTTTGACTAATTAAAAAAAAAAATTATTTTCATGAAAAAATTTGTTTGTGCACTAGACTCAATTTTTTATTTTATTTCTGATGATTTAAATGACAGAAACTAAATTTTAAAGTGTTTCATTAAGACATTCTAATGAATAATTTCAAGAGCCTCATTAATTAATTAATTTCAATGCGTGGAAATTGATTAGCACTGCACATAGGGCAACACAAGCAACAGGCTGGGAACCGCTGGCCTAAGAACCATTTGAAACAGCTTTGTAACAACTACTGTTTAGTTAGCATATGATTTCGAACCCAATTTGTTTTACAAGCCAAAAAAATTTATTTGAAATATTTCAACAGATAGCCCTCTTAAAAAAGCTATTCCGTCACCCAAACAGTTTTTACAGACATCGATCAGTAAGTTCAACAACTTGGGAACTGAGCTTACAGTTCTAACACGCATGCTGCCTATATACTAACATTAAAGCATTAAAAAGTCCTTGTACACTGGATTGTATTAGCCTTGCTTGTAAATTCACAATACTTCTATTTCTGGTCAAGCTTAAAGCAGAAGTATAACGCGTTGTATCTTACAGAGTGGAGTGGCGTCACTAGGTGGGGTGTCACCCGGTGCGGTCCACACCCCCACCTTATAATATGACTTCATTGGGGGTGTAATGTGAGCAGAGGCGTAGCGACCCTTCCCGGCGCCCGGGGACAAACTTCCAATTTGGCGCCACCCTCGGGGGCAAATTGTCGATTTGCACCCCCTTTCAAACTATCGATTTGCACCCCCTCCTCAAACTTTCGATTTGCACACCCCCCCCCCCCCTCAAACTACTTATAATGCAAAAATGCAGCTAAAATGACATTTTAATTTGTTTTTACAAACCATTTTGGCGCGCCCTAAGGTCGGCGCCCGGAGACATATGTACCGCCTGCCCCCCCCCCCCCCATCGCTACGCCTCTGAATGTGAGATGATGCGGCGGAAGTTAAGGCTTGGGTTGAGCTATCGTTATCACGGATACTGATTCAAAATATCGAGTAGTTTTTTGTTTCAGCTTAACAGGGAACTATTAAAACAAAACAAACATTTTTATTCCTTACGCAATTTATTTTTTAAGAAAAAAAAACACATTCCTGTTAAAATTTTAATTTGATAGTGTACTTGAAAGAAAAACAATGCTTCATTCAAATTATTGTATAAGTGGCCTTAAGTGACTTTAAGGGCTGACACGGTGTCGTAGGGTTAGAAACCTCCCCCCCACCACCACCCCCATACAAAATCCTTTCTACACTACTGGACTTGTCTCACTTAACAAGAACTCTGTTGTAAGGTAGTTAAAACATTAATAACAGTGGGTGTAATCTAGGATATTCCGTGCGGTCAGTTTTATAAATTTACACATTGGCGGATTTGGCTTATCCAGGGTAGATCAAGCTGATCCTGAGTCCCTGGATTAAAACGGCATGGGACCTCTATAAGATTTATATCCTGTCATAGGTATCCAGATAAAAAATGTAGGGTCTAAACTTCTGGTACCATCTGGGTGCAGTCAGCCTTCACTTCGATCCGCCACTAGAATCCAAATACACGTTTGATACATAACCGCTTGTTTTATGAGCTAAAGGCGTTGTCTAGAATTTTCTTAACCAAACTTTTGCTAGTGTCTTTTTAATTGATACTTTCCTGTTAAGTTCGAGAAAATAATAGGAAAGGGGTTAGTTAGGATTTAGGTAAGAGCGATAACGTGGTTGGGCGTTATGTCTACGGTTAAGTTTGGGTTAGATGTCATTTTCCGTCAACCAGTTTAACAGGAAAGTACCTATGTTATGTACATTGTAAATATAATTTCACTAAGGTATATCTAAAATGTTTTTAAAAATGTACATTTTTGCTTTTTATATATGCTGGTTTTGTAAACAATACAATATAAGCATGGCTTTTGTAACTTTATTTTTTTATAATAAATGCAAACTATCACTTTGCTCAATGAGACTAAACTACACATTTACGGACTTCTTACAAATTGTAACGTTTTTTTTTTACAATTTCGTTATCTGCTTTGCTCATTGAGTAACCCAACTTCGTTGTTTAATTTGTACTGGATTCTATCTACACTAAGCTTTACCAAGTAAACCACTTGAGGGCATATAAGACTGTAAGATACGCTACTTTAGGCTAAATCATACTAAAAGCTATTTGAAACGGGAAGTGGGCGATCTTGTTTGAAACTTGAACACGGATTTGAAACTAGAACACGGATTTGTTGCTTGAGTGTTACATAATGTCTAATTTATTTATTTATTAAGATGGGTAAAATATCTGAAAGTATTATAATGATAGATATCGGTACTGTAGAGCGTTTGTGTTTTATTTTAGAGAGCTTTAGTGGTAGAAAATTGTTCAAACACCACAAGAAGATATAATATTTCACATTATTAAACTCCCACTATTCCAAATAAATTTAAATGACTAATGAAATGTTAATTTTTTTTATTTATATAAAGTTAATAAAGGCTAACTCTATAAATAGATTTAACGTATGTAACGTAAACACGTTTGATTTCTTATGAAAGATTAATACAATCGTCTTAAATTTTTAGATGTGCAATCGATTTTATATTTAAGTAGATTCTGGGCCACTTTTTTTAGCGCAATTTCCATTCTGGAGAATTGCGTTTATTAACTCGTCATTTCTGGGAATGGATGGATGGATGGATGAATGTGTGTCCGGGCTTTAAGTCGTATCTCCTCCTCAACGAAGCAATATCGATGAATAGTTCCAAAAGCAATTATGTTAAGCAAGTTACGAGAATGAGCATAGGCCATAAAAATTCCGGGTTTCTTTCATTTATTTCCCGGAAAAGCCAAAAAACCTCGAAAAAATTCAGTTTTTGGCCCATATCTCGGCAACCAGACCACTTAGCGACTTGAAACATGTACCAATCGATTCCTGTCATAATTTAGAACAATATTGCCGAAGAAAGTTTTCAAAAATATTCTCTCGTTCGGTCACAAATTTTAAAATTACATAAACACCTACAAACCGATTGTTCTTCTAGCTTGAACGCACCCCAACATTATACGTCAGAGCTATTTTTAGATAACATAAGGAAATTGCGCACAAATGTCACTAGACTTTTTTAATTAACTTGTTTTTCATAAAACATCTCCAAATTCCATTCGTGTCACTAGAGCTGTCAAACATTTTACCACAACTTCGATTGCGCATGACACCACGAAACAAATGCGAAACAAGCTACTCACTTCTGCATGCTAGAATTGATCATTTACTAGATCTAGATCTAGATCTAAATCTAGGTTCTACTAGAATACCCGTCATCCGTTGGATAACTGTGGGTTTCGGGGGTCATCCATCAAAAAACATCACGTCTGTCACTCAGAGGCATAGCGACCCTTCCCGGCGCCCGGGGACAAAGTTTTCGATTTGAACCCCCCCCCCCCCCCCCACTCAAACTTTCGATTTGAACCCCCCTCAACCTATCAATTTATTTTTCCAAACCATTTTGGCGCCCCAACATATGCCCCCCCCTTCCCCCTTCCCCCCCCCCCCCACCCCCCGCCTCTCCTCCCCACCCCCCGCCTCCCCTCCCCTACCGTCCCCCCCCCCTCCTCGGTACGCTACTGCAGTGTCACTTATCGTCACAAAAAACAGACCCCACATTCAAATATATGTTTTTTATCTTTTAAAAACACCGAAAACACCGATTTCGGGCTATCCCTTCATAAACTGACGTCACAGGTGACCTACTCAACTCTACTTCACCTGCCCAGTGTCCTGCCAAGTCTCAGACAACATGTTTTTATCGTTTAAAAAACAATTCCAGCCGAGCATGTATCTGACCACACTATCCTTTCATATGCTTAGGACAAAGAAACAGATGAACTCTACTTCACCTGCCCTGTATCTTGCCAAGTTCAGATAGGCAACGTTATCATTCACATCTAAAAAAAAAAATTTCATTGACATATTGGTCTAGAACCCGTGCCTCCTGCGTGAGAGCTCACTACGCTACCATTTTAGCTATTTACTCGTGACGTCACAAGTGAATTTTTATACTATACTATGTATCTCCTTATGCAACTTGATTTACGGCGTATAGATTCTAGATCTAGATCTAAAAATAAGTCTAGTAGTACTAACTTTCAAATTAAATTTTATCTTAAATAAGCCAAACAAAGATTTATATAAAATAATTAAGGCCTGAAATAGATTCTAGATGTAGAATTTACATTAAGTCTAGATCTAGAATTTACATAGAAACCTAGTGACCTACATCTAGGCTAGATCTAGATCTAGATCTAGGCTAGATTCATAAATTTCCTTCGATAGCTGATCTTTAGATCTAGAGAAATTTATTGTAAAACTAAATGAAAAAGACAGTTGAACATTGATATAAGTGTTGGAACGTAATAAATACAGAAAACGGACGTATTGTTAAAGTTATGACCGACAGAAAATTAGATTTAGAACGCGTTAAACTTGTGAATGGGAACACAATTTTCTTCGATAGACGCCGCCATTTTATTGTACTAAAGAGTAAACAAAAACCTGTGACGTCACGGTCCCGCCGAGTCTAGTGGCTTTTCAAATATTTTTTAAAAAAATGGGTTAATCTGCATATGAATAAATCAATTAATTAATTAACGTCTTTAAATAAATTTGTGATCAACAGTCTGTCTGCATTAAAAAATTATTCTCTACCTGCATACCATTTTACAGCTTTCCAGATAGAGTCGAACATATCACAATTTTCGATCAGGCAAACAAATAAATATTCAAACATGTAAACAAACTTGACTTTTAGTAGTATACTAGAATACCCGTCATCCGTTGGATAACTGTGGGTTTCGGGGGTCATCCATCAAAAAACATCACGTCTGTCACTCAGAGGCATAGCGACCCTTCCCGGCGCCCGGGGACAAAGTTTTCGATTTGAACCCCCCCCCTCAAACTTTTGATGTGCACCCCCCCCCCCCCCCCCCCACTCAAACTTTCGATTTGAACCCCCCTCAACCTATCAATTTATTTTTCCAAACCATTTTGGCGCCCCAACATATGCCCCCCCTTCCCCCTCCCCACCCCCCGCCTCCCCTTCCCCCCCCCCCACCCCCCGCCTCCCCTCCCCTACCGTCCCCCCCCCCCCTCCTCGGTACGCTACTGCAGTGTCACTTATCCTCACAAAAAACAGACCCCACATTCAAATATATGTTTTTTATCTTTTAAAAACACCGAAAACACCGATTTCGGACTATCCCTTCATAAACTGACGTCACAGGTGACCTACTCAACTCTACTTCACCTGCCCAGTGTCCTGCCAAGTCTCAGACAACATGTTTTTATCGTTTAAAAAACAATTCCAGCCGAGCATGTATCTGACCACACTATCCTTTCATATGCTTAGGACAAAGAAACAGATGAACTCTACTTCACCTGCCCTGTATCTTGCCAAGTTCAGATAGGCAACGTTATCATTCACATCTAAAAAAAAAAAAATTGAAAAAAAAAATTTCATTGACATATTGGTCTAGAACCCGTGCCTCCTGCATGAGAGCTGACTACGCTACCATTTTAGCTATTTACTCGTGACGTCACAAGTGAATTTTTATACTATACTATGTATCTCCTTATGCAACTTGATTTACGGCGTATAGATTCTAGATCTAGATCTAAAAATAAGTCTAGTAGTACTAACTTTCAAATTAAATTTTATCTTAAATAAGCCAAACAAAGATTTATATAAAATAATTAAGGCCTGAAATAGATTCTAGATGTAGAATTTACATTAAGTCTAGATCTAGAATTTACATAGAAACCTAGTGACCTACATCTAGGCTAGATCTAGAGTCTAGGCTAGATTCATAAATTTCCTTCGATAGCTGATCTTTAGATCTAGAGAAATTTATTGTAAAACTAAATGAAAAAGACAGTTGAACATTGATATAAGTGTTGGAACGTAATAAATACAGAAAACGGACGTATTGTTAAAGTTATGACCGACAGAAAATTAGATTTAGAACGCGTTAAACTTGTGAATGGGAACACAATTTTCTTCGATAGACGCCGCCATTTTATTGTACTAAAGAGTAAACAAAAACCTGTGACGTCACGGTCCCGCCGAGTCTAGTGGCTTTTCAAATATTTTTTAAAAAAATGGGTTAATCTGCATATGAATAAATCAATTAATTAATTAACGTCTTTAAATAAATTTGTGATCAACAGTCTGTCTGCATTAAAAAATTATTCTCTACCTGCATACCATTTTACAGCTTTCCAGATAGAGTCGAACATATCACAATTTTCGATCAGGCAAACAAATAAATATTCAAACATGTAAACAAACTTGACTTTTAGTAGTATATAGACTAGAATACCCGTCATCCGTTGGATAACTGTGGGTTTCGGGGGTCATCCATCAAAAAACATCACGTCTGTCACTCAGAGGCATAGCGACCCTTCCCGGCGCCCGGGGACAAAGTTTTCGATTTGAACCCCCCCCCTCAAACTTTTGATGTGCACCCCCCCCCCCCCACTCAAACTTTCGATTTGAACCCCCCTCAACCTATCAATTTATTTTTCCAAACCATTTTGGCGCCCCAACATATGCCCCCCCTTCCCCCTCCCCACCCCCCGCCTCCCCTTCCCCCCCCCCCCACCCCCCGCCTCCCCTCCCCTACCGTCCCCCCCCCCCCTCCTCGGTACGCTACTGCAGTGTCACTTATCCTCACAAAAAACAGACCCCACATTCAAATATATGTTTTTTATCTTTTAAAAACACCGAAAACACCGATTTCGGACTATCCCTTCATAAACTGACGTCACAGGTGACCTACTCAACTCTACTTCACCTGCCCAGTGTCCTGCCAAGTCTCAGACAACATGTTTTTATCGTTTAAAAAACAATTCCAGCCGAGCATGTATCTGACCACACTATCCTTTCATATGCTTAGGACAAAGAAACAGATGAACTCTACTTCACCTGCCCTGTATCTTGCCAAGTTCAGATAGGCAACGTTATCATTCACATCTAAAAAAAAAAAAATTGAAAAAAAAAATTTCATTGACATATTGGTCTAGAACCCGTGCCTCCTGCATGAGAGCTGACTACGCTACCATTTTAGCTATTTACTCGTGACGTCACAAGTGAATTTTTATACTATACTATGTATCTCCTTATGCAACTTGATTTACGGCGTATAGATTCTAGATCTAGATCTAAAAATAAGTCTAGTAGTACTAACTTTCAAATTAAATTTTATCTTAAATAAGCCAAACAAAGATTTATATAAAATAATTAAGGCCTGAAATAGATTCTAGATGTAGAATTTACATTAAGTCTAGATCTAGAATTTACATAGAAACCTAGTGACCTACATCTAGGCTAGATCTAGAGTCTAGGCTAGATTCATAAATTTCCTTCGATAGCTGATCTTTAGATCTAGAGAAATTTATTGTAAAACTAAATGAAAAAGACAGTTGAACATTGATATAAGTGTTGGAACGTAATAAATACAGAAAACGGACGTATTGTTAAAGTTATGACCGACAGAAAATTAGATTTAGAACGCGTTAAACTTGTGAATGGGAACACAATTTTCTTCGATAGACGCCGCCATTTTATTGTACTAAAGAGTAAACAAAAACCTGTGACGTCACGGTCCCGCCGAGTCTAGTGGCTTTTCAAATATTTTTTAAAAAAATGGGTTAATCTGCATATGAATAAATCAATTAATTAATTAACGTCTTTAAATAAATTTGTGATCAACAGTCTGTCTGCATTAAAAAATTATTCTCTACCTGCATACCATTTTACAGCTTTCCAGATAGAGTCGAACATATCACAATTTTCGATCAGGCAAACAAATAAATATTCAAACATGTAAACAAAGTTGACTTTTAGTAGTATATAGATAGATACCTCGAACAAATTACATTAAAAGGTTTTTTTCTCTCGCAACGATAGAACCAGTTATACCTGCCGGCGCTATTGGAAGCAGAAGTCAGTCTGAGTTGATTGAAATACAACAAGAGGTCAAAAATGGTAATTTTAGCATTGAAGAGGCAGAAATGCTGTTCAGATCTTGGAAAGAAAGATACGAAACTGGCAATGCTGTCAGCTTCAAGGAAAGACAGGTAGGCTCAAAAGTTGGTTCGATGAGAACCTTGAAAACAAACGAGCACTTTTAATAATATCTCCGCGGCTAAATAAAGGGAAATAACACAATTGATTTTTAAATAACTTCCATTGTATTCATTATTTAAAAAAAAGATAAATTCCAACCAAAGGGATTGTGAGTTAAAGTGTGATAATATTTTAAAGTTATCTGTATGTGTGCAGAGTTTTTCAGGCATCTCTGGGGTGGGGGGCGAACTCCTTAAGAACGTCTACCGCTCCCCCACCCCATCCCCCCACCCCCAAACGAAATATAATTTATATAGAAAATACTTTTGCCATGTCCTAAAATCCAATATATGCCATTTTTAGTAGATTTCTTTTTTACCAGTACCACTGTCAAAGTTTACTTTAAAATATAATTAGTGGTTTTTGTAATATAAATCAAAACTTCTGTTTATTTTATTTTTAAAAAATCAGCCTATTTTATTATACCCTTTTTTGAAACATGGTAAATGGGGTGGGAGTTAGGTGGTATCTGATTGGTGAAGGTCTATTTTTTAAAATATACAAATATAGGCCTATTCAACACTATTTAAATTAAAATAATCCATTTTGATTGGATAAAAAACTATTTAAAATAGTTTTTAAATTATTTTTTTAATATCATTTTTTATTATTAAAAAAAACATACCATACACATTCACTTCAGGTTATTTAATTACTGAAATCCTCAAACACATTTAATATTTCCTTATTTTTATCCTTTTTTTTAAATTTAGATGTAGATCTAGATTCTATATTAGTTATTTTGATAAAAATGTATTAAAAATGTCTGAACTATGTCTTCTCCAGCAAACACTGCAAGCTTTGAGAGAAAAACATGTTAAAGCTATGGATGCTCTTAAAAATGTTAAAAGTAAAAATAAAACAAAACTCAAAAAATGCATAGAGCACCCAGAGGAAGATGACATACTGTCACCTGAAATATCAGTAAGTCTTTCTTAATATGTTGTCATTAAATATATCTTAGCATTAGTGATTCACTGAATAAATAGGCAACCTAGCTATATGGCTACTAATTTACTAATGCTTGAACTAATGAAACGCTTTGCTAATCAAATATTTTTTGAGATTAATTAAAGGAATGAGATATGATAGAATGCACCCAAGCTAACATTATTATAGATAAAGTATTATTATTTTTAATTTTAATACTTAATGTGCTCATTGTGCAATGGTTTTTTTTTCCCAATACATGGGAAGAACATAAGATTTGGTTTTGAGTTTGTGTGAAGTAAATGTCTTGGTATAGTTAAAATAGTATGTGCTTTAGATTTTAGAAACCTTACTTACTTGAAGTAATTTCTTAGGAACCATTTTCATTGCGAAGTACAACTATCAAAGAGGTACATCGAGGCAGTAATGCAAGTAGTAAGTCATTTCATTTATTAAATGTCTTTAAAAATTATTTCTTATCGAGAAATAGTTTTACAATGAAAAAGCTATTGCTGGGAGAATTTTAAATCTTACAGCACTACTACTAGATCTACCATTTTTTAAAGGGGTAATCGATTTATTATATTTCTGAGAGACATACTCTAAAAAATGAGTTCAATATATTTTATATCTTAGAACATATTCAGACTAAATGTTCATGACATATTTTCAGTATTTTCACTCTAATCTTTCTTGCAACTAATGGAAAAGTAATATTGTTATGCAAATGTTTGTAAATTCAATTAATGATAAAAAGGTTGATCTCAAAAACAATTTTAAAATCATCATTTTTTTTAATGAAACTGTAGATGTTCCCCTAACATTCATGTTTTCAAACTATTTCAAATACAATACCAAATACAACAGCTAAGTAAACATTTCATGACACAATGCCTGAATATCAGAAAATATCAGAACATAAATTTAAAGGTCATCCCCATCAATGCCTTAATGCTCCACAGGTACAAGTAGCTTGATGAGGATTAGTAAAGACAGTGGAAGAGAGAGTGCAGACATCAGAGGATCTATAACATCAACATCGTCAGATGAGTCTGAGGTAATTAGCGCCTTACATACTTGTAGAAGTAGAGACAAAAATTGTCCGTAGTTCTAGTGTTAGCCTTGCTTCAATGTAGCAGATAGATGATATAAAACTTGTTTAAGAAAGAAATAAAGAAACAAACATTTTTAACTATGTTACACTTTAATACATGCATTGTTTGCTTAAAAATGTACACATGCTAGGTTTAGATACACTTTTCATTTTCTAGCACAAGCTTTGGATCTTTGCTTGGGCATTAACATGTTTTCTAGTGACAGTGTTCTCTGAACTTACAAACTAATGTTTCATATTTCTATCATAACTCTAAATGACTAGATACAAAATAATTTTTGAATACAAAGTAGACTATTTTAATGCTCTACATGGGTGTTTTTTTTTTTGTTTTTTTTTTGTAAAGATAAAAAGAAATAATAATGAAATGATGGTACTTTTTCTAATATTTACAAGAGGACATAGAGCTTACACTGTTGCTAAAGCTTGTTGAAACTACGGATAGGTTTAGTATGATCCTACTTGATATTTCAGTTGTATGATGATGGGTCAAGATTACAACAAACCATTGAGCAACGAACTCACACATTTCCTCGGCCAAGCCAGGTATTTGTTTATCATATCCACAGTGGTTTTTATAGAGACACGTATACTATAGATATGAAATGCATGTTTTTGTTGCTTTCCAGTGCTGCATTAGATTTACTAACATTTTGGCACATTGTTTACTGACGTACACTTGGCTCATTATTCATCACTGCTAGAGCTAATTCATAAACTCTTTTACCTTTTATTTATTCTTTTTATAATATATTTTACAAAATTGCATGGCCCAGTTCATTAAACACAGTAGTGGTAACATTAAAGAATTATTCGCCTTTTATCTTGTTCTTAGTTCTACAGATTTATAACTTCAATACAATTTCAAATGTTAAGTTAAATAATATTAACATGGTAGGAAACACTAGATTATATGATACATTTTGTAATGGTCATCCTTTTCGAATAAGTTTTATTATGTTAGATGTATACTCTTAATTTAAGCTAAAAACTTTCCAACAGTTGTTTGTCCTAGAAATGTAATTTATCAACAAATTTGGAAATAATTTTTGCTTAGATTATAATTAATAGCACGTTATAATTTCTGCTTAGTAATTCACTAGTATTGGATAATAATTTATTGGATAATAATTTGGTTCATAAATGTAAGTCATCAGCATAGATGACAGAGAAATGTAAATCGCCTGCAAATAAGTATATACAGTATAATTATACAAATGTGACTCCAAAACTTCTTGACTTAGAAGTCAGTATTATCAACCTTCTTCATATCTTTTATGTCAGTCTTTTTTCCGTGGACCACGGATGCATCGCCGCCATTCAAGTGACACACCTAGCCATGCTGTTAATAGACCCAATGATGAAATCTATTCGACAGTTAGACAAATAGCATATTATTCACATAGCACTAAACAGACACGGTAAAAACTAAACCCAAATAATCCCTTTGTGCGTAAATATTCTGACTGAATTTACTCAGTAAATTGAGTGCTAAATTTTACCTTGAACTATTTTGAAATCCCTTTTAAAATATATTTTGTATTCCTTTTAAGTCCTTGATCATTTACCATAACCACAACTCCTTAAGCTAATGTTGCTTGGTTGGATGCACATTATCAGTCTAACTATTTGCATCCTGTTAAAAACTGACAAAATTTTACATAGCCTGCACTTATTAAGAGTCAGTTTTAAAAACCAGTATGTATACCTGAACTTAGCATATAATAAAGATAATTGTTAATAACAATTTTTGTAACAATTACTCCTAGTTAGTATTTTGCTGTTTTCCTATTAATAGACTGTTATAATAGTATGCAAATAATATAATAAAGTACTATCATTACTTTTAAAGTAATGTTGCATTTAAAGTAATTACTGCTGTGTAAGACTGTTTGACCTGAAACCTTTAACCCTTTACATTTAACCATTTATTCTATTATGACACACAACCATTTCATTTCAACCATGGTGTCATCTTCTAAAGCATGGTTTAAATATTAATAATCATTAAAATCTTGAAGTTGTCTTTCTATGTTGTTTCCATAACATGTTACTCTTGTGATACTTTTAAAGACAAATAATTTTGATAGTAGCCTATTAATATAAAAAACTAAAAATGCTGAATTCTATTTTTAAAAAACCCGCCGTAACTCATCTATGTGGTTATTTCCCAGTTTGTGATTGATTTGTTATATATTGCATATAACCATATTTACAATACACACAGCACTCTATAAAAACTAATTAGTAATAAAATAATTCATTGTTTTAGCAGAATGTAAAAACAAAATTAAAAATCAAAAGATAATATTCTCAAGACACATTTGTATAGAAGAAACTAAAGCATTCTAAACTAAGAAATATCCTAAACATTTTGAGTTAATTACTGACAGACCAAGTAAGCCAATAAGGATTATTTAACAGCAAATGTTTATCTGACATAATCACCAAAAAATCTTATTAAAATATTTGTATATAGAACTTTGTAATTCATCACTTGTAAGATAATCAGCTTTTCAGTTTGCCAGCTAAAATATCTTCCACTCTGACATTGGCTATGGTGTAAATTAATAAAAAGTTTTATGTTGTTACATCAAATTATTATGGTATAGATTGTTTTACCTTTAAGAGGTTTAAACATTTTTAGCTTGTATTTTTTGGTAATCATCAACCAATGGAAACCACCTTGTCTAATAATTAATGTTTTATCTAAATCTAGCAATGAAAACACGATAACTGGTAATGTTTGGGCTATATTATGTATTTCTTTATGTTAAGCCTATTTTCTTTAATTTGGAAACCACTTTATTACTGTTCGTAATTTTGCTTTAATTTTTTACCTTTACCTATTTACAACCTAATAGCTTATAGTATTTGTAATAGACATTGTTTTTTAAGCAAATTCTACCAGCAACTTTCATATATATATAATAATAAAAATAGCAAATTAACAAATATTATATATATATACATATGTATATATATATATATATATATATATATATATATATATATATATATATATATATATATATATATATATATATATATATATATATATATTCTACCAGCAACTTTCACACCTATATAATAATAAAAATAGCAAATTAACAAATAAATATTATATACATATGTATACATATGTATACATATGTATATATATATATATATATATATATATATATATATATATATATATATATATATATATATATATATATATATATATATATATATATAGAGAGAGAGAGAGAGAGAGAGAGAGAAAGATATATATATATATATATATATATATATATATATATATATATATATATATATATATATATATATAGATAGATATATATATATATATATATAGATAGATATATAGATATATATATAGATATATATATATAGATATATATACATATGTATACATATGTATATATATATATATAGATATATATAGATATACATTGATATATATAGATATATAAAATCTTATATGGATATTTTAAAATATTTTCTTTTATAAATAGTAAATACTGTTTACTAGCATTTTATGTTTTCTATTTTTGAATCCTTAAATATTACAATGAAATGCTTGTGATTAATATGGAAAAATTTAAAAAACTTGGATGGCCTTTGTTATTAGACAAATACTCATGGCAAATAGTTTTTAAATACAAAATTTTGAAGAAAAAAGAAAATTAGTTTTAAATAAAATGTTGATAGGTTAACAACTGTGCGTGAAAAGAAAAAGTTTTAAAATATTTTACTTTATCAGAGATTTAAATTTAAAAAGTCATCATTCAAAAAGTTAAACTTCTTAAACTAACTTATAATTATTTGCTTTTCTTTTTTTTTTAAGTGTAATGTCTTATTATGTGTTTCATTAAAACAATATTTTTATTTAAACAGGAAAAAAGACAGTCAATGAAAGAGTTGTATATAGAACTTCAAGACTACACTGATGCTGCTCAGCTCCCTCCACCACCATTACCTCCAAGAGTTGTACAAAAAACACAACCACCACCTCCTGTTCTTCCTAAACCACCAATTGCAAAGAAAGCATCGCAAAAGAAATAATATGAATCAAATATGCAAAAAGACATACATTGTCAAACTTTTTTCATATTTTTATAATTCCGTTATTTAAAGCTGTATCTGTGATGATGTTTACATGCTGTTAAAGCTACTCATGCTAGACATCATATATTCATTCATAGTAGAAGTTCCAAGCAGATTTATAGTGTAGCTATTTGTTCTACTTACCGGAATTCTGAAACATTTTTGTTGTACATAAGTCATTTTGCCAACTTACAAACATATTTATGAAGCATTCATTTTTATTTTTAGTATTGCAAAACAAAGTAATTTATTTTTTATTGGTGAAACACTATTTTTGCTTTATGACAAAGTGGAAAAACACTAAAAAATATTATTTTAAAACTTTGTAGCAAATGAGTGCCATGTTTAATTTTTTTTCTTCTTTGTTTTAATCTATTTTTTTAACAATAAGTTATCACTAGATTAACTATGATATAAATGTTGGCAAGATTATTGCACATAATATTTATGTCAGCACTTGTGCAATAAAATGTTATATGTGTACTAAGAATTATAAAAATATTTTTATAATTGATTTGTTTAATAATTAGTGTTCTTTTAAAAAAGTTTGGTTGTGCTCATGTAATATAAATGAAAGAAATACACTATTTACTGTTTCTCTTAATGTTTTTCTAGCAAAGCTAAGTAGGTTATAAAGAATTTGAAAGTGATGAAATATTTAATAAACTTGACTTTAAAAACCACTTTTAAGGCAGTAAAAAAAAAGGGTTAATCAAGTAATAACCACTCTATAGTTTTATAGAAAAAAAGATTTTTACTGTTTTAAAAAATTAATAATTACTTCTCTGATGAAATTACCTTGCCAAAGCTGAAAAATATGCTTCATTGCATGTATAGAATGTAAATATTGTTTAAGTGTCAAACATTTGAGTGCCAAATAAATATTATCCGTATGTACAAAAAAAAGCACAACAATCTTACAGATTGTTTAAATGTATGTAAATTTAATTAACATTATAATTTGTTGGATTTACAGCTTACATGTTTTTCAAACCACATAAGAAAGATAATATCCATCTATGTTTAAACCACAAACAAAGTCTGACAGTTGTATTAGATTTGTTAAGCTAAACAAGATATGCCCCTCATCTCCCCCCCCCCCTTTTTAACAGCTAGCAGCTAATTGTGGTGGGTAGTCAGTGGAATAAACACATCAATTACTTATATTATTTATTTGGGACCATGGGACTAAAAGTCACCAAAATTTGCCAATCTGACTACAACAAGACTTTTAAAGCACTGCAGTTGTTAAAATAGCGAGGGTTATTCTTTTACACTTTTTTATTCAGAATTATTTTCTGATTTAAAAGTAAATGCACCATCTAACAACTAAGACTTATAAGAAATCCTTCAATAATGTGTGGTTAAAGCATTGTGTAAAGTTTATTTTCACATTTATGTTGCATTTTACAATTTATATATATGATCAAAAAGTGTAATTGACAGAAGAATTAACATTTTATTCATGTAGAAATTGGTTATAAATATTGTAATGAAATAAAGTAGTGGAAAGTGAGTTAGTTCTTTAGAAACTAGCAAAAAGTTGTAGCTTTTTAATACGTTAATATATGAAGTAAATTGTTCATATCTTCATACATTGTGTTTGCATAAATCATATTTTTTAATATTATTATTTCTAAATGTTAGGAGCAATACTGTATTATGTTGTCAAATGTAAAAAAAAAATTAATCCCAAAGGTGATACATTGCTGTTGTTAAATGTGACAAATTTCTGTTTAGTGTGACTAATTTCTGTTGTTAAATACTGTGGTAGGTATATTTTATTGCATGTCATTTATGTTGACCATTGAGTGAGAAAATAAAATAATTGAATATTCAATAGACATATAAATTTGTTGAAATTGAAAGAAATTAAATTTGTTTTCTTATGTCAATCTAAAAATTCATTGTCACGTTTTTGGCGTGGATGAGTTATAAATATAAATATATTCCAAAGATACGCTTTTTAAAGCAAAATGGTATTTTCTGGTTTGCATTAGCCTAACCAAGCATATTTATTTAGCCAAAATCATATCAAATTTGATGTAACAAATAAAGTAATGATTGTTTACAGAGCAATAGGAACTTGCTACTTAATGTGAAAATTAATTTTTTATATTAAAGTAGGCTATAAGCTAACTTTGGTGACAATAAGAGAAGGAAAACTGTTTGTCAAAAATATACAATGCTGTTCAGGTGATTTTTCCTGAGTTTATGCATGTGTTGAATTAACACACTTGATTACACGCTGTAATACAGAGCTAATTAGCGTAGGAAGGCTAAATCAACATGTGGTAAAAGTCTGATAAGTTTTTTTCTAATAATTCTGTTTTTAGTAACATAAACATTGTTTATTTAGCTGATACACTGAAACTTTACAATGAATATAAGCACATAATGTATAATGCGTCACCTAATCCTTGATAGTTGAGTCTTGTGTTTACAATGTTCGTAGCAAGTGGTCAGAAAAAGGAATGTTGAATCTGCAATGATGTCTATACACACACAAAAAAAACCACAAGGCAGTTTTATTATATATACACATTGAGTTTAATTATCAATAAATGCAAGTCCTTCAAAACAAAAGTCTATGAATGAGCTAGTAAAAATATAGATAGCTAATTATATTTTTTCACTGGAGTCTATAATGTTAAGCTTAAAAGTTGGTACTGTTGAATTCACAAATTATGTAGAAAATAAAACAACTATATAGCTGCATATGATACGCCGCGGGTCGGCTCGTTTGTTAAAATTGAAAGCATAAGAGTTTCAAATATCAGTATATGTTTACATTTGTTACTCTGTAAAGTTAAAAAAAACTGACTTAATACAAGTGTGAAGCAAAAAAGGTTATTACTATTTAATCATTCATCTATATAGTAGTTTTCAAAAAAGCTTCCATCAGAAAAATACACTCTTTTGTAGTTCTGTATAAGATTCTTGGCTTCTGCCTCCAGACTAGGAAACTTGTGTTGACTTTTCCTTGCTTTTTTGTCATGAATAAACAAAATTAAAAGTTTAGTTTGTGATGATTAAGCATTAAATAAAATACTCTACAATATTGCATATCAAAGATACTTTTTTTAAACTAATAGTCTACAGCCTGATTTTAAAGACTAGGTGTGGACTAGAGGGAATTAGTTTCAATTCAATATATTGGAAAATTAAATACAATCTAATTTTCTAAACAGGCAACAGTTTATATTTTCATGTCAGTTCTCAATTAAATTAAAATTAAATTCTCATTAAAATTTTATATTTTAGTTAAACAGAAAGCAATTTAGTAAAATGTAATGCTAAAAACATACTGGAAAGTTTATTATTTAATGTAGTTTTTACTTTTATAGATATTCTTTTGCAGATTATCTATGCAGCCAGCAACAGATAAAAAAGTTAGATAAAATGCCAAATAATATTTGTCACAAAAAAGGTTAAACAATAGGCTTGAAAATCTGGTTCTAAATGGTTGTTGCCAGAAAGCTTATTTTTCAAGCAAAATTGAATATTTTAAAACATTTCAGAAAGAGAAATAAGAACAAAAAGACTTTCAGTTAGTAGTAGCCTAATGTAATAGTAATTTGGATTTTGCAGACAACATAATTCTACTAAACAACAGTCAAAAAGATATGCAAAAAAAAAAAAAATACACCTAGTCAAGAACCTATTAAAATAAACAACACACAAGTAGAGGAAGTAAAAGATATTTAGGCTGCATTGTCAATTATGAAGGAGACTGCACCGTTGAAATTAAAACATGCATCTCTAAAGTTGAAGAAAATCTCCTCCAAGACTAAATGCAGATTTTTCAAAAGGAAAGATGAAAGTGGAAGCAGTGTCAGAAATAATTTTTTTTTTAAACATTGCGCTGAATGGGGCACTTCCTAAGAATGAATCCAGAACACATATATTCAATACAAAAATATGAAAATGTGTGTAAGGCTATGGTTCCCAAACAGCTATAATTATTTTTATTTAACTATAACTTTATCCCTTACCATATTGTTTGTAAAGATTTTTTTTTAATTTAGTACGATTACATAGACTTTTCAAGCCTTTTGTTCTAATGAGAATTGCTTAGTTTAAAAAACAAGATAAGCTTAAAAATGGTAGAAACAATGACAAATGTACCTTCATTAACAAAAAAGTTAGCCATATATTGGCCCACTATCACAGCATTTGTACCATGGTTGATTTCATAATTTGGATTCCAGTTGAAATTATTTTTCTCTGGGTGCCACTGAACACCATAGATAGGATATTTTTTACCTAATTGTTAAAATACAATTAATTGCAAGTAGTTTTTTTTTTTTAAAGTTAAGCAGGTGAGCATTGTATAATCAAATATTTTTCCCTTAAAAATCAAAACAAGAAAAGCAATAATTTTACTTTTTTTTAAAAATGGAAACATTATTGGAAGAGATTTTTTATTTCTTGCTACCTTCAACAGAAGAGATAAATTCTATGCCTTTCCTGTCTGTATTTGTTGAAAGTTTTGTAAAAAACTCAGACAGTGATGAATTTTCAAAATCCTGTATTCAACACATAAAATAAATATGCAACTTTTTTTTTAAAAAACTTGTTAAACAAGATATTCTATTGAAAACAAAACACAAATAAAGAATAAGCTATATAAGTTTTGTAGAATATCCCTGAGTTAACCCAGCTCTGAATGGTACCCAACTCTTGTTAGGGAAAATAAAGGCAACTGGGCATAGTGATGACCACACTATCTTTTCATATGATGAGGTCAAAGAAACAGGGGAACTCTACTTCACTTGCCCCATGGACCGTCAGCTTTGAAAGGGAACTTTACTTCTTACTAATGTAATTAAATAAACTGTGGCATATAGCACCATAAAATTTAATGTACTAACATCAATTTTTTAAATTATTATAAAAAAACATGACAAAAAGTTTGAATAAGATTTATCTGTTGATTATTATATGGTCATGAACAAAACAAAAACAAAATGCGCAAAAATAGGTGACTTAGATTTTGGGTAAAATTAAATCTATTTTATGTGCTCAATTTATGAGTACATATTTAGAGTATAATCAAAATGTGTGAGTGTAAAGAGGGGAATGCCCAATGGAATAGCCATCTGGATATCATTATGTTGGGTGCAGGCAGATTGACAATCTATTACAAAATATTATTTAAATGGTTGCTAACATTTAATAAAAAAAAACACAGGAAAACTATTTCAATAATTATCTGAATTGAATTAGAAAACATAAATAACAGTGTTGTGTAAGGAGCTACTTACATGAATCAGAATGCTGTATTTGTGTTGGTTTTGTGTTACTGGTTCTGTAGACAATATTTTCATCAATTCTGGAGGAGCATTCTTAAACATGCGGCTCCCTTTGACATCTAGAAAAATATTTTTAACAATCTAATAGTATAACAAAGTAAATAATTGTATTTTGAAGTTAATCTTTTTAAGCTATTTAATTATTTAAACAAAAAGAAGTTAAAAAATTTACCAGAAGAAAATTTAAGAGGCCATGTGGCATTTCTTGAATCTGTAAGTTTTAAAAGATTGACACCTTCTATCAAGTAACATAAAAGTTGGAAGCCCATACAAGTACCCCACATAGGATAGTAGTCTCCCTTGTCATTTAGCTGTTTATTTCAAAAGAGGGGAAAAATGGAAAATAAGCCTTTTATATAACAAAAAAGATATAGCTAACTTTGTATAGGCATACATGAAACACTGAGAAATGTCAATTGCATGTACTAGCAAATGCAAATTACTAAAAATTTGTTGAGATACCTAAAAAACATTTGAGGCCATATTTTTTTTAATAAAATTATTTTAAAACTTACAGCTAAAGCTAATTTAAAAACAATTCTTGCAGATCTTCCAATAAGACTAGTTTCAAAGTTTACTGCTCCACCAGAAATAAGAATACTGGGTATAGAAAAAAAAAGATATTTACAAGACATTGTCGATCATAATAAATTTTTTCAGGTAAGACAAATTAAAAGGATATATGATATATATATATATATATATATATATATATATATATATATATATATATATATATATATATATATATATATATATATATGTATTTATTTATTTATTTATTTATACACACATATATATATATATACATTTTTTTTAATTAATTTATATATATATATATATATATATATATATATATATATATATATATATATATATATATATATATATATATATATATTTGTCTGTATATATATATATATATATATATATATATATATATATATATATATATATATATATATATACATATATAAATTTATGTATAAATTTATGTATAAATTTATTTATTTATTTATTATTCAGCCATTACCCATTGGTATAATTAACCATCTGCTGATAATATTCTTCAGGCTGGCCACCTCTAATAGGAACAACACGTGCCCCTGCCTGCTCAATGAATTTAACATAGGTAATTGGAACTCTTGTCTTTCCGTAAGTTGAATCAGAATCCAAGGCTAAGATACCTATAACAAAAAAATTAACACATAGTGGGTAATAGTTATCTATATACATTTAGATATTAATGTTTTCATTGTTTTATTGTTGATTTAATATGGTCTATATAAAAATAGTTAGTCAGATTTGTACGATTGATACAATGAAAATAAAACAGTTTTAAAAGCATTTTGAGTATTGAAATAGTTTTCATTTTGATAAATCAACCATTTGAATGAGATACCTATTCATTAGATATTACGAAATAATTAACATACTGTAGACAAATATAGTCCTAATGCAGATGCATAGGAAGTAGGTAAGTGTGTGTATATATATATATATATATATATATATATATATATATATATATATATATATATATATATATATATATATATATATATATATATATATATATATATATATATATATATATATATATATATATATATATATAACTCTATAACCCAAACTCCATCACAAAATCCTGCTTAACGTAGGCTATTTACTTAAGTACTTACCTATAACAGGTCTATTATTCAAGTAAGAGGAGTCAGCTGTCTGGGCAATTAAAATTTGTGTAGCAATTAGTATTATTATCTATTATTGCAATGTTTAGCTTTGGAGCCATATTCCAGGTTTTTCTATTCAAATGAATGCAAATTAAAAATTTCAAATTAAATGATTGTTGTTGTTTGTTTTTTTAAATAATTCTTTATTCTTCAATTCGAGATTATTTTTAATAATAAAAATGTATACAACTTAAAACTTAATAATAATAAGTCTTAGAATTTATTAAAGACTATGAGCAAATAGCAAAAGTGTATCGATACTGGTATTTGTTACTGATAACTATGAATATTGCCAAAGAGACTAGACTAATCATTTTTGCTTAAATTTTTATCATTAAACTTACCATTTCTTAGTGGTTTTCTGGTTTATAAAACTAAAGTACACACATTTATATACCGGACGTTGAAATTCCCGCTCTATAAACCCGTGCCAAAAAGAAAGTTTGCCGTAAGATTGCACCGTGTTCTTTGAAGCCTGAAGCCCCATTTCTCGTGGCCTAATACTTTACCAGAGGAGGGGGGGGGGGTAATGTATTTACCAGGACGGTACTTGTGAACTTTGTCAGAACCGACGTTAGGAATACGCGGGGCCTAGGGCCAACCATCTGCGCGGGGCCAGAGTTTTTCCATTGGTGTCTGTAAAATTGTAAAGCGAGGCTGTATCAATGCAGCGAAATAGTGTACGGCTTTAGGTGTGTGCAGAGGAGTGTGGATGGCTGGATCAGAGGCGTAGCTAGGGGAGGGCGGGGAGGGCGGCCGCCCCGGGCGCCGACCCTAGGGGGGCGCCAAAACGGGTAGAAAAAAAAAATTAAAAGCTCATTTTAAGCTGCAGTTTTGAATTATAAACAGTCAAAGTAAAGAAATTTAACGGCGGGGAGCCTTTGCATACTGATTTAACTGTTTTCTACCTTGGTTGTGTAACTGTAAAACGTATATCTTTAAGAAACAGTGACCGGAAAAACCGCTTTCCAGCTTTACTAGATGGGGGGGGGCGCTTTTTCGAAGACTAAAATCTGAAAAATTCACACCGGATTAAGGAATAAACCGATATAACCCAGAAAAGAAACCCATTGAACTAAAGAGTATTTTACGATTGTGTAACATAACAAACATTTAGCGACACTCTTTGCCAAAATTTTAAGAGAGAAGAAAATTAGTATATTGTACTGATTATTATTTTGTTCAACCTTACTGATAATTCTAAATTACCGAACCCAAAAAGAAAAGCAGGCTGAAATCGGAGTCAATGGCCTCAATGGCGCATAACCAGTTGACACGTAACGCTTAATTGTGTTGGAGGCGTGGTCGAGTCGGCAAAAGCTCATGGTTGATAAATTCGAACAAAGTCTGGAGTTCAAACCCACTGGCAGATAAATCTCGATCCCCTTCAACACTAATAATTAAGAACGAAGAAGAAGAAGAAAGACCGAACCCAACTAGTTTCATATGCGCAATCACCGAACCCTCCTTAATAGTTGTATCGTCCACAATGACAAAATCCGATAGTGAATCCTATGAGTCGGGTGTGTGTCTTAACCAGTGTTTCTTCCAGACTTTTTTCTCCAGGGGGCACTTGAAATTTTCGGGGGGGGGGGGCGGTAGACTTTCTTCGGGGGGGGGGGGGGCGGACACTGTTAAAGGTATATAATATATTTTCTATATAAATTATATAAATTTCATTTCGTTCGGGGGGGCTTTGCCCCCCCCCCCCCCGGAAGAGATGCCTGGAAGTAACTCCGGTCTTGACATCCGCGGAAGCCCTGAGACTGAATTACCAAACCACTCGGGTTCGATGGATCCCACTGTTCTAAGCTCTTTTGATTTTCTACTTTTTATTCGTTTCGGCATCTTAAGGGGAATTTAATTGGCGTCCAGTGAAGTCTTAGGGAACGACAATCAGCGTAATTGTTAAGTTTTTTCCAGACTGTCGCACACACAAACACACACGCATATATATATATATATATATATATATATATATATATATATATATATATATATATATATATATATATATATATATATATATATATATATATATACATATATATATATATATATATATATATATATATATATATATATATATATATATACATATATATATACATATATATATATACATATATATATATATATATATATATACATATATATATATACATATATATATATACATATATACATATATATATATACATATATATATATATATATATATATATATATATATATATATATATATATATATATATATATATATATATATATATATATATATATGTATATATATAATATACATATATATATATATATATATATATATATATATATATATATATATATATATATATATATATATATATATATATATATATATATATATATATATATATATATATATATGGGGGCGCCAAAATGAAAGTTCGCCCCGGGCGCCGGGAGAGGTCGCTACGCCTCTGGGCTGGATGCCCGGGCTAACTTCAGAAGCCTCCTCTCCCCCAATGTTTTTTAACATATTATATAGCCTATATATATATATATATATATATATATATATATATATATATATGCACACGTAGTAAAACACACATGTTTTGGAGTTTATAATGCTTAACTTCTCACTTTAATAATAGATGTTCACCTCTAACAAGGTTTACCCAATGTTATTTGCTATTTGCTAAGATGTTAAATCACTTTTTACAGCTCTCTAATCGATAACAAATCATCAAAGATAATTTAATCACATGCCAAAAAACTTAGGACAATAAAGTGGTATTGTTTGTTAATGAGCATAATTTATCGAAAAGCAACGCATTTTAGGTGTATTAAAAAAGAGACTGTTAGTAAGCACAGAATTTTAGGCAAATTAAAATATCAACAAAATTAAAGTAAAGTTAAAACAAATATTATAAAAACATTCATAGAATTTGTACTCGAATCGTGAATAAACACTTTACGGCTATTAATATACAAAAGAAATTAGTCAAATGTCATCACGGACGCTCAGTAGGGTGGAACTTTGAGGTAACAGTTGGTGGGGTGAGGTAAAGGATAAATGTAAATAAAATATATGCTACGGGAGGCTAAACCCTATGAAAATAATCTCCAAGTTCGGGTACTACGTTACTGAATCTCTGACCGGAGTCATTCAAGAGAAGGTTGGTGTTCATAGAGAGTCCATGTATTACATTACCGGTCATGATCGCGATCTTACAAGAGAAGTTGTGTGTCTATAATTAGGGAGAGAACCACGTGACAGCCAGCTACACCTTATTTATGAGTATTGCGGAAGCATGCTCGAGCTGCCGTGAATGCCGGTTATTAAACGTGTGAGAAGTAAGGACAAGTTTACAATAAAGCGATCAAAACAGTATAGACTTCACATTTTGTTTAGCATCACTACAATATTTAAAAACAAAAACCAATATGGTCTTTATAAAGGATATCCCTACAATAAATAAAGAAACAATATGTGCTTAATCACTCTACGAATGCCGTTATAGTTCACCAAAATTAATATGGGCATACTTACTGTATGGACGCCCTTCAAATGTATTTTAATGAACAAGCATAATTTCATAAAAGATACCCCTACAGTGTATAAATTTTGATTATGGGTTATATACTCTATGGGTGCCCACAAAATGAATATCGGCATAACATACTTTATAGATGCTTCTCTGAAAGATGCCCCTACCTACACTATACCTAAAATAAGTATCAGGTAAACTATTTAACTGAAAACCACGTATATTAGGGGAATATCAATGACTATATACCAAATCACTGCCCTTCACGATGCCCCTTCCTCCATTAAAATTGTGCGACGCCGACAATACGATAACTATGTCAGTACCATTGGTAGACGATAGTAAATAACACTTTGGAGCGATTCGGTAAATTAATAATTATGTCTGGAAAAGGATGAGTCCTTAAGATGACACAACATAAATACAGGGCGCAGTCTGTTTTTGACATCCACGTACAATTTACTTTATAATAGCATTATGTCTATTCTAAAAATTGGAATGCGTTAGACGCGTTAATTGCAGATATTTTTAATGCTCATTCAGTTTTACAAAACGGTCTTTATTTTAAATTAAAAAAAGAAACAACGTTAATTTACTATGGTCAATGTAAACGTATTTGATAACATTTTTGTTTTTATGCTCTAGAACTTTCGATAGAAATACAACTTCCTTTTTCGTCGAGGTTTCATTTTAGCAAAATGATCAATTACGTCTTTTAAATCAACATCAGAGGCTAATTGCCGTTCAATCGTAATCGGGGCTAAACTTGGCAATCTGTCTTCGTTCATAGTAGAACGGATGTATGTTTTCGGGAGTTTAAGACGGCTGAAGGATCTTTCTGCTCTGGCACTGCGTATTGGTAAAGTCAGAAATATACGATACAAAGTGGACAGGTTTGGATACATCGTGAGTTTAATTATCAAGCAATGCAAGTCCTTAAAAACAAAAATCTATGAATGAGCTAGTACACTGGTCAGTCAACATGTACACAACATGCTTTTAAGTCTTGTTTCTTCAGCTTATAGCCTTGATAATACTGGCTTTAGAGGCAACCCCTCACCTATTTGCCTGTCACAGTTGACAGTCAGATCAACTTTTGGATGGCCCATGCTGTGGTAATGTATGCATCTTATTCATAAGTAGTTGGGTAATCATCTAGCAATACTCATGGTAACTTCCAATATCACCCCTTTCTATTCCATTAACAGCTTGTCTAATATGTGCAGATATGATGCTGAGTATATCAAAACATTTTAGTGATTGAGATAAATGGATGAAAAGGTAGACACGTAAAAATATAGCTATTTTATCTTTTTTAATGTTGAGCTTCACATTTTATTACACAAGACCGATGGCGGAGCTAGAAATAATTATCATTAAAAAAAAAATTTAAAAACCCACGTTTTCTGATTGAACTAAAAAGTAGAAAATAAATGCTATACATCACAATAATGCAAGCGATCACTCTACTATAAGCGATGAAAAACGTGGGGCGCCGAAGTAAAAGTTTTTTATCGGTCATTGTTAATATAAGATGTAAAAGTTATATTACTATTGATTAGATAATACTATTGACTTTTATTAGGGAGCTTGTAGAGAGTCAACAGTATTAGAAAATGTAAGAAAATCACGGCGCCCCACGTTTTTCATCGCTTATAGTAGAGTGATCGCTTGCATTATTGTGATGTATAGCATTTATTTTCTACTTTTTAGTTCAATCAGAAAACGTGGGTTTTTTAAAACTTTTTTAATGATAATTATTTTCTACTTTTTAGTCTTTGTCTGTTTGTTTGCTTTAAAATCTTGCTATCGATTTTATCTTTTCGCATTCACTTTTTTTTTGGGTAAACGAAGACAACTCGTAAAAAACACGTGCCTTGAACCCGTGTCGAGTGGGTTAGCAATCGTGTGCCCAACCACTCGACCATATCGTCTCCCCCATACTCGCCACCAGTTGTTACGTTCTGGTTGTTTGTACACAAACACCGCGTGACAACTACTCAGTAAGCAAAAAGAGGGAGAGTACCGAACCTTGTTTTCATCAAATTACAATTACTGGGTTATGTCCCTTTTCCCCCCACGTTTTTTGTACAATTATATAGCGGTCTAAAATGATCAATAAAATGTTTCCATGGATCAATTTAGTAATAATAACAATTGAATATTCTATTGTCATCGGAAACAAAGCTTCCCTGAAAATTTCAGCGCGCTAGCTAACTGGGAAGTGCCCGAAATTTCGATCGCAAGATATATATATATATATGTGTGTATATATATATATATATATGTAACGAGTCCCCGAGTCTATCCTGCCGACAACGCCAAATGTAACGAGTCTCTGGCTACCCTGGCGACAACGCCAAATGTGACCTTTCCCGAGTCTAACCACTCATTCCACACAACATTGACCACAGCATAGATACTCGAAGATGCAGGTTCATTATTGATCCTTTTATTACATGAATCAAAGAATGCTTCACAATAATATAATGAATCAAGAGAGATGTTTCACAATAATAGTCTGAATCAACGGACCCCCAACAGTCCTCACTAGGCTTCATCTAACTGAATACACATGTCTAACGTCCTTCTTAACACAATATAACCAACTTGCTACTGCCACACAGACTGACTGACTGAGAGACTGACTGCCTGACTGACTGACCGACCGACTGACTGAGAGAGACTTCCTGAGAGACTTCGAGCTCAGACGTCGCCTTCCTTATATCCCCTTCATAATCGTACTCATATTCGGTCCTATCATAATCGTAATTGTAATCGATTCTAATCGTTACATCAGACTGTTAATTACGCCGCTTCTGTCGTACAGTCCGATTTTAATAAGCCACCTGCATCCTGTCACATCAAAGTTGACAGACCGTCTTTCGTATCGCTTCCCGAGATATTACGCCTTGGCATCAGCCAACACCTGCACTGTGACGTCAGACTGTAACACGTTATGTCTCTTGGTAACTTCCCCTAGTTACATATATATATATATATATATATATATATATATATATATATATATATATATATATATATATATATATATATATATATACATATACAAAATACGAAAAAACTAACATAAAATACTCAATTTCGGGCCTGTTCGGGTTTTGAAAAATAAAATTCTTAGTTGTTGTTGTTTTTTTTTTTAATTAAAACAAGTTACAACAACGTGTCATGTGTGTGAGTGCTATTAGTCAGTTTTAAAAATCTCTGTTTCATTTTATGTCTGCCGTAATGCCTCTGTCACTCCAATATTTTTAAACAAATGTTAGGCCTATGACAGAAACCTTTGCGGGAGTGTACTCAAAAACTTCCCAAATTGTCATTGCGATAGCATGAAGGGTGTAGTAATGCATAAAAGACAGAAACATATGGTTTTCACATGTACAGCTGTATAGGCCCAGCTCACGCGGAGGAAAACCTTCTGATTTAATGGACATCCATAAATGACGTCATGCTTTTTTTTTTACGACTCACAAAAGGCTAGACCCTCATCCCGAAATGTCGTCATTTATTAATATTAATTGATTATAAAGGAGAAAGGAACTTAAAAGGTACAACTAAGCGCCGTGTGCTTCTATCCATCAGTACCGAAGTTGGGATTTCTCAACTACTTTTCCTAAAGCATATTGTGAAAAACTCAAGGGAGATAATTCAAATCATACACGTTTACCATCACATTTTTTTGTAAAAACAAAAAGAAGTAAACGTACATAAAACCGAAATTATTGTAATTATATGCTTTTTAATTATTTGTATAATACAGGATAATACAGAATAGTAGTTCTACACAAACAACAAACGTACATTTTACATTGTAAAATCACAATGGATTGTGGGCCCCTAACCAACGCTATAAAGAAGCAAAAGTCGTCTTAATATCTAGCAGTCTCGCACGCAATGAACTTTGATTTTTTTTTCTAAAAGAATTTTGCAGATAACAGAGTATGTTTGATTGTAGGAAAAATAGGACTCAGCGTTCACAATGGTTTAAAAACAAAGGGAAAAGAATATACAAGAGCGTGGGATGGTGTCTATAGAATAAAGATAATCCAACCGCAGCTAAAGTATTCTTTTCACAAAAGAGCCATCAAAATTTTAAAAATTTTAACTATAAAAAATTGATTATGGTCGGCTGTGGGTCCCCTAAACGGCCTGCCCCCCCCCCCCCCCATTGCTGGGTCTGGCAGCATTGTAGATCCGCCCCTGCACAAGACATGTTGTAATACAGTATACATAGAAGCTTTCTGTATTCAACACTCTACTACAACTAAAATAATCAAGTGCTGATACTGATTTTACATTTTGATAACATTTATTAAAATTGAAATCATAATGAGTTTTAAATATCAGTCATTTGTTTATATATGTTACTCTGTAAAGTAAAAAAAAAACTGACTTGAAACAAATGTGAAACAAAAAGGGGTGCAACTATTGATTCATGCATCTATATAGTAGTTTTCAAAAAAGGTTCCATCAGAAAAATACACTCTTTTGTAGTTCTGTATAAGACTCTTAGCTTCTGCCTCCAGACTAGGAAACTTGTGTTGACTTTTCCTTGCTTTTTTGTCATGAATAAACAAAATTAAAAGTTTAGTGTGTGATGATTAAGCATTACATCAAATTTTAATACTCTACAATATTGCATATCACAGATGATTTATTTCTCACCAATAATTTACAACCTAATTTTAAAGATTAGGTGTGGACTGGAGGGAATTAATAGCAATTTAATATATATGGAAATTTAGCACATTATGTTAATAATTAGTTAGAAAGGCTAATTTCCTCAACAGAAAACAGTTTATATTTTCTTGTCATGTCTCATTTAAATTAAATTATAATTGCAATTTTATATTTTAGTTAAAAAGAAAGACAATTTACTACTGTTTTGTTGAAAAAATACTGGAATATTTAAAGTAAGTTTTTACTTTTACAGAAATTCTTTGGTAGGTTTCCTATAAAGGCAGCAATAGATTTATAAGTTACTTAAAAAGCCAAATAATATTTGTATCACAATATGGCTAATTTGTTATAATTTTTCTAATGCAAATTACCAGAGAAGTCTAAAAAAAAAATTCATAAAAAACGTTTTAATAACAAGCTTTTATGTAATGATGCACTAAAAAGTAGAAAATAAATTATAGACTACTATTTAAATAACTATAAAGAAAAGCGTGGGTCACTTTAGTATCTATTGGATACCTTTACTAATGTTAAGGAAGACACCCACGCTTTTCTTTATAGTTATTTAAATAGTAGTCTATAATTTATTTTCTACTTTTTAGTGCATCATTACATAAAAGCTTGTTATTAAAACGTTTTTTATGAATTTTTTTTTCAGTACTTTACATGTTTTATCTACAATAGAGTTACATGACTAAAAACCATTGCGCGCCTACTGAATATCACGTTCAGTAGGCGCGCAATGGTTTTTGAACGCAGCCATTACGTGGTCGTGATGGCGCAGCTATTGATGACGCGTGTGGTGTGGTTGGCTAGACATGCCTACTAATTCGGTCCAAATTTTAATTAATTCATAAAAAATCAATTAGGCATCCAATTAAGTCAAATTTAGTTTCAGATTGCATTGTCTTCATGTCTTGACCCACGTGCCAACTGTGAATCGTGTCGGTCAAGTAGAACTGTCCGAATTTTCACTCCTGCGTTTCCGTCTAGACAGACTGTCGACAGACTGACGACAGAGGAAGTGAGTTAAATAAAAGCTTGTAAAAATGGTAGAAACCAAGAAAAATGTACCTTCATTAACAAAAAAGTTAGCCATGTATTGGCCCACTCTCACAGCATCAGCATCATGGTTGATTTCATAATTTGGATTCCAATTGAAATTATTTTTCTCTGGGTGCCACTGGACACCATAGATAGGATATTTTTTACCTAGTTATTAGAACACAAATAGTTTCCAGAAAATACTTTAAGTTAAGCAGATGAATGTTATATAATCATACTTTTTTTTCTTAAAAATCAAAACAAAAAAGCAATGATTTTACTCAAAATAAAATAAAATAATGGAAACAAAATTAAAGAGAATTTTTATTTTTATTACCTTCAACGGAAGAGATAAATTCTACTCCTTTCCTGTCTTTATTCGTTGAAAGTTTTGTAAAAAACTTGGAAAGTAATGACTTTTCAAAATCCTGCATTCAACACATAAAATAAATATGTAACTTTTTTAAACAAAGGGCCTAATTGTAAAACAAGATATTCCTTTCATAATAAGGACAAAATAAGAATAATCTATGTAAATAACTAAATCAAACTATGGCACATTGCACCAGAAAATTTATGTACTGAGATAAAGTTTTTAAGTATTTAAAAAAAAAGAAATACAGTTTACAATAAAATTTATCTGTTGATTATTATATAGTGATGAACAAAACAAAAGAAATACACTACTGTGGGCATCTTAGATTTAGCATAAAACGTAATCTATTTTATCTACTCAAAATTTGGGAATACATATTTAAAATAGGTCGCTACACCTCGCCAAGCAGAATGGCAGTTTATTACTAAACATTATTTAAATGGTTACTAACTTTTAAAAAACATGGAAAATAGAAACCTATTTCAACAATTACCTGCAAATCAAAAAATTAATTGGTTATGGAAACATTAAACTTAATCAATGTTGTATAAGGAGCTACTTACAGGAATCAGTATACTGTAGCTGTGTTGGTTTTGCGTTACTGGTTCTGTAGACAATATTTCCATCAATTCCGGAGGAGCATTCTTAAACATGCGGCTCCCTTTGACATCTTGAAAAATATTTTTAACAATCTAATAGTATAACAAAGTAATTCATTGTATTTTGAAGTTTATCTATTTAAGATATCTATTTATCAAAACAAAAAGAAAGTTGGAAAAAAAAATTACCGGTGGAGAATTTAAGAGGCCATGAGGCATTGTTTGAATCTGTAGGTTTTAAAAGATTGACACCTTCTGTCAAGTAACATAAAAGTTGGAAGCCCATGCAAGTACCCCACATAGGATAGTAGTCTCCCTTGTCATTTAGCTGTTCATTTCAAAAGAGGAGGGCAAAAAATTAGACCCTTAAATAGATCTGGCTAAGTTTATTTACATAACACAATGGGAAATGAAAATCCCATTTACTAGCAAATGAAATTATTAAAATTTTGTTTAGATACATAAATAATATTTATTTATTTCAAATAAAATTATTTTAAAACTTACAGCTAAAGCTAATTTATAAACAATTCTTGCAGATCTTCCAATGAGACTAGTTTCAAAGCTTACTGCTCCACCAGTAATGAGTATACTGTGTATATAGGAAAGTAAAGAATTTTACCAATCAATGTCAGTCATCACAAATATTTATTTATGTGGTGAGAAAAAATTAAAGGATATACATATATATATATATATATATATATATATATATATATATATATATATATATATATATATATATAAATATATATATATATATATATATATATATATATATATATATATATATATATATCATCATCATCATCACTCCTTTATGGCCCCTGGGGAGCAAAGGGCTGCAACCACACATCTCCAGCGGAATCGGTTTTGGGCTGCTCCTCTGATCTGTGCCCATGAGAGCCCAGCTGTTTTTGCCTCTTCCTCTACCGTTCTCTTCCATGTTTTCTTTGACCGGCCCACCCTCCTTTTCCCCTGGGGATTCCAGTCCAATGCATGTTTTGCGATGTTTTCTTTTTCTTTTCTTAACAAGTGTCCGATCCATCCCCATTTTCGCGCCTTAATATCTTTCTCTCTATATATATATATACATTTATTTATTATTCAGCCATTACCCATTGGTATAATTAACCATTTGCTGATAATAATCTTCAGGCTGTCCACCTTTTATAGGAACAACTCGTGCCCCTGCCTGCTCAAGGAATTTTACATAGGTGATTGGAATCATTGTCTTTCCATAAGTTGAATCAGTATCCAAGGCTAGGATACCTGAAACAAAAGAACACATAGTGAGCTATAATTATTTATATACTTTTAAATGTTAACCTTTTCATTGTTTCATTATTGATTGTATGATTTATGCTTTATAATAAAACAGTTTTAAAAGTATTTTGCCTAAATAAATAGTTTTGGTTTTGATAAATTATAATTAACCATTTGAATCAACTAACTAATTCATTAGAAATTACGAAATAATTAATATACTGTAGCCTATAGTCTATAGTACTATAGTCCTAATGCACATGCATAGGAAGGGGGTAATGTGTAAGTAACAAAATCCTGCTTAAGCTACTGGCTATTTTTTACCTAATGTACTTACCTATAACAGGTCTGTTATTCAAGTTAGAAGATTCAACTGTCTGGGCAATTAAAGTTTGTGCAGCTATTAGTATTATTGCAATGTTTAGCTTTGGAGCCATATTCCAGATCTTCTATTCAAATGAATGCAAATTAAAAAAATTCAAATTGAATGCTTTTTTTAAATTATTTTTTTTCCTTTCAATATGAGATTATTTTTTAATAATTAAAATAATACAACAACTTAATATTTATTAATAAGCCTTAGATTGTATTAATAACTATGAACACATAGCAAAAGTGTCTGAGTGTATTGATACTGATATTACTGATAACATTAAATATTGATAGAGACCGAACTAATAATTTTTGCTTGAATTAATAAAACTTACCATTGCTTAATTGTTTCTTTTATAATAATAAACTACACACACTTACATACCGGACGTGGGAATTCCCGCATAATAAACCCGTGCTAAAAATAAAGTTTGCAGTAGACCCTTCCGTGTTGTTTGAAGCCTCAGGCTATATGTTTCCATGTTTGTTACATATTCTTACCCCTACTTCACGTGGCCTAATAATAATACTTTACCAGAAGGGGGGAAAATTTATTTACAAGGAAGGTAATTGTAATCTTTGTTAAACTAAATACTCAAGTAAATAGGACTACATGTGTCTAATATATACATTTAAAAGAGGAAACAATAACATTTCGAGTTAGATCTCATTAAGTAGGCCCCGAGGCGTCGTGGGGGGGGGGGGGGGGGGTGCGGGGGTTGCGGACCGCACCGGATGACACCATTTAGGAGGTGAGTCAATGACGAAAAATTGCTAAATAAATAGAAGAAAAATTCTTTTTGTCAGTTCAATGATTAGTAAGAGTGAATCCAACTGTATAGATAACTATAGATAACCATGTTTACTATTAACTGTGCACACTTTAAAGCTATCATCCGGGGGGGGGGGGGGGGGGTGACAAAATCATGAGAAGTAAAGTCCCCCTCTGGCCATTTTCAGCATAGTGGCGCCTTTTTGGAAATTTTTAAACAAGTTATAAACGATGATATTTGTTAGAAAAATTATTTTCGGTTATCACGTCTATGTAAATCACAAGATTTATTTTCATGCAGCAATTAAGCATAATAGTAATAGACTAATAGAGTCTACGTTTACAACACGTGTTAGTAGCGGTATCAGTTTGTCATTCTAAAAATAACCATTACGATGCATTGCAATGTTTAAAAAACCTCTACGGGTAGTACCACTTGGCAAGAGGGGTGTAAGTTTAAGGCAACTGTATAATGTATTTGTTTACAAATAATTGAATTAGAAAATGTTATAAATAAAGCTTCACACATAATTAATTTATATACACAGTTTGAATCGTGTAATTCATTTTTGAAATTAAAATACAGACACAAATTCAACTGATGTGGCACCTCTATTTAAATTTACTTATGGCTGAACTTCGTAGCGATGGGGAAATTTTGACAAGATCAACAACGTCATCACGATGAAGTAGTAGTATTATTACAGCTTGGGCGATAGTGATAACGATTACAAATTAAATGAAACAGTATCAACTTCATATTAATTATTATTTTAGTTTACTAGATCTAGATCTATATTAAATTTGAATAATGCTATATTTTGTATTAAAACACAACACTCAACTTAAGCTAACACTGATCGCACAGTTAATTATCCGCTCAGCTCAATGGAGGTAGCGGGTTAGGGGGTAACACCCCCCCCCCCCCCCACCCATGGACCCCTCTATAAAAATATCTATTTCTGAATCACTACTATACATGTGTAATTGAATATGTATGTTTTAAACAGTCATCTAAAACTCTGGGTTGGATAATTGATCTAAAGTGACCGGACAATGGTTAATGAAGTTGAACCCCCCCACTCACCCCGAACTGATCTGTTAAGTACATTTGGGAAAACGCGTAATGATGTACCAAAGAACATGCCGCCAGAATCATAGCTTTTGAAACGTAAATCTCTGTGAATATTTTGTTTTTTGCAATTACCAGTAAAAAGTGTGTGAGCAATACAGTTATCTAACCCACACCTTATCATTATGTTAAAAAATTGATCTTTAAAGAACAGAAAAAGTCAATAGCTAATCAAAAAATGTGTGATCAGAAATGCAAAGTCCAATATTTTAGTTGTATGTAGGCTATTTATTCGAATATTGTACTTTATGTTTTGAAAAGCTTGATTTTATATCAACTCTGATTTCAAAAACTTTCATTATGCTGTAATACTTTAGCATTTATGATGACAATATATTTAATTCTGATTGTAGACAAGATAGGCCTACTTTTGTAAAAACCGAATAATGTTAGGCTACTTTATTACATTAGTAACTATTTATTTATTTTGATATTTATAATTAATTGTGTAGACATATACATATTTATATTAAGAGAGGGATCATTTCCCCTATTTCACTTGTCTTAATTATTGTCCAAGGAAATATGCAATTTTTTTTTTACAAGGATTACAAGACGTTTAATGTTGCATTCATTGTTTTTTGTTGTAGTGTGTGTATATTTTATTTTATGTTTTTTGTTTAAAGTGATAATTTTTTTTGTTTTGTCGGCCAACATTTTTGGTATCGTCGGCCTACATCGTGTTTTTTTTTTCAGAGTGCTACTTTCAATTTATTTTACAACGTAGCAAAGCAATAACATACAGCTAGTGTATATATATATATAAATAAATAAATAAATATATATATATATATATATATATATATATATATATATATATATATATATATATATATATATATATATATATATATATATATATATATATATATTTATTTATATTTATATAATTTCGGCGCCTTTTTCTGCTATTTTCGCTCCCCCTACAACGAAAACCTGGATACGCCTCTGCTTCGTTGATGGCCAGAATTTCTTCCAGGCATCTTTCCCCCCCCCCCCTGGAGAAAAAAGTCTGGAAGAAACGCCGTTGATGGTATAGCTGCAGGGGCGGAACTACCATACCGCCAGACCCCGCAATGCGGGGGGGGGGGGGGGCAGGACGTTTAGGGCCCCAGTTCCGACCAAAAAGCAATGATTTTTTTTTTCAAAAATTATGTTTTTCATGCATCTTGAAAGTGGTTTTGTAAAAAAAAAAAAAAAACAGGTCTACTATAGAAAAATATTTTAAAATCTACAAGAGCTATAGTTTGAAAGGTAGGTAAACATTCACACTACTTGCATGACTTACTGCCCTTCTTTAAAATAGGGATGCCCACGAAGCTCATTTTAATAGTTTTGTACAATGTAAATTAAAAAGCAATTGATTCTCAGAATTGTTACTTAAATAAGACGTACTATACAATAGTATAGCTATAAAAATCAATGTTTTCAAAATTGATATTATAAAAGCTAAAAATGAAAAAAATAAACATAACGCGAGAAACCATTCACGAATCAAGCTAACGTCTTTACATATTTTTGACCAGTATATGTAGGATATTGCTAGTTCAATAGTAGTTTTAATAAAAAAATTTCTGGTTTGTTCTATCAGAATGGTTATATATTGCAATGATGCAGACTAAATAACTCATATAGGATATATATATATATATATATATATATATATATATATATATATATATATATATATATTTATAGGGGGGCCCTAGTTTAATTCTTTGCGGGGGAGCCTTTGATTTCTAGTTCCGCCACTGCATAGCTGATTGGCGATTAAGGCTATTTCATTTTACTAATATATTGCTAATTAATTGTGATAAATCTGTAAATCTAGACAATAGAAATCTATTTGTCCAGTAAAATTAAACTAAAAATCTAATTAATAAATTCCTGTCAAATTAACACAGTAAGCTGAGTTCACCTTTTTCTAACGTGTATAAAATGAAGGAATGGTCTTGTTTGCATATTTAACTGCATTTACCTCCCTTCCTCAACCTATCTGATCGAAGTCTGGGGGAAAAAAAAAATCGAAGTCTGGCAACCTTACGTTTACCAACAGCTCAATGTCCCAATTCTTAGACTTACTGTAGCAACTCAATTTTGAATTATAGTTATACAATGCCTCTGTAAGAGTTATATGCTCAATAATGTTATAATTTTACTTCTTAGTTTTCAAGTGTTGCATTGGAGATGAGTTCCTCCAAAATAAGTCCTACACATAACACGCTATGCACTAGATCAGGGGTCTCCAAACTTTTCAGTCCGAGGGCCGCATTAACAATCAAATTTCAGTTCGGGGGCCAGATTCTTCCAGGCATGTCTTTGATTTTTCTGGGCAAAGTTCCTCAGCCATCACCAACAAACGTTTTTTTCCCGTGGACAAAAAATCTCCGCGGGCCGGATGAGAGGACATCGCGGGCCGCAGTTTGGAGACCCCTGCACTAGATAAAGACTTCAGGCTGCTTTTCTTTATGGACCAACTTCCATAACCTTTGTCCACCCAGGATCAATCGGCAAGGCAGCAGCTGTTTGATTTTGGAGTTTTCCCAGCTATGACTACGAGCCTCATTCGTCCATGGGTCAGAACTTGGAACATTAGCAGGTATGTGGTCTCCTGACTGACTTATCATAGTTTGGAGCAGGCGTTTCAAACGTAAAAAAAACAAAACAGAGTAGTGTTCCCCTTCCAAAACAGATGGTCTATGGGGCAAGTGAGGTAGAGTTCACCTGTTTCTGTGGCCTAGGCATAATTATTATGGGATAGTGTGGTCAATACTATACCCAGCCGCCTTTACTTTCCCTAACAGGAGTTAGGTACCCATCAGAGTTGGGTGGACTCGGGGACAGTCTAATGACTTGAACCCGGATTTTAACTTGAGACTTACGGGTTAGCAGTCTAGCTCCCTACCACTAGGCCACACCATCCCTTTTCTAATGCCAGCTCCATAAATGTGTTACATTTTTTAAATACTAATGTCGACCCTACACATAAACTAACACTTTTTCTGGATAACTCAAGTTTTAACGAGTAAGAGCAGTAGAGTGACCAACTAGACAGTACAGTGACCAAGCTACTAATCTCTGCATCCAAGATCTGTCAGTACTGATGCCTGAGATTGTATCTGTAGGAAACGTCTATTGAGACACATGGTGCCTTATATCACATTCATTATATTTATTCAACCACTTTCAATTAAAAACAACACAATTCAAATAAAAATGTATTCACATTTAATGATTTCCATAAAAAAAATTTTAAACTACTTATGTTCATTTAATTAATTTTTTTTTACAGAATGAAGTTTCTGGCAACCTAAGTTCATTCAGTGAACCTTTAGCCCACATGTAAACAGAAGTTTGTACAAAAAAAAACAATAAATACAAAACTAGGACCAGCTGTTTCTTCTTTCAAATCCTGAAGAAAAAAAAATGTATACATTTTCATTAAAAAATTTTTTTTATAGCTTAATGATTACTGCATTAAGGAATGAAATGTTCAGCCCAGTAGCGTACGCAGGGGGGGGGAGCAGGGGGAGCGGCCGCTCCCCCTCTGGCCATTATCAGCAAAGTGGCGCCTTTTTAAAACTTTTGAAACTCAAAGTTTTAAACAATGATATTTGTTAAAAAAATATTTTTGGTCGGCACATCTATGTAAATCACAAGATTTCTTTTCATGCAGCAATTAAGCATTATTGTACTAGTCTAGTAGTGTCTACGTTTAAGACACGTATTAACAGCTGCATCAGTTTGCCTTTCTAAAAATAATCATTACGATGGATTGCGATGTTTAAAAAACCTCTACGGGTAGTACCACTTGGCAAGAGGGGTGTTAAGTTTAAGGCAACTGTATAAAGTATTTGCTTACGAATAATTGAATTAGAAAATGTTATACATAAAATTCACACATAATTAGTTTATATATACAGTTTGAATCGTGTGATTAATTAAAAAAAAAATTACAATACAGAAACAAATACAACTGATGTGGCACCTCTATTTAAATTTACTTATGAGCAAACTGCGTAGTGGTGGGGAAATTTTGACACGGCCAACAACGTCTTCACGATGAAATAGTAGTATACTTAAAGTTTGGGCGATAGTGATTACGATTACAAATTATATAAAACAGTTACAACCCCCCTTCCCCATGGACCCCTCTGTAAAAAAAAAATATTGTCATAATACCACTGCTACTTATTTAAATCTATTTCTGTAATATATATATTTGTGTAATATATATTTGTGTAATATATATGTATGTTTAGAACAGTCATCTAAAAACTGACTCTATGTTCACTCGGAGTTGGTATCTCCCCCCTCCCCCCCGCCCACACTTTACCACCACAATTGTGTAGAGCGACATTAATGTCACACCTAAGTATACACTGGGTTGGATAATTGACCTAAAGTGACCGGACAGTGGTGAATGAAGTTGAACCCCCCCCCCCCCCCCCCCCAAAGTGATCTGTTAAGTAGATGTAGAAAAACGCGTAATGATGTACGAAAGTACCATGCCGCCAAAAAATTAACTTTTTAAACGTAAAACTGTGAATATTGTTTTTGCAATTACCAGTAAAAAGGTGTGTGATTAATACAGTGATCTAACCCATACCTTTCACTATGTTAAAAAATGATCTTTCAAGAACACAAAGAAGCAGTTGTTAATTAAAAATACATGATCAGAACTAAAAAGACCAATATTTAGTTAAATGTTGGCTGTTATTCATAGTGTTTTTCTATTATATCGAAAAGCGTGGTTTTATACCAACTCTGATTTTAAAAACTTTCATTATGCTGTAATACTTTAGCATTTATGATGACGATATATTAAATTCTGATAATAGAAAAAAACATTTTGTAAACACAAATAGTGTAAAACAATTTCATTATATTCAAAGTAACTATTTATTTGTTTTGACATTTATAATTAAATGTGTAGATATATACATATTTATATTAAGAGAGTGATTATTTCCCCTATTTCACTGGTCGTAAATAATTTCCCAGGAATTATTATGTAAGAATTTTTTTTACAAGAATTACAAAACAGATTGTTCATTGTTTTTGGTTGTAGTGTGTGTATATTTTTTTTTGCTTAGATTGATACAATTTTTGTTTTGTCGGCCTAAATTGTGTGTTTTTTCTTATTTCTTCAGAGTGCTACTTTCAATTTATTTGACATCATAGCGAAGTAATGACATACAGCTAGTAATTATATATATATATATATATATATATATATATATATATATATATATATATATATATATATATATATATATAATACACGTATATAGAACGTGTTAAAAATTCGGCGCCTTTTTTGCTCTTTTCGCTCCCCCTACAACGAAAACCTGGATACGCCTCTGGTTCAGCCAGTTGACTTGTTATTCTTTATAAAAACGTGCAGTACAATATCAATATGAAAAGTAATTAGTAGGCCTATAAAGAAATGTTTACAATAACAAGTTTTTATGTGCACTACAAAGATTATTTAAATAATGAACCAAAAAGATGAGGTTTATGTCAAGTAAACTAAGAGATACAAAAGGTTTTTAATTTATTTTAAAACTTTAGCTATAAACTGTCATAGTTATTGAACTATCCAACCATTAATAACATGGGTAGGCAATTGTTTTGGCTCAATTTTAGCGGAGGGCCGCACCGTTTAAAATGATTGTATTAAATATGAGACGAACTTTGGTCGTGGACATTACGCAAATCTCAGTTCAAGGCGGGGTTTTCTGAATGTCTGGTAGGCCACAAAAAACTCTGTGGCTGGTAGCACTTTACCCACCCCTGATTTATACTATAAACCTTCAAAACTTGTATCCCATTTTAACCTTTCTCTCTGGCTAATTAAATTTCTATGTAGTACATTCAGTATTTTGTTTCAGTACCAGTTATTTTACTATTATGTTTATTATTGATAGAAAATCTTGCAGATGGTTATAATACAAATCTTCAAAGGAAACTTTGTAGACACTCTATTTCACAAGGCTAAGCTACCAGCATTAAAACTAGCATAAGAACTTTTTTAAAAAAAAAGAAGCTGTAAACATACCAGATCTAAATGGTTTCCTGTAACCATTGCTTGGTTGTGATGGTCCTATACAAAGATGAGGGCAAGTTTTTAAAATACAGCACTTATACAAGCTAAATAATAGATTTTTAAGAACAGAAATATTAAGAATAAAAAAAAATGTTTAAGTAATGAATTCTAAAAAATTTAAAACTTACTTCTTGGACTTGGTTTAAGTTGTAGCAACTCTTCTGGTACATTTTGTCCTGCCATCTTTAAAACTTTAATCAAGTCATCAACCTGAAACAAATAAATAATTATTTTTAAACATGTACAATTTGTGCTCTATGTTTACAATTATCTCTTCTGCAACCCAAGTCGTTTCCCACCTTTCCAGAGTCTTGATATGTGATGAATGACAGAGATGTTCCTGTCTTAGACGCCCGAGCTGTTCTACCAATCCTGTGAATGTAATCATCTGCTGTGTTGGGGTAATCATAGTTGACCACAAGCGTGATGTCATTGATGTCTGAAAGTAGAAACATTTGAAATGGAAACTAATCTATAGATCATTGATGTCTGAAAGTAGAAACATTTGAAATGGAAACTAATCTATAGATCATTGATGTCTGATAGTAGAAACATTTGAAATGGAAACTAATCTATAGATCATTGATGTCTGAAAGTAGAAACATTTGAAATGGAAACTAATCTATAGACCACTGATGTCTGAAAGTAGAAACATTTGAAATGGAAACTAATCTATAGATCATTGATGTCTGAAAGTAGAAACATTTTAAATGGAAACTAATCTATAGATCATTGATGTCTGAAAGTAGAAACATTTGAAATGGAAACTAATCTATAGATCATTGATGTCTGAAAGTAGAAACATTTGAAATGGAAACTAATCTATAGACCACTGATGTCTGAAAGTAGAAACATTTGAAATGGAAACTAATCTATAGATCATTGATGTCTGAAAGTAGAAACATTTGAAATGGAAACTAATCTATAGATCATTGATGTCTGAAAGTAGAAACATTTGAAATGGAAACTAATCTATAGATCATTGATGTCTGAAAGTAGAAACATTTGAAATGGAAACTAATCTATAGATCATTGATGTCTGAAAGTAGAAACATTTGAAATGGAAACTAATCTATAGATCATTGATGTCTGAAAGTAGAAACATTTGAAATGGAAACTAATCTATAGATCATTGATGTCTGAAAGTAGAAACATTTGAAATGGAAACAAATCTTTAGACACACAGGTTTGCAATGATTATTCATTTTTTCTTTGTAGCCCCTGGGTAGCAGAGGGCTGCAGTTACACTTTTCCAGCGGATTCGCTTTTGCGCTGCTCCCTTTATCTGTGCCCATGTGAGCCCATCGGTCTCTGCCTCTACCAATCTTCTCCACAATCTCTTTGGCCGACCCAATTTCCTTTTTCCAGGGAGATTCAAGTCTATAGCATTTTTTGCAATGTTTCCTTCTTCCCTTATGACCAATCCATCCCCGTTTACGGGCCTTGATATCCTTATCTATTGGCTGCTGTTTTGTAATTTACCAAAGGTCTTTGTTTGGTATTTTGTCTGGCAGGTTTGTAATGATGGGTGTTTTCAAAACTTTAGTTCCTATTGCCCATACATTTTTCCTAAATAAAAGCTGAGAGCAACATTTTTTCTAAAAATATTGAGGTAATAGTCAGTGAGTTAAGGCTGATGTCAAAGACCCAACTGTGCAAGATGAAGAGGTGTGGTTACATTACTATGCTCCACAAGGAGCCCGCAGAAATGACGAAGGTGATGATGAACAAAGGCTGGCTGTATTCAACTCATAGGGTTTAACTAATTGACCAGTTCAACATGATTACTACTTAGTGATAGCCATGTTACTTCTTTAGACAATGACAGTCTACGGTAGATTGTTAGAGTGAATGCCGGTGACTTACCCAAGCCTCTTGAAGCCACATCTGTAGCAACCAGGATATTGGCATTTCCACTTCTAAACCCTAAGGAGAAAAAAATAATACAGAAATAAAAGATTACTTAAAATTGACAATTAACTACATCTTCTCCCCAGATTGTGAACATTTAAATTAAACACTACCACCAGTCACCTATAGGGAGTATTGATTTTTGTTTACTTACTCTCTAGTGTTTCATCTCTGGCTGTTTGAGATTTTCCACCATGAATGGTCAGTGCTGAGAACCTAGGATAAAGAAAAAATTGTGTAAATAAATATTAATGTTTGCTACATAACTTAAAGTAAACAATGTATTTGTATGTAAACAAGGCACTCATAATTTGGTTAAACATTTGAACCCTGAACTCCTGACCCAACATCCCCATTCTCCTGGGCTCCCAAAGAAATTTACAAAATAGACTTTCAATGAAAAATAAGTATGGGTAGGATTAGTAAATGTTGATCAATAAATTTTGTTTTTTGTATACAAAACATTTTGCTCTATCAAGTATGTAAGCTGTGTTAAAAGCTTTACCTCATTGAAATTTTTCAGGTACATACTCTTCAATAAGAATTTGATTAGCATATTATGAGATTTAAATAAAATCTACCTTTTCATCCTCAGCCTTCTGGTCAGAAAATCAGCCTCGGATTTAGTCTGAGTAAATATTAAAGTCTTGCTTCTTTCCTTTTCAACTTTCTGTAGCTCATCCACCAAACTGTGGAAGAAATGAATTAAATCTTTCAAAATGTTTTCATTATTAACATTAACCAAATAATCTAAAATGTTCACTTCTGAATTACTAACAATTAAAAATAAATGTGCACCATTATGTTAGAAAACGTAATGTTGGTTATTTAGTATTTACATATTTAAAAAAAAAAATCAAGCAAGGGGACTCAACCAATTCAAAAGACTTACAGGTTAAATTTCTCATCGGGTTCACAGACTTTTACAATCTGGCGAATGTTTGGATTGGCCACTAATTCTTCAGAGCCAATGTTGACTTGCACAAAATCCCCCAAGAAATCATGGGCAAGATTTTGTATCTCTCTTGGCCAAGTAGCACTCCACATCAACATTTGTCTGTCAGGCTTTAAAATAAACCAGAGGGTGACCACTTTTACTAAACAGAAATACATTTTAACAATACATTTTGCCTGTTAGGCTTTGAAAAAAAAAAAAAAAAAACTGAGGCAATTACTAAAAGGAACTGCATTTCAACAATCAAAATAATTATAAAAAATAATTACCCTGATTTGGCCCAATATTTTTCTAATTTGTGGCTCAAATCCCATATCTAACATGCGGTCAGCTTCATCTAAAACCACATAAGATGTCCTATCAAGGTTAACAGTTCCAGCCTCCAGAAAGTCTAGTAATCTACCAGGGGTGGCAACAACTATTTCAGGACCTATAAGGACAAGAGCTTTCTTAAGCAAAACCTTAAGCAATACAGATTTTTTAAATTTTAAAATTACTAATGTGAATGGCTTAATGTAAACAGACAAAAAATATGTAACAAAAATGAAGGGAATGTTTTTTTATTGGTAATGGTGGGGTGGGGGCAATCTAACTACTATACTAAGAATGCTTTGTTAAGTTTATTAAAAAAAAGAATTGCAAATCAGAAAAATAAATATATATAAGGGTAGGGCTCAGCATGGTCAGAGCAATTAAAGCATTAGTTACATAATGAAAATAAACTAAGCCTTTCCAAAATAAAACGTACCAGGAAACTGTTTATAAGTAAAACCAATGGAACAAAAAAGATAAATTGTGGACTAAACAAAATATAATTACCATTCAAAAGGGACTTTTGTTGAACAAGTTTTGATTGTCCACCAAAAACACAGCAAGAATGAATGCCTTGAAGTTTACCATATTCTTTGGCAACACTGTCAATTTGTTGAGCAAGTTCTCTTGTTGGTGCCAAAACAAGGACCTGTAATAAACACACAAAAATAAACAACTCTAAAAAATAACACTCCCAGGATTCAGTTGACTGGCCTAAGGAAACCTCACAGCACGCAACAATGTTTTCTGTAAATGCTAAATCAAAGTTTGTAAATGTATATCTAGGTCAAATTTCTTAGAAGCTTTTCTGTGAACTACATTTTTTATTCATAAGAATTTTTGTTGTAAAGGTTTTTAAAATGGGGGAAAGACAATGTGTCTTTTTGCTGCATTGGCATGAAAAACAATTTTTAATTAGTAATTGGAAAAAACAAGATTCGGGGTGGAATGATTGAGTAGGCTTTAGCTTTTTAGAGATTTTATATTCTTTGGGTTTAGTTTCAATAAAACAGACACATTATACATTACCTGTAGGTAAAAGCAAGACTTGATTTTAATTTTAATCACACCTCTAACTTAGCTGTATAACAAGAAATTTTCAAACAAACTTAGCAGCTAGTACATCCATACTCACCACAGGTCCTTCCCCACGCCTGACTTGTCTTTGATGTTTGATGTGAACCAAACCTGGCAATACAAACTAAAAAAAAAATCAAAATTATGTTATCTGGTACATTATGAACACTCACACCTTTAAAAACACCGAACTATCCAAAAATGAACTTACCGTCAGTGTTTTCCCAGAGCCTGTCTGTGCTATTCCCACCATGTTTTTACCTGACAAAACCAGAGGCCAGCCCACACTCTGTATGGTGGTAGGTTTAATCCAATTGTTGATTTTCAGCTGTGTATTAATTTCCTCTGAAAAAAACAATATTATTCCTATATTTTAAGAAAATGGAAAGTACAAGCCTTTAGTACAAAAATAAAACAAGTATATAAAACACTCTAACAAGCATTCAACTGCACTTAAAAATATTTAAAAAAAAAAAGATCTTGAGGTAAAAGTAATAGATTTAGTAGCTCTAAATGTCTTTTTCAATACAATTTGTGATCAGCAGTTGCTTTTTTTTTGTTTATCATCATCTCTTAATGCCCTTTGTCACATAAGGCATCAACAAGTGAACACAATTTCATCCTATCACTAGCTTTAACCTCTGCATAAGGCATGTTCTCATTTTCTCTTGCCCTATGGTATTTGAGAGCAGTCCTAGCCAATGCGTTTGCTCTCAGTCTAAGCACATGGCCCAACCATCTACACTTTCTAATTTCTGATTACTACTGTTAATGGGTGGATGAAAGTTCTTTTTAACCATTAATGTCCCGTAACGCCCGCTGCCGCCCAACACCGTTAATGTCCCGTAACGCCCGCTGCCGCCTGCTTACAATACGCATAGAAAAATTAAATTTGTTTCATTAAAATTTGGAACTACAAATCCTAATTTTTAACTAAACAGGAAGTCGGATAGTTTCAGCATCCTTTTCCGGTCTTCTAATTTCAATGGCGCTTTTGAAAGATAAAAAATAAAAGTTTCTTTCGATCTCGAAATTTTAGACTCATCTGTCCTATTTTTAGTAGATTTAATATTAAAAATAAAATAATGCCTCTAAACGTATCTAGGCATGTATTTTATGAATTATATATCTTAAACATAACCAAATTGATATTTAACTGTTAAATTCGATGCATAGTTGTTTAGATAAAAATAAATAAAGTTGACTACCGAAAATGACCTGTTTTGAATTTTCTCCGACATTTTTTATTTTTATTCTGTACTTGTACCGAATATAATATATTCTATTTAATACTGTTGGAAAGCCAGGTTTATTCCCAACATTAAGCAGTAGTTTTTATCTTAATTTTCAATTTCATTTAGACAAAAACAAATATTTTGTGAAACTATTCACTTGATCATACAGAGTTATGCTCCTTACATTGGGCCGTCATGGGTGGAGTTTTGGTATAATGAATGGGACATTAATGGTTAAATCCTCATTTTAGATAGCGTTTAGCCAGAAGATTCTCAATATTTGTCATTAGCACTTGTTCTGAAAAGCTTGTAGTTTCACCACAATTGCATTTGTAGTTTACAACATTCGGAGCCATACAGGAGGAACCTAAACACATTATTTTTAAATACGTTTAGACACCAATAATTTGAAATGGTGATTATATATATATATATATATATATATATATATATATATATATATATATATATGAGAAAGTTTAAATACCTGAAAAGTTTGCATCAAGAAAATCACATATAGGCAGGGGTCTTTGACCACGCAAAACTGTTATATTATGTGATTTGTAAAATGCTTCTACTTCACTCTGTTGATAATAACACATGCAAAAGTAAATAAATAACAAAATAAAGATTCATTAATAGTGTTAAAAATTTATTTTTATATTCAAAATTTAAAAAAAAATACTTCTTTTAAGTTATGCAGAGCTGGCTATAGTCTTACCCTATCTTAGCTACAGTAATGTTTAACAGCAGGCTGTCTAAAGATTATATTATTACAGCTTCAGCTGTTTTCTTTTTCCCCCATCCTCCTAGTTTCCCATTTTAGCCAAAACACATGTGGTAGATGAAGTAGAGTTCACCGATTTCAATTACCTTGGCATACATGGGGATAGGAGTGGTCAGCACTATGCTCAGCTGAGATACAAAAATCTAGACTTACAGGTTAGCTGTCATAAACTCTACCATCCAACCACTCAGTCTCATGTTTTAATTTTTAAATATCCTTAAGGCCTATAGAAGGTTTATAAAATGCTATTTTTATATGTACTTTGACCCAGAGCAGGGAGCACTTTAACTAAATTTGTGAAACTCTTAAAAAAATATTTTTCCTTTTCTTTAAATCAAAATCATTGTGATTCTATGAGGAAATTTTTTTTTTAAGAAATACAATTTTTTTAAAATCAGCTTTAACTGGATAGCATGTATCATGGTAACAAATTCTAAAAAATCTACCTGTGATAAACGATTTTCTGTATTTTCAACATAGAAATTCTTTTCAATGGGTGAGAGAGCACCAGTGTCCCATGTCTTATCTTTCAAGTCTGCACCCAATCTTCCAACATCAAATCGTTTATTTGACTGATAATATGATCCACCATCAAAGTGCCTGTTTGATTCATATGACCCACTGTCAGAAAATCGCTGAAACCTTGGTCTGTCATAATAACTTCTTCGGTTTTCATCACTATGCTGTGTAGAAAGTCTGTTATATGACGGTTTATTTTCATAGGAATGTCTTCGACTGTAGCCTTGTCTGTGAAAGGTATCCTGGACGTCATTTTCATTATCTTGAAGTTCATCTCCATCGCGGGAACGCCGAGACCTAAAAAATTAAACAGAAATAAGATTAGCCTTATAGCATCAATGCCAAGCTTTGTTCTTTATTATTTGATATGATTGTATATCTTCGTATTTAACATAATACAAAGTGTTTTATTATTAGGTCTATTATCTATTATTGTATTTATTCCTGCTTCCTTATGTTGACTAAACTTAAAAAAATAAAACAATTTAGGCCTATTACAATCAACTTTATATTTTAACGAGGCTCAATAACTCGAAAGCGTCCTTGGTTGCTAACCAGAACATGGCTACCACACCTTGGCCTACGATTGGGCAATTTTTTCAGCTTTGTTCGAGAGACCACCTTAAGATTAACATTAAAAATAATTATCACGCGAAAAATGGCGTTTTTTTTTGCGTATTTTAAGCTATCTGAAGATGACAAAGCTATTTTTGCCAGAAAAAAAAATTAAAATTTGCTTCCGACAATGTAGGTGAAACGTAAACATGGGTATAGTTTGAGTTGTTTAAAAACTTTAAATAATGGTCTGTTAGGTGTCCAAATGGCACTGTACGGTAGGCTATTATTAGACTGATCGTTTAGTGAAAAAATATTGTAATTATTTTATAACCATTTTAAGAAATCGGCGCCCAAAAAAGGTCACTGAAAGCACGTAATTTTTAATTGTGACGTCATCGCTATTGTGATGGATGCTGTACGGAAGTATGCGCAATAGACGCTAAAAGGGTTGTATATTATTTCAAATGGGCTCACAATTTGGCCTTGATTTCCTGCGTAATTAGGCTAATTGAGAATCATTAGTGATCTTTTACCTGGCCATGTGATGATAGGTATCTTACAAGGCTATAAAAGCCCGCGAAACACATCGATCTACCCTTCAGATTGGTATTGGTGAGAGTATTTGATGCATACTTATTATAGCAAGAATAACTAACTTGAAAGCGTCTCTGGTTGCTAACAACACAGTAGCGTAGCGAGGGGGGGGGGGGGGCGGACACATGTCCCCGGGCGCCGAGCTTAGGGGGCGCCAAAATGGGTTGGAAAAATAAATTGAAAGGTTGAGGGGGGTGCAAATCAAAATCTCGAGGGGGGGGGGGGGGGGTGCAAATCGAAAGTTTGAGGGGGGGGGGTGCAAATCGAAAGTTTGAGGGGGGGGGGGGGTGCAAATCAAAATCTCGAGGGGGGTGCTAATCGAAAAGTTTGTCCCCGGGCGCCGGGAAGGGTCGCTACGCCTCTGTAACAACAACATGGCGTCCTAAACCGGACGCTTAGTTTCGGGCATTTTTCTTGTCTGCCCAAGTGACTTTATAGGAATTCGTTTTTAAAATGTTTACCTCGTGAAAAATTGCGGTTTTTTCACATAATGTAAACAAACTATAGTTGGCAGTGCTAAATATGCCAGAGAAACGCTATAAATTGCTTTGGATAATGAAGACCGAAGCTCAAAAAGTGGTGCCGACAAACATTCGTAGATCTTTTTAAATATTAGCAACTACCATGTAGATCGGAAACCGAAAGTACATCAATATTAGATTTAACAGTCTGTGTAAAAATAAATCGAATATTACATGCGCTAATTTTTTAAAAAATTCTTCAAAACGGTCACCACCAGAAGTAAAAATTCCATAACCCACGTGACCGCTATTGGGCGGCAGACGTTCGCCTAGGTGGCTCTATCGACTCTTTACTACGTTTGTGTTGACGAGCGTTAAGTGAATATTTTCCAATTTTGATTTTTACATTGCTGGACAAATTAATTAAGTATTTCGATCTGAACACGGGAAGATAGGAATTAGTTGGTATTTCTGTAAAAGCCCGTAAACCTGTGATCTCGTGGTGAAACGCGATCTCGAAAAAGTCTAGGTGCTAAATTATTTACTTGATTTTATTATTACTAATTACTACTAGATCGAATTATAGTTAATATTATTTTCATTTGCTTTCATTTTTATATAATTGATTATTATGATTTAGATCCAGAAGGGCTAGGCTAATAAATTATAATAATCATATTAGAGGACAGCCTGCATGAACAAAAGTTTGCATTCTTAGATCTAGATCTAGTTGACACAGTACAGGGACTTGCGCACACGCTCGCGTGACGAAAGAACGCAAGCGGGCTCGTGACGAATTTGCATAATTTTTCACTCACAAGTGATCAACGTTAATGTGATAGGCGTAGCCTAACAATCTTTAAATAGATCTATCTAGATCTACACACCAGCTCTAGATACAAATTTAAGTATTAAAACTCCACCTGGATCTAGCTTCGGACGGGCGATGTTTCTCTCGTTGACAAAACAACGCGAGCGAGCCGTCACTACGCACAGCCTATGAGTGGCGATGTTTGGAATGCATTTCTCACTCACATGTGATGAAATTTAATGCAACGACAGTTTTAAAAATAAAAACAGATATTTTATTATGCCTATATACTTTTTTTTAATATTTAAAACTCAGCCTAGACAAAGCTTCCATGCTGGATAAGGGAGGAGGGTTAGATTCCGCCGTTAACTCAATCTATGTATTATTATGCATAATTGTCCTAATTAAACATTCCTATTTACACTGATTAATCAAGACTGAATAAAAGTGAAAATGAATACCTTTAAAAAGTTTAGATCTATATATTTTTAAACATTTATACGTGATTATTTTTGGTTCATTCATTTGGCGTTTGCTAAAAATATAGTAAATAGATTACATAACCAAGTTACGAGTATCCTTTCGATTTCGTTTTATTGCAGCATACCTCCACTTCCCCCTCCCCACACATGATCCTTACGAACCTCCTAGGTAGTTTTCAGGTCAACTTTAGGAATCAGATCTCAGACTGGTTGTCCTGGAAAAATCTTTCACAGCTAAGCTGTATGGCACCAATAATTAAAATCATGTATTTTAGTTCATAATGAGCTAAAATCATCAAATGTAGTGCCTAGTTAGTTAGAAAAATATCTCTAGCTTTTATTGGTATTGGTTAAAAAAATAAAAAATTAAAATTAAGATTTAGTGAGCTTCGCTATTATATTTTAATTTCAATGGTCCAATAAACCATTATTTACTGTAAGCATCTATATATATAATTCTCTTCTTCAAGCCGTTAGAAAACAAGCTGCAAACGCTCTCCCTACCTCCCCACCCCTACATGGTTTTAGTGAGCTGTGTTCACTCTAAATGTTTACAAGCAGAGCCAACGATTTTAAACGTAAGGGGGGGGGGGGGGGGGGGGGGGAGGAGGGGGGGGGGGAAGGAAGGGGGGGGGGGTTATGGTCCTTAACGAGCTACTTATAGTGTTTTAAAGAAATATTTTCAGTGTCAGCGTTGGTGCTGTCGAATTCACAAATTATGAATTATTGAAAATTAGAAACAACTAAATAGCGGCGTATGTTATGCCGCGGGCCGGCTCGTAACTTATATTTATGAAACTCAACAAACATTATCGGATAATTTCTGACTAACTCTAAACTAAGGTTTTATTGATTGTAGTAGACTCTAAAAACTTAAGTCATCTTTATTCTTTGTACACTGGCACATGGCCTTATCCCTACACTACAAAAAATGGTAATCTATCATTTTAGGCTTTAGGTACGTAAAATCGCCTGTGACTAGTAGGCCCCTAATGTGAAAAACAGCTGACTCCTTAAATTTTAATAACTATTTCACATTTTGAGGAGGATTTATGTTTTGAAAAATATAAAAATGTTGGTAATCTATCGTTTTGGGTACGTAAAATCGCCCGCGGCTATTTATGTACGAAAACGTTACCTCATTGTCAAGGCTTTAATAGAAGTATTTTGTCATACTTTTGTGTCAAATATTATAGATAAATGAATAATAAACCTAAATCAATGGCTAAATATATCGATATAGGCCAGAAATTAACTTTAAACAGCAGTGTCTGAGAGCAAGATTTGCTATATAAACAGCAGCCATTTGTAAAATAGAGTGGCTTCCCCCTGAATCTGGCGCTAAAAGCTTATAAAAATAAAACTTAGACAAGATGGCTGCTATAGTAAATGAGCATGGTTGCATCTGTTGGAAACATCGCTAGTCTTCATTTATTACGGAAAAGTTTTAATTCAATTGTTTAAAATCAGGTACATAAATGAATCAAGGAAACATTTTTGAATTTTTTAATACATAAATCCTCCTCAAAATGTGAAATAATTATTAAAATTTAAGGAGTCACCTGTTTTTCACATTACAAATCGCGGGCGATTTTACGTACCCAAAACGATAGATAACCAAAATGTTTCCTTGTTTCATTTATGTACTTGTTTTTAAACAATTGAATTAAAAGTTTTCAGTAATAAATGAAGACTAGCAATGTTTCCAACAGATTTAAGGAGTCACCTGTTTTTCACATTACAAATCGCGGGCGATTTTACGTACCCAAAACGATAGATTACCCCAACGCCTAACACTCTAACACTCAGATAGATACTGACTAATTTAGTAATTACTAATAGATCATCTATGTAGTGCAGTATGATGTAGGCTATCCTTCCTAGATCTATAATCTACAGAAAAAAAATGTGCGATTGTTCAGCAATGGACACCAGCGAGAAAAGTCTCAAAGGTATTTGAGAGGTGTATAAATTCATTTAAAAATCATGCACAGCGTAGTTACAATTAATATGGTTTTAAAATCCTGCCTGTCTGGTTTTTTTCGGACTTTACTAAAGATTGGATGTATTTGATGTTTATAATATTTTCGGTAACTAAATAAAAATTAAAAAAAAAGCAAAAACAATTTGGTTTTCACGTGTAATGGCGACATAAACAATGGCATCCTGCTATTTGATAGGCCGTCATAGATTTTATTGTACACATTGTAAGCTAAAAATAGAAAACTAGGTCATGGGGTTTTTAATTTGCATTGTTATTTAAAAACTTGATCTGCAAAGTTTTGTAAACAAATTAGCTAGTCTCATAACGCGAGTTGAATTACCTCCCCTGACCCGCTTTTTTATGGCCACTTTCTAGTTCGTTTTTTTCGATCGCGTCTCGGCACTGTTGCTAAAAATAGCATTCGCGCAATACCATACGGGTAAATCTGCTTGGCGTCTGCTACACGTGATAGATCGTTGAATGGCCGACAAGCTGATATAAAAATTATTGCGACCGGATGCGATTTTCGTGGAAATTGAGCTAGATTTAGCAAAAGACAGCTATATTTGTGTAAAATATTATTATTTATACTTCTACTTACACAGATATTTTGATAACTGCAGTTCAGCCGTCCATTTTTCTTTTAAAATGTATCTTTAGAATTTCTGTACCTTTTGGCAATCGGTCAGGAGCATTTGCGCACTAAACCCACCCCCCCTACGGCAGATCCGATTTTTTTCCCAGTGAACTCGTACTGACCTCCCACATAGCTAAGATAGTACATTGATACTGATGGGAAAGCCTCTAAATCTGTATTCCTACTAGAGATCTAGAAATAAATCTAGATCGTGGAGTTTTTATAATGACTTTTAAATTGAATGTCTCCAGTTTAAGATATTTTTTTTTCAAAACATAGCTACTTTTAGTACTATATTTAAGTATTTCAAACCCTTTTGGTAGTTTTTTCTTATACTTAGACCTAGATCTAGATCTAGTGATTAGATATCTATATTTTGTACTTATAACTTGCAGGCCTATTAAAATAATAATAAAACAGTTTGCTTGATAACTTCATTAGGTCATTTCATAAACACAAATGTTATAAACATATAAAAATCACAAAACCATAGGTAATATCTGAATTCTGTAGCCTACCTTACATTTAGGCTAATACTGAATTAAAAAGAAATTACATTAAGGTTTGAAATTAATACAACTTGTAATTAAGAAAGAAAGCTTCAATTCTAAATACTACAAGATCTAATAACAAACAATGAAACAAATTCAAAGCTTTTTTCAACCCATTTAGTCGAAAAGATTTTTATTTTTTCCAATATTGACCAAAATAAGTTTTTAAAGCTTAGGCCTACTGTTTTTACAAACATAACTCAATTTTATTAGGCCCCTGTAAACATTAATTAAGATTCCTCTGTAGACAAAGCAATCTATTTGGCAGATGAAGTAGAGTTCATGTTTCTTGACCTCGGCATATGAAGTGATTGTCCGTGTGGTCAGCGATATTCACAGCCGCCTTTACTTTTTACCTTTAATTTCCCCAATGTATATCAGGTACCCATGAGAAATGGGTGGACTCTAATTGAATTTTATTAAACAAACATTTTGATATAGGCCTAGATCTATAATCTATAACATTCCAAACAACATCTGTTCTGTAGAATTTACCTTTCTGCTTCCAAATGCGGTATTTTCCAATTGAAAATTCCTCACAAAACATACAATAAATTATATAAATGGCATTTTATAAATTTATATAAACTATTTACTTTCACCTTGGTGTAAAAAAATGTAGGTATAAGCAAACTGATTTCAATAGTAAGAAAGAATCATGTCTTTTCTTGCTTACTAGCTTTAAAACAAGTGAATTTGACTTTTTACCTGCGTTTTTGGTCGCGTTTCTATATATTTTATTTGCGACACTAAAAAAATTATATTTAATCAACCGATTATGCTAAATTAATAAAATTGGCACTGTTGGATTGCATTTTTAAAGCTCTACAATTATATGCTATTCTTTTTATAATTTGAAGAAAATTGAATTTATATGAGACTAACTAAACAAATAGTTATCGATCACTAAGTTACTGTACAGCCAATCAATATTTGTCTTACGAAAGTGAAACATCCGGTTATAACTTAGGCTTGATGAAAATAAATAGAAATGTAGCCTTAAACTCAACAAATTATTTTCTAGTTCTCTGGATTTGCAACTTTTATAGCATTTATTCTAAAAATATAGGCCTAAAATTTCTAAATTAATTTTAGGCTTAAGTTTTTATTTTTTATTTTTTTTACTGTCTAAATCTAAAAAGCACGTTTTTATTCCATGACAACAACACTATGGAAGGAATCTCGTCAACTCGCTTGTCTCCATTCAACATTGAACACGATAACCGACAAGGGCAAATCAAGTGCATTGCGGTGCTTTGTTGCATATGACAAGGAACTCAACAAACCAGTCATTTTTATCTGAAGCAAAGTCTCTAATTAATAGAGCAGATCGATGTGTAAGTCCATTTGGTTCTGTGGCAGAAATTATTTTCTGATAACGACATAGACCTATCAAAGCACGTCTTAGAGAATACATTTTAGTAATTTAACTGTTTAAGTTTTTGTAACCCTACTGAATACACATGCTAAAGGTTGGTGTAGTTGTCGTGTATTCAATTAGTTATCGAAAACTAGCTAGAGTTTACACATGATAACAACGGTGAACATCGTTTTTGATTATTGTTTTATAATTAGGCCTATCTATATGTATGCTTTTTATGATGGAACAACAAGAACTCTTCAAAACTATTTTCAAAAGCAAACCAATTAGATAATAAGTTATTTTTTGAGGAGAAAACATTTATTTTCGTGCGAACAAGTAAGGGAAGAAGACTTCACCACTGAAATTAAAACACGCATCTCTAAATCCAAGAAAATCTTTGCAACCATGCAAAAACAGATTTCGATTTTAAAAAATCTCCTCCAAAACCAAATGCATACTTTTCATAAGTAATGTCCTTAGCGTACCACTGTATGGCAGCGAATGCTGGATATAATCATCCAAAACCAGCAGATCACTGGACTCTTTAAAAAGTAAGTGCTTGCGAAGAATAAAAAGCATACAATGGCCTAACACAATTACTAGGAGAGATGGAGATAGATCTAGAAGCTGTTTCCGAAATAATTGAAAAACGAAGATGGCGATTGATGGGGCATGTCCTAAGAATGAATCCTGATGACATCGCAGGAATAGCGCTAAACTGGACGCCTAAAGAAAAAAGTAAGCAAGAAAGGCGTGGAGATGCACTGCGGGGATGCAGCTGGAAGAGGCAGGGCTGTCATGGGCGACTGCCAGGAAAATTTCCGGTGACCGACAAAAGTGGAACTAGCTTTCTGTGACGGTCCATTGTGTCTTGGCCACACACACACACACACACACAAAAAAGGAAAAGGTGATGGATCTCTTGCGAAAAATCTCTAAAGCCAAAAATTACTATTATAGGCACCCTAGGTTAATAAGTTGATTTGCTCAATGCCGTATTAACGGGACTTGGATTTGTGTTGTGATATCTGTTATAATATACGGATGAAAATCAACAGAAAAACATACAGGAAAATACTCTTCAGAAAGTCACATCTTTATTCGCCTCATCTGGATACTTTACCCTGCACCACGCCCTATTTCTTCTCGCGAACATTCGCCCTCTCCAAAAAACCCAGGTCAGCTCTCCCCGAAAACGTTAATACACTTAGACTAGAACATAGCACATAAAGTCAGAAGAAAATTAAAGGGTAGAGCCGGCGTTAAGAATGCGCGGGGCCTAAGGCCAACTATTCACGCGGGGCCTGATTTGTTTTCATTTGTGTCTCAAACGTGTCGGTGAGGCTGTATCAAATCATAGAAATGATGTACGACTTTTGTGTTTTATTAATTGTTCGTAGTCTTTTTCTCAATTTTGGAAAAGTAGCGTTTTTATTCTCATCAAAGGGAATTAAAATTATGTCAAATCGTTCCCCTTTCATTATCGCATCTGTGTCCTCGACAGTTATAAGCCAAATTTCCTGAGTACTGCTAGCAGTAATTCTGGCAATCGTTTGAGCTCCTGCATATTCAACCACAGCAACGAACAAGACAAGATTAGCGTGCCTAAGCTCTCACAAATTATTTCTACATAGTTCAGAATACAATAACGTCAGGGGGGGCTTATCCACAGTCACATCAGGCCAAATACTAGGCGAACGTACTACAGCTAAGTGTGACACTAAGGTCTTCCAATCGAATTACGACCTGTACAATTTCAGGTGGGTGATAACTCGTTACATCAAGCGTGGCCTCTGTTGTATTAATCAAGAATGTCGGACTTCGGGCGGCTTTTATAGTTTTTTTCAGTTTAATCCAGCAAAGATTATTTAACTTTACAGACAAATAAAGAAAATAACGGTGCTGAATCGCGTGACTCCTTCAAGTGCGGGACTTGCCCAAGTGCGCTGCTCAGACCAAGAGAATATTTAAAAAAAAAAAAACTTTAACACGCTTTTAATAATAGTTGTTGCGTGAAAAATAATTATTGATGTATAGATCTTACGCCGCCATTGTTGCAAAATTACTTCGTAGAACGACGGACATTTTTAATAAAGAACCGGACAATGATCCGCAATTACTACAAAAACTATGGAACTTAATAAATATGGAGTTTAGACTTTCCGGTGTTTATGGTTAATTATTAATAAGGCTGTAATATTTGTTCTTCGACAAGGAAGCCACATGGAAAAAAGTACACGCATGCCCGGGTCTTCAATCAAGTAGAATACATTGCGACTTCACCTTCTCAGCATGATTCTTTGCACTCCTAACGTTACCCAATTAGTTAACAAAGCTTAGGCCTAGTTGTCTGTAGTTTTCGATATTTTTAATAATTCTCTCTCCCCCCCCCCCCCCCAACTTGGGATAGAACAACTAGTTTTCCTTACAAATCTTTGGCTAATCGTGTTTTGTAGAGTGAACACCTCATATAACGAATATCCTGCTAGAACGGTTTGCGTTCGTTTTTTTTTGTGGAATCACCGTATGCATTTGATTAAAATTATTCGGGGCCCTGAGTTGAGAAGAGCTCTCCAAAGAGCTTTTCTGTTGCATATTTTACATTCTTTTTATATCGGTCATTAGAACTTCACAAATTCTATGTTTGGAAACATGGCGGGTATCTGCTCGTCACCGCTATGGGTAAGTTTTTAAATCAATTATGCAAATCTGTGTTTCTAGTACGTTTTGTTAATACACAATAAACTGTAAAACATGTCATTACAAATTTTTCTGAAATCTGTATTGCAACAGTGATCTTTACAACAATTTCTTTTTAACAAATGAAAATGGGTGTAGTCAACTTTGTCAAAGCATCAACAAAAAAAAGGGAAAACTAAAAATAGGCCGATAAAAAAAAAAGAATTGAAAAGTGTGAAGTCATGATGAGTTTTCATTGAATTAAGAATCTAGTCTAGATCTGAATCTAGGATGATACCAATTCAGGGGGATGTATCGTTTTGGATACGAAAATTAATAAAAATTAATTTTGTGCTAACAAAGTTAAATGATTAATTTATTAAATGATAAATTAAAATTAAAATTATTAGTTTAGCCTAGTAAATCAGGACTGTAGTTAGTAGGCTGGCCTAGGCTAGCGGCTAGACCTAGATCTATTTGAAATTTAAGTCTTAAGTTAAAGTAAGGTTAAAATAATAAGTTAATAACTTAGCCTAAACTAAATAAAAATAAGTCAAGCAAGTTATTCCCAGTCAACTGGAAATTGGCTATCCTAATTATTAAATTAATTAGGCCTAGTAGATCCAGATATCTATATATTAGCTTAGTAAGTATAATTTATAGAAATTTAGGGCCTAAAATTCCTTTTTAAACTTCATTTCATCACTAGATCTAAACAATTTTGGCATGTGAACTAAATAAAAACAAGATTTAGCTAAAGTGCATTTAATTCCATGTAGGGGCAGAGGGTCTATTTAATCTATAAATAATAAATATACTTAATCGTACTCAAAATATGTAGTTGAAATTTGACTGTAACATTTAATAGCCTAGTACCAAGTGTGACACACAGTTTTGAATAAAACATGCTTTCTTAAATTAAGGCTTAAGGGGGTTTGGGATATTTCTGTTTGCATTTTATTCTAGCTGTAGCAAGCTACACATGTGCAGTGGAAAAAATATTTGCCTCCATTCATGACAAGGTTTTCCATTAACTATACATGCATATATTTACTCTAATGCCAAACCCTAATCCTCTTAAACCAGAGTTTCTTTCAGGCATCTCTTCATTCTTCAGGGGTGAGGGGGGGGGGGGGGCTTAATAGTCATCCTTAATGGTAAGCCTAAACTTAACTTTTATTTACTAAGTGAAGTAAGAAAAGACAATTGCAAAAAAAAAAAATCAGATCCAATAGGATGGAACCAACACCATAAAACTAGCTGACCAATGCGCAACCACTTCCACTACCTGAATAGTTATCATAATATAGAAAAGTTAAATGTCATATGCAATGAATGCTTGAGCATACATATTCCCACAGCTAAATACGTTATTAGCTAGGCCTATTTGTTTGTCACATAATCACAAGTATTGTTCCATTACTTCATTTTTTTGCGGTACATTTAAAATTAATGAGTTAGCTTCAGCAAAAATATCTTCAAAATACCACCAACAAAAAGTCATTTTATAATATTTTGTTTTTTTTGGCACATGAGATACCAACAGTCAATAACTTGATAATATCACATGGAAATAAAAATATTAGAGATTTACATTGAAAATAGGTGATACTTTTGATCCTTCAAGCATTTTTTATTAGTCAATGCTTTAAGAACAAACTTCTGGCAGTAAATTTTTCATGGCTCTTATCACTGCATTTTGCACCACTTTATTTTTGCGGCTTCTTCCAAAGTGGTTTTCCATATCAGTACATTTAATTTATCTAAAGTATTAAGCGTAATTGTTAAAAGCACTAATTTTTATTTAAAAAAAAGTAGGTAATTTAGCCTTACACCACATAAGCTGATATAATAAAGCCAAGATTTTAAAATTTGATTTGTTCTATTGCATTATAAGTGTCTCTTTAATAATTTCTACAGGATACAAATGTGACCTGGGATACTCCTACTCCTGACTTCACACCATGTTTCCAGACATCCATACTTGCTTTGGTTCCCTGTTTTTTTCTTTTCCTACTTGCCCCCTTCAGGATTTTTTTGTTGTGGCGTCACAAGTTGAAAGTTATCACCTGGACATGGCTGAGTGCATTAAAAGTGGTAGGTTTTCTTAAAAGAAATATGACATTAATGTGCAATGGTTTAACTAATATGTTCATCAACAAACCATGTCAAATTCTGGGGTTTATTAGAAACTATAGATTGAATTTAGCCCATAGATAAATCCTAATCCTATCAAAGTCTATACTCAAAGACTTGATCTGTTACTTTCTTTTTGTTACATTATTATAGCAGACATAAATCTGTAGTTACAAATACAACTTTGTATGGTTCAGCTTGCCAGTATTTGACTTAAAATGTGCTTTATTCCAGGTTGTACTGGGTATGTTGATGCTTTTTGCCTTCTATGAGTTTATCATGGGCATAGTAAGGAGAGCTAATGATGACACCAAACCAATAATTGACATTTTATCACCCCTCTGTGTGGTTTTTACAATGGTAATTTTTTAATTAAACACTATTTTGTCTTAATATAATAATGTAAATATTCACAGCAGTGAAATATATTTAAAAATAGTTATTCCTTTTACATCAAAATTTTAAAAATAAAACAGTAAATGTTTTTATTTGAATGGTATTTACAAGTTTTTAAAAAGTTTTATAATAATACTTTACTTGATTTTGTATTTCTTTACTGTGTTGTTTGTCAATAAAAGATATTTTAAAAACTTCTAATAAATTAAATTTCAGGTGCTGGTTTTCATCATTATTGTATTGGAAAAAAATCGTGGCTATAGAACTTCTGGAGTGCTTGTGTTGTTCTGGCTCATTTATCTTGTGTCAGGAACTTTACGTCTACAGTCGGTCATTAGAATTGCCATAAACACTGTGAGTGCTTATTGTAAATGTGGAACAACTTTTAATGCTTAGTTAGTGGTGTAGGTGTTAGTTGAAATGTTATAGGACAATTCAAATGCATTAGTTTCTTTGTAAGCGACATTTATTAAATTAAAATGATTTTCATATCTTGTTTTGAGCTATTTAATTGGGTTTTTCCGGGCAGCATAAGGGATTTACTCTTCAATCATATTTATGTTAGGCATTACTTCTATGAGCTTTATTATTTATAGTTTTTATAGCAACTTTTGTTTTCATTTGAATGATGTTGTTTAATATATAAAATACAGCTTGATGAAAAAACAAATTGCATCCTATAATAATATACATAAAAAGCTGAATCATTTTTTGTTTGCTTTAACAGGGCTACTCATCCCCATCTTTGTTTGTCCATTATCCGTGTCTTCTGTTTGCATTCATTTTGTCTGTGTTGGTTGACTCAAAACCGGCATCTGAAAAAGAACCAGAGAGTGAGGTATAATATGGTGACATTTTAGATTTGTTTAATTAAATTCATCAATTTTTTAAACTGTGACTTATGATTAATTTATTATGTAAATATAACATATAGTTGTACTGTCAAATAAAGATAAAATACTATGTTGTTGTATTGTTTAAATGGGTCGGCGTGGTCGAGTCGGTAAAGCTCGAGTTCGAACCCTCGTGCAGATGAGGCTCGTTAGCTGGAGACAGCCACTCTTCTAGGAGAGACAACTCCAAAATTAAACAACTGCTGCCTTGTAGTTTGTTCTTGGTTGGATAAAGGCTATGGAAGCAAATCCAAAAAGAAAAGCAGGCTGAAATCGGAGTCAATGGCCTCAATGGCACATAACCAGTTGACACGTACCGCTTAATTGTGTTGGAGGCGAGGTCGAGTCATGGTTGATAAATTTGAACAAAGTCTCGAGTTCAAACTCACTGGCAGATAAATCTCGATCCCCTTCAACACTAATAATTAAGAACAAAGACGAAGAAGAAGAAGTATTGTTTAAATAACTTTTATTTTCTGTTTTGATTTACTGTACACTGCTTGAGTTTCATGAAGACATAGCTTGTTATATTTATATTTTAATTTTTTCTGTCTTCAAAGTCTCCAATGCATTGAACCAGTTATTTAATCATCATGGGGTGTTAACATTTTTTTTTCAGAAACCATGCCCAGAAAAGGAAAGCTCATTTTTGTCGCAGTTGACATTTTGGTGGTTTACAGGGTAAAAAAAGTTTTTATATCACATTCATAAAGATTTAATCTTTTTTGTGAGATAGCTAATGGTCTATTAGTATATATGTGGCCAGTATGTTTCATGTTGATACTGGGTCTATTACACTGTAGTGGGCCAATTATGACACAGTTCAGCTCCAATAAGATTCTCTAATTTTAGTTAAAAGACCCCTTTAGGTGAGCAAGTTTATCTAAACTTGGAATGTAGGCTTGCTTGGTTTAATTAATAGGTTTGTTGTTTCCTTACAGCATGGTGGTTCAAGGCTACAAAAGAGCACTGACCCAAACTGACCTATGGTCTCTGAACAAAGAAGACACCACTGAATATGTTTCAAGGGCATTTTACCAGAAATGGAACCGGACCAGAGAATTGTATGTTTATTTGTATTATACCATGTGAGAGTTTGTGAAAGAGGTTTTTATACTATGTGCTACTGGACTGATGTGTATTGTACAGTATTTGTAAAAAATATATTTTTGCCTTTTGGACTACTATTTTTTGATATTTAAAAATTGAATACAATCAATTTTGATTCAGACCTGTTGCCTCTACTGCTAATGGAGATGTTCATGAGACAAGTTTCATGTACAAGGAAGGGAGCGCTATCCTCGTACCTTATGCCTTTGTGGAAGACAGCAGGAAACAAAAGCGAACTCTATTTTCTGCCTTGGTCCGGACATACATTTGGTTTTTTCTCTTGGCTGCTATTTACAAATTTTTACATGATTGCCTTATGTTTGTCAACCCATATTTGCTCAAGTAAGTCTGTTGTATTGGTTTCTAGGTATCGTTAACTCATTTGCTAGTTAGACGCCTTCAATACATTTTCAAGCAATATTTGTTTTGATATTTTCTATTTGTAAATGTTATTCTTACAAACAAATTTTTTTATATATTTTCTTAGATTACTAATCCGGTTCACAAGTTCAGATGAATACATGTGGCGAGGCTACTTCTATGCAGCAATGCTACTTGTTATAGCTTTAGTTCAGTCTCTCCTGTTACATCAGTACTTCCATGCTACTTTTTTGCTTGGTATGAGGTTGAGGTCCACTATAACTGCTGTCATCTATAAAAAAGTAAGTAAAAATATTTAGAACTTCTTATATAAGCTTTTATAATTGGTATGTGAATTATAAGAAAATATGTATTTTTTTAGCATAATAAATTTAAAAAAAAAGAAAGGCTTAGACACATTCAAAATAATTGCTCAGTTTTTCCCTAGACCTTGAGATTTTTTTTTAGCATACTAAATTTAAAAAAAAAAAAAGAAAGGCATAGACTCATTCAATGCTGTTTTCCATAGACCTTGAGATTGTCCAACACTGCCAAAAGATCATCAACAGTTGGTGAAATTGTCAACCTAATGTCAGTTGATGCCCAGCGCTTCATGGACCTGACAACCTACCTGCACACCATTTGGTCAGGCCCATTTCAGATAATTGTGGCATTGTACTTCCTGTGGCAGACTCTAGGTCCCTCATCTCTAGCAGGTATTGGGGTGATGGTGTTGCTGATACCATTGAATGCTCTACTTGCTAACAAAAGCAGACAGTATCAAGTAAGTATAAAATGATTTCTGATATGTTATTTTCTATTGCTTTTTTATTTTGTTAAAAAATATGCATTTGTGTATAAACTATCTTAAATTTTTTCAGGTAGAACAAATGACTTTGAAAGATTCAAGAATAAAATTAATGAATGAAATTCTAAATGGCATGAAAGTAAGTATTAATACAGTTTAATTTCCAATAGATGTTTAGAATATATGCCAAGTACTTCTTTTTCTCTACTGCTTTGTAATATTTAACCAGAATTGTTTCAATTCTGCATATAGTTTAATTTTTATAAAGTGCATTAATTTAGTTGATGAATTTTCTGTCCAGGTTCTGAAGCTTTATGCTTGGGAAAGCTCCTTTCAAGATAAAATAATACACATTCGCAATAAAGAGCTGAAAGTTTTAAAGAAGGCAGCTTACCTGAATGCCATTAGTTCATTCTTCTGGACCTGTGCACCTGTGCTAGTGAGTAGAGATGGGCTAAATTATTTGGTTCGGTTAATAATCTTATAATATATTTTGGCTTTGTATTGTGTAATTTTTGCTTGAGTTCCATTTTACTTGCATGTTTTTAAATGATATCTGCTGACATAGTTGTGCCATTTTGTCTAATCCCACCCAGGTATCACTCTCCACATTTGCTGTGTATGTGCTGTCATCCTCTGACAATGTACTAGATGCTCAGAAGGCCTTTGTTTCATTAGCTTTGTTCAATATTTTAAGATTTCCTCTTTCCATGGTCCCAAATGTCATCACAAACATTGTTCAAGTAGGTCCTTTATTTTCTACTTGTATCATTCATACTTTAGAAGTATAGTTAGAAGTATTTTTATTACAATTATCATGTTAAAAGTTTAAATTAATGACATGATTTTTTTTTTCAGGCAAATGTTTCTTTGAAAAGAATACAAAATTTCCTGAATAATCCAGAACTAGACCCTCATAGTGTAGATAAAGAAGATGAAGAAGGTATGTTGTCAAATATTTACAACCTAAGCATTTGTAAGAGGATTGTACCCCTGATTTAACAGATACCTAAGTTATTTTGGCTTGTGTATCCACTCAACAGATGGTGTGGCTGTAAAGATAGAGGATGCCACTTTCTCCTGGGAGGATGGAACCAACACACTGACAGAGTAAGTTTTCTAAATCAAGTTATTTACTATACTGTTTTATAAGTTCTTTTAGCACGATTAACAAATGTAATGACCTATCACTCCCAGCATCAGTCTAACAGTGGAGGATGGGTCTCTAGTGGCTGTAGTGGGAGCTGTTGGAGCTGGAAAGTCTTCCCTGCTGGCTGCTATGTTGGGTGAAATGGACAGAGTCACTGGCGCTGTCAATGTCAAGGTTTTCTGCTCTAGCCTTTTCTACTTAAGCTGTGTTCACAATTTTATTGCACTGTAGCTAAGTAAATGAGAGAATCCACTAATCAGGCTATTTTAACATTTGATGTGGGTACTACATTTTTTTTAGTAACCTGAGCTTTTACTAGATTACAATATTACAAAAATGGAACTTGGGGTCGGATTCAAACTCGAGACTTTCATGCTAGTAGTCTAGCGCTCTACTGCTTAGGCCACCCCGTCCCATATCACCGTAATTAGTTAATAGCAATGTCTGTAGAAGAAATATTTTACAACTTTCCTTTGTGCTTTTACAAGATTTCTCCCTTATTACCTAAAGAATTAAAATGTAAGTAATCCTTACCATTGCCAATCCAGGGCTCTGTGTCCTATGTTGCTCAACAAGCCTGGATCCAGAATGCCACTTTGAAAGACAACATCCTGTTCAACAAGAGCCTGGACCAACAGCGGTATGACTCTATTGTTGAAGCTTGCGCACTGACCACAGACCTTGAGATACTACCTGCTGGGGATAGAACAGAGATAGGAGAAAAGGTTTGTTGCTCAGCTTCTGTTCTCTACTAAAGCTAGTTGATATTGACCAACACTGGGTTTTCAAATAGCAGTAAATTTGTATTGATATTTAGTATTATCTTTTGTATTAACATTGTTTTTTATTTTTGTATTATAAATTGTAATCCCTTAGTTTTGATGTTTAGTTTAATGCTTATTATTGTTATTTAGTATTGTCTTCAGTAGTAACATGGATATGTAATATTATCTTGGTATTTAGTATTGACTTCAATATTAACATTAATATTCTCGCTCTCTCTCTATTAATCCTTATCACAGATCTAAAACATTAATATTAGGTAGAGGCATTAGTATTTATCACAGTTGTTATTGTCTTTGGTATCAATATTGATATTTTATTTTGTCTTTAGGTATTGTTGATGTAACTTTCAGATTTGACTCATTTTTGTATGTTGATCTCCATGTTCCTTGATGTTTGCAGGGCATAAATTTGTCTGGTGGTCAGAAGCAGCGTGTGTCTCTGGCCAGGGCAGTGTACCAGGACACAGATGTGTACCTTCTAGATGACCCTCTGTCAGCTGTTGATTCACATGTGGGCAAACACCTGTTTGAGAAGGTCATTGGCCCAGAGGGGATGCTGAAAGGAAAGGTTCGTTGGCTCGTTTGACCATTTATTATATTCATTTTATTGAAGGAATGTGATGCAATTAAAGATGAAACTTGAATTAGTAAACTTACAGCAACATTATTTAGGAGTTCAACTATCTGTAAACAAAAAAAATTAAAACCATCTCTGGGACCAAGCATCATGAGACACCTGAAGTAACACTTAATTTCAATAGCCCCAGGTTACAAAAATAATTTTTTTTCTTTTGTGGCTCCTGACATATACCGTTTTATCACCCACCCCCCAAAGCTTGAGATTTTGTCTGAGGGACAGCTAATGTCTATTTCCCGAGCTGAGTATGTTTTTAAGCCCATAATCCTGACAAGTGTATAAAACAATACATTTATCATGATATACATTATTAGCGTAGTTGTTATTTCTTCATTTTATAAATAATGAACAACTCCAATGTCTAGCTTCCTCACTGTTTTGTTTTTGTTTCACAAATCTTAGACCAGGGTTCTGGTGACCCATGGCATCAGTTTCCTGCCTCAGGTGGACAAGATTATTGTTCTGGTCAAAGGTCAAGTGTCAGAGGTTGGTTCCTTTGCAGAGCTGATGAAACGAAATGGGGCTTTTGCTGAGTTTCTCAGGAATTACTTAACAGAGGAGATGAAGGAGGATGAGAGTAACTTGGATGACCCTGATGGTAGGTTTGATTTGACTTGTCAGAAATCTTTGGTATTATCTGCATTTAGTTCTACAATATTCTGGGGTTTTTATTTTGTTGCACACAGTTATATTAGTTGTTATGATTTCTTATTTTTAGTTGTTTTCTCAGCTTTTGTATCTTTCATTTATCATTCATTTTTTTAAGACTTCAATTTTGTAGTTGAAAGTTATGCTTTCAATTTAAATTTTGAAATTTTAAAACAAAAATGAAAGTTTAACTACATGAAAATAAGAAGTAATTTATATGTTCCACAGTTTCATTTATTTTTCTTTGAACTAAACATTTGAGTGAATAGATCTTAAGCTGCTCCTTTGTCACACTATTAAATAGCTTAATGTTATAACTAACCTAGTAGTGGTGAAATGTTTAAGTGAAAATGTGTTTGTGAAGTGCTAGTCATGCACAGAGATGTAAAGGTAATCAGCTGTACAGAGCTGCTAGACAGAAACCATTAGAATAGTTCCCTGCCTGTAGTAGCCAAAATCAGTGTCCAAAGAGGCAAATCTACTAAGGCTGTGTTGTTGAAGTTCACATGAAGTGAGCATATTTAAATTAATTTCAGGATTAAATCTTTATCCAAATTTTACAAGAGAAAAAAGTTGTCTTAGACAAAAACAAAAGCAAGAAGTTTAAAAATAGTTACCTACAGACACAATGAAACTGTTGGTTAGGCAGAATGAGTAAAGCAGTGGCGTAGCCAGGATCGTCTCAAGGGGGGGGGGTCCAATTTTTACCCGGCACAAACTTTCAATTTGCACCCCCCCTCAAACTTTTGATTTGCACCCCCCTTCCCCTTATACTTTTTATATATACCGAGGGGTCTATGGGGGGGGGGGGTTATGACCCCCCCTAACCCCCCCTGCCTACGCCACTGGAGTAAAGACATTCTGTAGACGCATGAGATTTACTTTAAACAAATGCCTAATACAGTATGATTAAACCATTAAACAGCTTGGCTCTCATTTTATTTTTAGCTTTAGTTTCTCTATTTCCTGTACCTAATAACAATGCTAACCCATGTAACCATTATAAATGTTGTCATCTTGATACTCACGGGTATGTGGTAACTGTTGTTTTGTATTTAGGCCAATCGACATCAAGTAATGATGGTAAGATGCATGTTGGTTAATTATTGCTTAATTTTTTTTTACCAATTAAAAAAAAAATTGCCCTGCAGCGGTTATGTTTCATGATTGCATTAACACATTTTATCACCCAGAACCTGTTTTGTCTGATACAGTTTTAGTTACACAACTAACAATTCCACTGATCATTTGTTACAATACATTAATATATACATTTAAATTGCAGTGAATTCTCAAGACTTATTATAATTTGTATTTAGCAAAGCTACTAATAAAAGTATAGTGACAATACGTTATTACCTCCAATTTAAAGTTCCACCATAACAAGTGATGTTACCAAAATAATCCTTTAAACCCACTTTAACAATAAATAACATTGTTACTAATACAAACAGTGATTTTTAATATTAGCAGTTAAAAGTAATTTAACCAATATCACATTTAATTTCAGTAAAATTTATTTTATTCAGTTACTGTAGTACTCATATATTAGTTTTCTAAGGAATTTGAAACTACATTTTTGAACTATTAACAGTACATTTCTTTTTCCATGAGTATAATCTACAATTGTGGTTCATTTATTTCTAATCACCAGTCACTGCACCTTGAATTAAAATATCAGGTTGTTAATAGACAAATGAATACTGGGAGTTAAAAAATTAGAAAAAAAAACAACAAATAAATTTATGATATTTATTAATGATTCTGACTGTATACTTATAATGTATCAACTGTGTATGACAAATGGTGATGATTATAATGACCCTAACCTGAATATGTTATGGTTCTGTGAAGTTAACTTGGACCCTTTACTGTTGAGTTGTTTTGCATGAAGTTTACCTGGTGATAGTTAATTACAAGATGGAATCAGAAATATTTACTAGAAATATTAACGTAATTTACAGTAATTCATCTAAAATAGTGGCATTCTTAATCCATGTCAATTGTTTCTCTATTGTTTATCACTAAATTAGATGTTAGGACTTGATCACCAACTTTTTGATTGATTATTTAAAAATGTATCTTTAAAGATCTTCTATCTTTGTGCTTTATTATGCTGTTTTTTTAGTAAAAGCATAGAGAATGAAAACAAATTTCATAGTAAATTTCTTTATTTATAAATTTATTGATATCAATAATATTTATTATTTATTATTCTTCATTTAGGCAAAATTATTAATGCCATTACGAATTCAGCTAAGCCTCTTCTTGTTAGTTAAGTTTGAAAAATGTTAAAATGAACAAACGTTAATTCAGCTTTACCAAAAACACATTCTGTTAATTCAATGTTAAATATATTTAAAAATCTATTGTAATATCAAATTTTATAACTTTTAATTGTGGTAAGTTACATTTACAATCCATCACTGTGTTTCATGTGTTTTAAAATTGTGTAATAAATTTTGATTATTTGAAAATTATTTTTTTCCCCATTTTATCTGGCAGCTTTAAGCAGGACAGAAGAGCTCTTATCCCAGATTGGCTCCTTGGTAGACGATAACAGTGCTCTACAGAGGTAAATCTTTCAGCTCACTCATGTAACTAGCTGTACCTTTTGAAAGTTTTAACCATCAAATATAACGTGAATTTTTTTTCTCTAACTTATTTTCATTCCCTCCACACAGGCAGGTCTCAAAGATCAGTCAGCGCTTACGCTCAGATTCTGAGCTCTCGAAGGGCAGCGACACCTCCCTCCCCACCTCCACCACCTCACCCTCCAGCAGGAGGAGACAAGACAAGTCTGACGTTATAGACAGCATCAATGAAGAAGACAAAAAACTTTTGGATGAGCCAAAGGAGAAACAGGGAGACAAACTAGTGCAGGCAGAGACGGCTGAAACTGGCAGGGTCAGACTTACATTTATGTAAATTTTACTGATATTATGTGGTATAGATAGGGTGATACATGCATTTATATATATTTTACTGATATTATCTGGTATAGATAGGGTGATACATGCAGTTATAAGGATTTTAACTGATATTATATGGTATAGATAGGGTGAGACATACATTTTTATATATTTTACTGATATGTGGTATAGATAGGGTGATACATACATCTATACAGATTTTAACTGATATTATATGGCAGGGTAAGACAATTAGACATACATGTATACATACTTTAACTGATATTATATGGTATAGACAGGGTAATAAGTAAAAGTTCCCTTTTCAAACCTCACGGTCTATAGGGCAAGTGAAGTAGAGTTCACTTGTTTCTGTGACCTCTGCATATGAAGAGATAGTGTGGTCAGCACTATGCTCAGCCGCCTTTACTTTCCCATACGTGAGTTAGGTACCCATCAGAGTTGGGTGGACTCACAGACAGTCTATTGACTTGAACCCCGATTCGAACTCGAGACTTAACGGGTTAGCAGTCAAGCTCTCTACCGCTAGACCACTCCGTCCCTTAGGGTAATAAGTATTTTTATATATTATAGGCAGGGTAATCCAAAAATGTATTTTTTACTGACAATCTATGGAATAGCAATTACATTTTTTTTTCTAATAGTTTATGTAAATTAGTAGTATGTAAAAAAAGCTAAGGAATAATATTATACAAACTTAAGTACTCAAATTGCATAAAAATGAAACTATTAACTCGATCAAAATACTGATATTCCACATCTTTCAGGTGAAGCTGAACGTGTTCATGGCCTATGTTCGTGCCGTTGGAGCCTTGATGAGTGTGGTGATCTTATTTTTCTACGTGCTGTACAACTCTGCCAGCATCTACTCCAACATCTGGCTCAGTGAGTGGAGCAACGACGCCCGCAACCCCAACATCTCCAGGGACGACGACCAGAGGAATATGAGGCTGGGTGTCTACGGAGCCTTGGGGATTGTGCAGGGTGAGTCATGTGTGCTAGGTGTGAGGAATTGTGGGTGGTGAGTACCACAGGGTGTGGTTGTGTGGGTGGTAGGTACCACAGGGTGGTGTGTGGGTGGTGAGTACCACAGGCTGTGGCTGTGTGGGTGGTGAGTACCACAGGGTGTGGTTGTGAGGAATTGTGGGTGGTAGGTACCACAGGGTGTGGTTGTGTGGGGGGTGAGTACCACAGGGTGTGGTTTGTGTGGGTGGTATGTACCACAGGGTGTGGTTGTGTGGGTGGTGAATGCCACAGGGTGTTGGTGGTAGGTACCACAGGGTGTGATTGTGTGGGTGGTGAGTACCACAGGGTGTGGTTTGTGTGGGTGGTGAGTACCACAGGGTGTGGTTGTGTGGGTGGTGAGTACCACAGGGTGTGGTTGTGAGGAATTACGGGTGGTAGGCTTTGGTCATGAATACTTGGAAGATGTAAATCTTTAACCTGGAAGGTGTTTCATCAATTTAAATTGCAAGCTCTTCCATTGTGGTGAATGTATGCTCATTTTCATGGTTTCATAATATTTTAATACAGTGATATTATCATAATTATAAATTCTTCACAAATTACCATCTGCTTTTACATTATTATAAATTATTTACTTTAAAAAAAAATTGGAAGTGTATTCAAATAACTGAATTACTAACATCTAGTTCTGTTAGCTTAATTAGAACCTGACTAATAATTAAACCTGCCTACAAGCCTTCATTGGTATGTTGTTAGCTTAACTAGAACCTGACTTATAATGACCCTGCATACAATCCTACATTACTATGTTGTTAGCTTAATTAGAACCTGACTTATAATGACCCTGCATACAGGCCTTTATTGATAATATGTTGTTAGCTTAATTAGAACCTGACTAATAACTAAACCTGCATACAGGCCTACATTACTATGTTGTTAGCTTAACTAGAACTTGACTTATAATGACCCTGTATACAGGCCTTATATTGATATGTGCTGTGTTGGCCATGAGAGTAGGGAGTTTGTTAGCTGCCAACAGGCTCCACCAGAAGATGCTGATGAATCTCCTCTCCTCCCCGCTGGAGTTCTATGAGCGCAACCCTCTAGGGAGAATCCTCAATCGCTTGAGTGGAGACCTGAACACAGTTGACACGACCTTGCCCCAGATCATGAATTCCTGGCTACACTGCATGCTGATTGTGTTGGGGATCCCTGTGGTTTTAGCTGTGGGGATGCCCTGGTGTTTGCTGACACTAGCGCCTGTCGCTGTGTTGTATATGGTTGTGCAGGTGAATCTGTATGGCTACCTCTCAGCTTTCAGCATCCTAGCTTATCTGAGGAGTTAAAAGCATGTCTTTGGGGATACTCTGCTTGACACATTTCAAAAAGAATTTTTGAGTAAAATGAAATTTAAAAAAACAACTTAAATGTTAAAAGCATTTCTTTGAGGATAATCTACTTGATACATTTCAAAAATAATTTTTGAATAAAAAGAAATTTAAAAAAAATTTAAATGTTAAAACAATTGTAAAATGGAGTTAAATTATTTTATTTGACTATGATACTTAAATCATTTTGAAGCTCCCAAAAATGTTTGTGTTAAATAAATTTGAAGCTCCCAAAAATGTTTTTGTTAAATTAAGAAGAAACTCTGAAAAGCTTTTCTTTAAGTATAATCAATTAGAAAATCAAGAGATCATATCTGCTTTATGTTGGTCAAGTGTTTGCTTGCTGCAAGGGTCAAGGTCATCCCTCCCCTTATATTTAATTTTGTTAAGTACTCACAGGACAAATAGTTTTTGTTTACATTTTGACATGATAATGGACATAGCACTGATTATCTACACGGAGAAAAAAAATGGGAAAAAAAATTGAAGATTTTGTTAATAATGACATCTGGCAATGGAAGCAATTTAGTTTAGTGTTGAAAATAACAACTGGAATGTCTTGTCATTAAAGAAAAATAACTGGGGCTTTGAGAACATGAATCCTGTACTGATCTACTGTAGAGTTAAGGTTTAGTCCTTGTTACTGAGTGCCAAACTAAATATAGATTATTGAAGAAATTCTTCCCAGACAAATACTAGACATGTTAAAAATGTAATAATATCATTTATTAAAATTGAATGAATTTTGTATTCTTTTATTATCTCTTCTGTTACTATAGTATGTTCTGCCTGATCACCATGATAACTGAGGAGAGTGATGTCCCTTTTCAGAAGCCCCCGAGAGTTGTATGCACTTCTTCCTATTCCTCAGGTGTTCTTGTAATGATGTGCGCTTTTAGCACAGCTCTGGGTGGCTTACATGCATCTGGTAAACTCTTTGCCCAGTTCCTGTCAGTGGTGATGAGAAACCCTCTGAGTTTTATCCAGCAGTACAAGACAGGGGCCATTCTCAACCACTGCTCCCAGGACATGGCCGAGCTGGACGATGTGGTGCATTTCACACTGCGCTCCATGCTCATGGTCATTCTGTCGTCAGTTGGGTCAGTCTTTATCATCGTTTACACCACGCCATGGGCCTTGGTCACTTTACCATTCCTCGTGCCTGGCTATTGCGCTGTGCAGGTATAACACACCCCATCCTCTGTTAGTGCTGCTCAAATAAAGCAAAGGCAACTCCTACTTTCAAATATTTCTGTGTATATATTGTATTAACCAGAGACCACCAATGATGTTTCCTCACCTTTTATTTCTACCTAACATTCTGTGACCTATGTTCCCTCTAAGCTGCGCGGTATGCGCGGCTGTGCAGTAATTTTCAACTGCCGCGCAGTCATTTTGTAAAATACATATATCATTGTATAAGACTTTTAGAACACAGCACACACAAAATACACATTACACACCAACTTTTTCCCCTTAGAGGGAACATTGTCTGTGACCCCTCTACTTTAATGCACCTGGTCCTCCATTTTGTTTTCATAGCTTGCCTTGTTATACAGTTCTTTGGCTATAGATCTTGTCACTGTCCAATCTACAGAAAATAACATGTATAATGTAACTAACATGTTTGTAAGCTAACAGCCAATATTTTTAGCTTCCGTTTTCTGTTTAGCTTAGACTACACAAGACTATTTTTAATGATCTGAAATTTAGGATAAATTGTTTTAGGCTCTATGTAGTCTAAAAAAATAAATATAAGTACTTGAACACTGCTATCACTTATTTTATCCACTTGTTTGCTGTGAATCCAATCGTCGCCTTTGTGCAAACTCTCTTTGCTAAAAAATATTTACAATTGTTTACATTATTCTTGTACACTGAATCTTGTTTATTTAAATCAAAAATAAATCTTCAATTTTTGCAAAGTTTAACATTTTTACCAGCTAGAGAAAATAAAAATTTCATTAGTTCTAAAACTAAAAGCCAAGTTATAGACAATCAGTGACAAAACTTATTTTTCTTGTAAAACATTTTGTCATTAATTTCATTGTTTTATTTATGTACATAATCATCATCCAAGGCAACTTCATATGTTATCAAGTCACTATTTCACTTATCTTTTCTATTCATGATTGAAAGTTTTTTACATTATATCTGTATCAGAGTTTAACTTTCAGAGTTCAAGTCCCTGTGATGGATTTATCTTCTGTTTGTACTGATTTGAAGTCTCTTTTAAGACTTGACCATCTGTTTGTATTTAAATGATCTGGCTTGATACAATGATAATGCTTTATGTACCCCATTGATCTTAGGCATCTTTGTCTTCATTACTGCCTTGATGAGACTTCTGGGGGGCGTCAGGGCCACCAAGATCCTCCACTCAGCACTTTTAGGAAACATTGTCAGGAGCCCCATGAGCTTCTTCGACACGACGCCATCAGGTCGCATTGTGAACCGCTTCAGCAAGGACGTTGACACCTTGGACTCTGTGATCCCCATGATCGTGGGCATGTTCTTGATGTGCGTGTTTCAGACCACCTCCACCATACTGGTCATCTCCATCTCCACGCCCATGTTTCTCATCTGTATCGTGCCTCTGCTAGTTTTCTACTACTTTGTTCAGGTACCAATCCTGCTGGAGTTTTCTCACTTAATTTTTTCTTGTGTAAAACACAGCAGATAAGTAGTCTAGTGCTCGGTGTTGTAGACTTAAGCTCATCTTAGTTTTTTTAGTAAGCTTTTCTAATGTTTTTATTTTTTGTTAATATGTTAGATTTGCCTAACACTTGCTTTGAGTTATTGTATTGATTTGACCAAAACAAACACATGAGATATATATAGCTCCAGCTTTTCACTTGAAGTAGTAATTTTATACCAAAAATCTGATCAAGGAAATATTTTTGCTTACTTCAAAAAGGGTTGCAAGAAATTGATCAAAATCCAGTTTACTTATTCTTGTTAAAGTACATAATGTGCATATATTTTGTGCTAAAAAGAATTTTTGTATTTCTTTCAATTAATTTTTCAACAGTACATGGCTGCTAAAAACACATATCTAACTTAGAACTAATATTTTTGCTTTACTAATAAATAGAGTAGTTAATCCATGCATGTCCCAGATTAATGTCAACTCCCTAGTTTAACATTTTAGATTGCATGATATTTAACTCGTTTAGGTTTAAAACCTTTCAATCATAACCTTTTTACTTTAGACAATCTTGTTTGTGACATCAGGAGTGGAACAGTGAGGGTGGGAGGAGGAAGGGGGGAAGAGTATGAGGGGAGAGAACTAATTTAACTTAAAAATTGTATTTCCACAAACAGCTCTGAACTTTAATACAGTGGATCAGCAGCCTGACTATTATAAAATCTTAATCCTCCTTGAGAAATTTTATAATCATAGAACGTTTTTGTGTGACTTCATTATGCTCACAGAAAGCTGATGTGTTACATCTAATACTTGAATGTTAATCTACTTTTATTTCTTCAGCAGTAAATCAGTTGTAGGTAGCACATGTCTGTATCCTACTTTGACTTCCTATAGTACCTCTTGATAAACACTTTCCTGTTTTGTTTTACATCCAACTAAAAGCTTAGTTTATTTAAAACTGCTTTAATTCTTTTTGACCCTAGACCAAAAGGAATATGTTTCTAAACATAATTAAAATGAAAAGAACAGCCATACTGAACATGATCCCTAAGCTACAATCTTTGTTTACAGCTTTAGCTATCCCCTGCATGACCAATCATGTATTCCTTTTATCTATTGCTTCATTGCATGTTTTGTAACAGTAGCTTTTTAGTATCCTCTAGAAGTGCTACCAAGGATAACTTAAACAACTAATACTTGGAAATTTTAAATTATTTCAACGATTTTTACCAGTTAAAAATTTAAAATGTAAGATAGGAATATGTAAATTGCTTTATTTCAGCAGCATTAAATTATTAATTGGCAGATTTTGTGAAAAATGATTCATATAAAGTGTACTAATGCAAAAGAATAACTATAGACTACTTGATACAAATTTTTGAAAAATAATTTTCAATTAAGATAATTTTACTTTACTAACTTTAATTTTAATAAAGCATGATTTTTTCCCCCATCAATAATTTTTTTTAATTAATCAAATAACTTTTAAGAGGCTTTCAGATGTACCAAAGTTTCTTAATTAAAAGTTTAAAAAGTTCAAAGCTCAGCTTAAAGAATCTTTTAAAATCAATGAATATAAGTGTAGATGAAGTCAGCTTCTAACAGAGTTGTGTTTCCCTATTTAGAGGTTTTATGTGGCCACGTCGAGGCAGCTGAAGCGCCTGGAGTCAATCAGCCGGTCCCCCATCTACTCCCACTTTGGTGAGACCATCACTGGGGCCATGACAATCAGGGCCTACGGGCAGGAGGAGCTTTTTGTCAAGGAATCTCAGAGGAAGGTGGACTTGAACCAGATGTCTTACTACCCTAGCATTGTGGCTAACAGGTCAGCATAACCCACAGTTGGCCTTCACCTTTGTTAGCCTTCACCTTGAAACTAGATTTATAAGAAGATCAGTTTTATTGAGGGACAAAGTTTCAAATTTTATAAATAAAAAACTCAGTTACCTATTGGCTTCTTTAAGCTAAATACCTTATGTGGTCTAATTGGAGTTCAGAAGTTGATTGATCTATTTGAAAAATTAGTTTTACTGATTGTTATTGGATTATTTTATTAATTAGTAGTTAGCCTGTAGTCGCTCTAGCGCACATGCCTCTGACAATATTCCAGGTAATTCTGTCTAGAGCTAGCTGTTTAACTATCTAATGAAATTGTACATTTCAGATGGCTGGCCATTCGTTTAGAAATTGTGGGCAACTTCATCATCTTCTTTGCCTCCTTGTTTGCTGTTATAGGTCGTAATGACCTGAGTCCAGGCATTGTGGGCTTATCTATAACCTACGCCATGAATGTAAGTAGTAACTTTTTCATATTTAAAAAAAAATAGTTTTGGCAGTATCATATTTCATTACCCAAATAGGTAATAAACTTTTGTTTTATTGATGAAATTTTAAGCAGCCAGTAAAAAAGGAATATATTTTAAAAGTAAAAATTCATTAAGATTTAGTGGTTCTAAAATCCCAGTGGTTTAGACATGCTGTTGCTAACCTCTTGTGGTCCATGTATGTTCCATCCAGGTAACTCAAACCTTGAACTGGCTAGTACGTATGACATGTGACCTGGAGACCAACATAGTGGCTGTGGAGAGGATCAAAGAGTACACAGAGACACCCACAGAGGTACGTGTTTGAGATCAGTCTTTTTCTTCTTCTTCTTCGTTCTTAATTATTAGTGTTGAAGGGGATCGAGATTTATCTGCCAGTGGGTTTGAACTCGAGACTTTGTTCGAATTTATCAACCATGAGCTTTTTGCCGACTCGACCACGCCTCCAACACAGTTAAGCGTTACGTGTCAACTGGTTATGCGCCATTGAGGCCATTGACTCCGATTTCAGCCTGCTTTTCTTTTTGGATTTGCTTCCATAGCCTTTGTCCAACCAAGAACAAACTACAAGGCAGCAGTTGTTTAATTTTGGAGTTGTCTCTCCTAGAAGAGTGGCTGTCCCTAGCTAACGAGCCTCATCTGCCCGAGGGTTCGAACTCGAGACTTTTTCGGTGTAGCAACCATGAGCTTTACCGACTCGACCACGCCGACCCCGAGATCAGTCAGATTGGCCACTTTAGTCCATATTTTCATGTATATGGTCACATGTTGCAACTGGCAACATTATTTTTTTAATGAGCAGAAAACTGATGTAAATGAGGATTTTTTTTTCTGTTGACATGAATTTCATATTCAATTTAAAAAAAAAATGTAATTTCTTATTAAAACATTTAAACATTGGAATTATTAAACGAAAAAGTTTTTTCTTTCAAAAGTAAAATGTCCTCTTTTTCTGTTACTTTCCAGGCTCCCTGGGTTATTGAGAGTAACCGGCCACAACCAGAGTGGCCAGATAAAGGTGTTGTGGAGTTCAAGGACTTGAAACTTCGCTACAGGGAAGGTCTTGACTTTGTGCTCAAGGGAATCAACTGTACTATTCAACCAGGGGAAAAGGTAACACTACCTGTTAACCAACAGTTGATGTTTTTTATCAGTTGTGAATAAGTAGTGTATAAGTAAAGTTAAACATTGTCTTTTATTGCTACTTTGTTACATATGAATTTTTATTAAATTGTTTACTGATTAATTTTGTTATGTTTGTAGGTGGGCATAATTGGTAGAACAGGGGCAGGTAAATCATCCTTGACGATTGCCCTTTTCCGTATCATTGAGGCAGCAGAAGGCAGCATATCAGTAGATGGCATTGATATATCAACCATAGGACTCCATGACTTGCGATCTAAGCTTACAATTATACCACAGGTACTAATTTTTTATTTTTTAGTACGGTTGTATTTAAATATATAAATATAATTGTTATTTAAAAATGTGCTTTCCATTAAAAAAAATTGTAGCAGTAATTAGTACTTAAGATTCAACTTATGTACGTTAGATTTCATATTACTTAAAAGCTCATTAAAATACAAATGAAAGCAACTGTCTCTTTTCTCACCCCAGGATCCAGTACTTTTCTCTGGCACACTGAGAATGAACCTTGACCCCTTTGAGACCCACACAGACGAGCAGATCTGGTCAGCACTGGAACACGCCCACCTCAAGTCTTTTGTGTCTGGGCTGGAGAAGGGGCTTCTGTTTGAGTGCTCTGAGGGTGGGGAAAATCTCAGGTAGGTGCACAGGTGGTTTTCTGAGGGTGGGGAGAATCTCAGGTAGGTGCACAGGTGGTTTTCTGAGGGTGGGGATAATCTCAGGTAGGTGCACAGGTGGTTTTCTGAGGGTGGGGAGAATCTCAGGTAGGTGCACAGGTGGTTTTCTGAGGGTGGGGATAATCTCAGGTAGGTGCACAGGTGGTTTTCTGAGGGTGGGGAAAATCTCAGGTAGGTGCACAGGTGGTTTTCTTAGGGTGGGGAGAATCTCAGGTAGGTGCATCTGTGTACAGGTGGTTTTCTAAGGGTGGGGAGAATCTCAGGTAGGTGCACAGGTGGTTTTCTTAGGGTGGGGAGAATCTCAGGTAGGTGCATCTATGTACAGGTGGTTTTCTAAGGGTAGGGAGAATCTCAGGTACCATAGAATTGTAAACATTTTAGTTTTAGTACAAAACATTTTAAAGATTTAGGTAAATAAATTTTTTTTATAAACCTATTGTGAGATATTTTGTTTCAGCACAAAAAAATAATTTTGAGATTAATTAATAAAATTGAGATAAGGACAAAATTAATAGATTTTTCAATGTTTAACTTTTATCACAAATACATGTTAAAATTAACTAATAAAATAGGTAAGAAAGATGTCATACACATTTTAAAATAGTAAAAATATATTTCTGTCTATGTGCTCACCTCAGTGTTGGACAGCGCCAGTTGGTGTGTCTGGCCCGCGCCCTGCTGCGTAAGACACAAGTTCTGATCCTGGACGAGGCCACGGCTGCTGTGGACCTGGAGACTGACGACCTGATTCAGGCCACCATCAGAAGTGAATTTGAGAAGTGCACGGTGCTGACAATAGCACACAGACTCAACACTATCATGGACTACACAAGGTAACTGGCAGACACCACACAACTACCAGCATGATACACTGCTTTCACAACTATTGTTTCTTCTATACCCATCAACTTTACTGCTCCTGTAATATGTAAATATACATTAAACATTATGGTCCATATGTTGAGATAAACAAGTCAGTCTATAACTATAACATATGAGGATGAAATGTAGATTGTGTCTGTGTGGTCAGAACTCTGTCCAGCTGGCTTTCCTCTCCTATCTAAGGGACTGAGTTTGGTGGATGTACTGTGATGAACTGAATCACATCCTCGCTTGCTGCTGCTATTTCCATGATTAACATTCCATTTTTTTTTTATACCTTACTATGTTTTAGTAATCAACTTGTATTATGACTGTTATTTCTGTTGCAGGATAATGGTTTTGGACGCTGGTAGAATCAAAGAGTTCAACGACCCTAAAGTCCTGCTACAAGATCACAGCAGCACATTTTACAGCATGGCTAAAGATGCAGGTTTAGCCTAATCTACTTTTGGCCAATCTCAGTCTCATTTCACTTTTTAGTTAACATTTTTCCTGTTGTGAGTACATGTTTTTTTTCATGGACCCTTGGATGTATATTTTTTTTTACTAAAGAGTAGATGAAATTTATCTGCAAATTGAAGTTGTGAAATCCATTCTTTAAAGATATCAAATTTTGTTTTTGTATATAGATATAAAAAATACTTTCACTAAAACCTTTTTGGTACCTTGCCTTGTATATTTGAGGCAGCTCAGTTGAAGAAAAATGCTAATTTTATAATCTCATCTCCAAAAATTCTCCCCTCTCAGTGTGCACTGGTACTTATACAAATGTGCCATGTTTGTAAAGATATTTATTTTTCTTTCTTGAAGGATAGCACAGCATCTACCTAGCTATGTAAAGGTCTAAGCAATATTTTACACTTTAAACCAAGCTACTCTAGTCATTTAGAGTTTGTTTTACTTATACTTTAAGTAACTTATCATTTTACATTTTTTAAAATACATTTACTTTAGTACAAACAGATAAGATTTCATTGTTAATTGTTGACATAGGTAACAATTTATTTTTTTAATTTAATTGATGTTTTTATGGTGGTAGGATATACTTAAATTTATAATTGACATGGATAACAATGATATAATGTCACAATTTTATATATATATATTTATATAATGAAACATGACCATGGGTTTATTAATACATAATTTAGCAAAGATAATTTTCTAAATTAAAATTGTTGAATAAGTTACAACAATGTTGTTGTTTCTGACATAGGGCTTGGTGTAAATATGCTATAAATATCTTGCTAAGTTTACAACTCAATGACAAATATGACAGCAGCTTTATATATACAATCACCCTATGTATAAATGGTGGTGACCGCTATTGTTCTATTGTGATGTATGGCGGCTTATGTACAACTGTAAGGACACCATGACTAAATGTTAGCTGTGGGGGTGGAGGCATCAGTCTTGTCAGAAATGAATATCTTGCCTGTAAATGCTTGCCCTTACCATAGTGTGTTCCCCCTAAACTTACAATTGATTAGGTAGGTAGGATATTAAAGCAAGTAGTCTTTTTGAACAAAACCATCATCATACGTTAACGCTGGTTATTTAATTTAATATTCACTTGGATGTAGTGCATGATTTTTTAAATTGTTTTACATATGTTAATCACATATAATCATTGAATACTTTTCTTGTGGGACTTAGTCCATGCATAATATTCCTCCACACATTATTTTATAGAAACATTCAGGTTTTGTAAGCTGGGTCTATAATGTGTCTAACTGTAAACATGTGTGTTGAGGGTTTTGAGTAGCAGAAAGTACAATGTGTTGATGCTTAGCTTGCTGGGTCTAATGTGTTTAGGCTTAGCTTGGTGGGTCTAATGTGTTTAGGTTTATCTAACTTGGGCTAATGTGTTTAGGTTTATCTAACTTGGGCTAATGTGTTTAGGTTTAGCTATCTGGGTCAAATGTGTTTAGGTTTATATTACTGGGCCTACATGTGTTTAGTTAGCCTTATACAACTGTTCAACTGCCACTGAGCATTGATATTATAACAGTCAAATATTTTTACATCGTGTCACATTTATTTTATCAAATTTGCACAAATTTGGTAGTCAGATTAGATTTTAAATAAAAATTATTCAAATAAATGTGTGTAATAAAATTGTGTTTATTTTTGATTGAGCAATTTCATGTGACTGACAAATGGATGCAATATTATATGCAATAAAATGAAGAAATGTTTTTTTTTTTTTAAATATTAGGACTTTTTTTTTACAACTTTACGTTTGTTGTCATAATTCTAAATACAAATATAACATGCTAGCTACTGCCTGGGTTGAAAGCAACTTTTTAAAATGATGTAACCAGGATATGACCAGAACTGTTGGAATAATACTGTTTGTTAATGAAAATGTCTTATGTTAGATAGATTTTATAATTTAATATCACAACAGGGTACATTTTTATAGTTTTATACATAAAAATAAACTGGACTGTTCAGTTAGCTTTTATTATTCTGCTTTTTAAAAAAAAATCTTTTATTGGAAATTTTGGAACTCAGATTTAAAAAAAATGTATCAGGCTTTAACAAAAGCTTAGTTTTTATTGTTTTAATTTTTTTTTTTGCTTGTAAGTAATTATTTTCTGTTGTTTTAAATCTTGGTTTTTAATGGATTGTTCTGTGCTTGTTTTGATTCTATTTTCTATTAATTTCTCAGCTAATCTTCCTGTTGATGTTACATTTTTTTACCATGAGATTTACTTTTATTTTTCTATATTTTCTTTAGTTTTGCTTATATTTCTGGAAGAATTTTATTTGAATTTTTTTTTTCTTTTAATTTGGTTGAGGCAATACATGTTTGCTGTATTCATTGTTGTACTTCATTATCATTCATTCATTGTTGTTTGTTGGGTAAGGTAAGCATTGTTTGTTGTACTTTATGTGCTCAGTGTTGTATTGTATAAAAATCATTCATCATTCATTTTTTAAAAATTACTTTTTAAATTCTAGGATGTTTAATATTTAACATAATGATAGTGCATTATTGGATTTCAATCTTAGTATCATTTATTGTTATATATTTTAAATAAAATATATATTTTAAATAAAATATATAGATTTATTCAAATACAATTCTTTTTTTAAGTTTAAATTTGTAGATAGAGTAACTAATTCTTTAGAAATTAACTATTACAGATTTAAACCAAAGATATTTTAATACTGCAGACAAGGGACATTATTCAGATGTAACATTCCATGCTGCATATTTTTGTCTATAAAATGAAGATAATGTTCTTCATGAGGTGGTATATATTTCTTATCATATCAAGTTTATTTTATTGTTGCTAATAGTTGTTTTTTTTTTTTCACTTTCCGGTACAACTCGTTTTTAATAACTAGTCTTAACATTAAAAAAATGTATCAACTGCAAGCAAATAAGTCACTCAGTTAATTATTTACCCTATTTAAAAATCACCTTCACAAATTATACCCTGAGCAGCAATCGCTAAGTATATTGTTATTTCATTAGGGATAATCTGTAGAAGATTTCAATGTTTGTTCCCGGTATTTTATTTCATTGTTTGACCAATGTACAATTGTTACACTTTTTTTAAAAAAGTTTCTAATGATCACTCATTATTTTTAAAAAGTAATAATACTTTTTTTTAAAATTGTTGATTCCATTTTCTGAAATAATTATTATAACAGCTGGTTTTTTTGGTCTGGTTTTAGTTTTTTTTTTTTAGCTTTAGTCAGTATATCTGGGTATAACCTGTTTTTTAGCTGTAGTCAGTATACTGAGGTTTTTAGCTTTAGTCCTCGGGATAACCAGTTTTTAGATGTAGTTGGTATGCCTGGGTATAACCTGGTTTTTAACTGGTCAGTATACCTGGGTGTAACCTGGTTTTTAACTGTAGTCAATATACCTAGGTATAACCTGTTTTTTTTTAGCTTTAGTCAGAATACCTGGGTATAATACTTGGGTTTTTAGCTGTAGTCAGTATACCTGGGTATAACCTGTTTTTTTTTAGCTTTAGTTAGTATACCTGGGTATAATACTTGGGTTTTTTAGCTGTAGTCATTATACTGAGTTTTTTTTAGCTGTAGTCCTCAGTATAACCAGATTGTTTAGCTGTGGTCAGCTGTGGGTATAACCAGATTTTAAGTGAATAAACCCTCTATATAGGACTATTATTTGGCCTTCCCTGTCTCAAATATTTCTACTATTAGTGTGGTTAAAATTTTTTTTGTTCAATTTAACTTTACATTTTTGTGACAATCCTGGTTAAGATGTTTGAAAATGTATCCCTTTATTACATTTGCGTTGCTTGTTTAATTTATTTAAAGCACAATTAAAAAAAAAAAATTCCCATGCACAAATTCACCTTTTTTTGTAGCTGCCTGTAGTGTTGTGTGATGGATTTATTAGATTTCTGGTTCTAGATTCATTCCTGTGCCACAGATTATAATAAAAATATCTCTTCCATAAAAATAGTTTTTAACAAAAATTAACATTGTTCCTTCATTTTTTTAATCGACTTTTTGAAACATTCTCTCTGTTGTTGTGTCATATAACCATATAATCATTATAATAATACAAATCATCACAATGTTGCCACAGTATAGAAATAGTTTCCTGCCTGCGTAGATTTGAGGTGTGTGGTAAAATCAGGCTTGGCTTACCTGATACTGTTAGGGTTATGGTACACGCATTGTGACAGGCTCGACGTACCTGATACTGTTGGGGTTATGGTACACGCATCGCGACAGGCTCGACGTACCTGATACTGTTAGGGTTATGGTACACGCATCGCGACAGGCTCGACGTACCTGAAACTGTTAGGGTTATGGTACACGCATCGCGACAGGCTCGACGTACCTGATACTGTTAGGGTTATGGTACACGCATCGCGACAGGCTCGACGTACCTGATACTGTTAGGGTTATGGTACACGCATCGCGACAGGCTCGACGTACCTGATACTGTTAGGGTTATGGTACACGCATCGCGACAGGCTCGACTTACCTGATACTGTTAGGGTTATGGTACACGCATCGCGACAGGCTCGACTTACCTGATACTGTTAGGGTTATGGTACACGCATTGTGACAGGCTCGACGTACCTGATACTGTTAGGGTTATGGTACACGCATCGCGACAGGCTCGACTTACCTGATACTGTTAGGGTTATGGTACACGCATCGCGACAGGCTCGACTTACCTGATACTGTTAGGGTTATGGTACACGCATCGCGACAGGCTCGACGTACCTGATACTGTTGGGGTTATGGTACACGCATCGCGACAGGCTCGACGTACCTGATACTGTTAGGGTTATGGTACACGCATCGCGACAGGCTCGACGTACCTGATACTGTTAGGGTTATGGTACACGCATCGCGACAGGCTCGACGTACCTGATACTGTTAGGGTTATGGTACACGCATCGCGACAGGCTCGACTTACCTGATACTGTTAGGGTTATGGTACACGCATCGCGACAGGCTCGACGTACCTGATACTGTTAGGGTTATGGTACACGCATCGCGACAGGCTCGACGTACCTGATACTGTTAGGGTTATGGTACACGCATCGCGACAGGCTCGACGTACCTGAAACTGTTGGGGTTATGGTACACGCATCGCGACAGGCTCGACGTACCTGATACTGTTAGGGTTATGGTACACGCATCGCGACAGGCTCGACGTACCTGATACTGTTAGGGTTATGGTACACGCATCGCGACAGGCTCGACGTACCTGATACTGTTTGGGTTATGGTACACGCATCGCGACAGGCTCGACGTACCTGAAACTGTTGGGGTTATGGTACACGCATCGCAACAGGCTCGACGTACCTGATACTGTTAGGGTTATGGTACACGCATCGCGACAGGCTCGACGTACCTGATACTGTTAGGGTTATGGTACACGCATCGCGACAGGCTCGACGTACCTGATACTGTTAGGGTTATGGTACACGCATCGCGACAGGCTCGACGTACCTGAAACTGTTGGGGTTATGGTACACGCATCGCAACAGGCTCGACGTACCTGATACTGTTAGGGTTATGGTACACGCATCGCGACAGGCTCGACGTACCTGAAACTGTTAGGGTTATGGTACACGCATCGCGACAGGCTCGACGTACCTGATACTGTTAGGGTTATGGTACACGCATTGTGACAGGCTCGACGTACCTGATACTGTTAGGGTTATGGTACACGCATTGTGACAGGCTCGACGTACCTGATACTGTTAGGGTTATGGTACACGCATCGCAACAGGCTCGACTTACCTGATACTGTTGGGGTTATGGTACACGCATCGCGACAGGCTCGACGTACCTGATACTGTTGGGGTTATGGTACACGCATCGCGACAGGCTCGACGTACCTGATACTGTTAGGGTTATGGTACATGCATTGTGACAGGCTCGACGTACCTGATACTGTTAGGGTTATGGTACACGCATTGTGACAGGCTCGACGTACCTGATACTGTTAGGGTTATGGTACACGCATTGTGACAGGCTCGACGTACCTGATACTGTTAGGGTTATGGTACACGCATTGTGACAGGCTCGACGTACCTGATACTGTTAGGGTTATGGTACACGCATTGTGACAGGCTCGACGTACCTGATACTGTTAGGGTTATGGTACACGCATCGCAACAGGCTCGACTTACCTGATACTGTTGGGGTTATGGTACACGCATCGCGACAGGCTCGACGTACCTGATACTGTTAGGGTTATGGTACACGCATTGTGACAGGCTCGACTTACCTGATACTGTTGGGGTTATGGTACACGCATCGCGACAGGCTCGACGTACCTGATACTGTTGGGGTTATGGTACACGCATCGCGACAGGCTCGACGTACCTGATACTGTTAGGGTTATGGTACACGCATCGCGACAGGCTCGACGTACCTGATACTGTTGGGGTTATGGTACACGCATCGCGACAGGCTCGACGTACCTGATACTGTTGGGGTTATGGTACACGCATCGCAACAGGCTCGACGTACCTGATACTGTTAGGGTTATGGTACACGCATCGCAACAGGCTCGACGTACCTGATACTGTTGGGGTTATGGTACACGCATCGCGACAGGCTCGACGTACCTGATACTGTTAGGGTTATGGTACACGCATCGCGACAGGCTCGACGTACCTGATACTGTTAGGGTTATGGTACACGCATCGCAACAGGCTCGACTTACCTGATACTGTTAGGGTTATGGTACACGCATTGTGACAGGCTCGACTTACCTGATACTGTTGGGGTTATGGTACACGCATCGCGACAGGCTCGACTTGCCTGATACTGTTAGGGTTATGGTACACGCATTGTGACAGGCTCGACTTACCTGATACTGTTGGGGTTATGGTACACGCATCGCGACAGGCTCGACTTGCCTGATACTGTTAGGGTTATGGTGCAAGCGACACAGCTGATGCCACGTTGTATAAGTAACTCCTTGTCCGTAGGTCCATCAGCTGTGTGTAGAAAGGGGTACGATACAGGCAATCTCAGGAGAGTCGAATCCTGGTCGCTCAAGATTTTTAGTCCGTGTATTTATAAACACTTAGTCAAGTCATACTTAATCAAGTCATTAGATAAAGTAAAAAATAAACTATATAAAAAACTTTTTTAAAAACCACGTTTTTCATGTGTAGCAACGGACTAAAAAGGAGAAAATAAAATACTTAAAAAAAACTTTTTAAAAAACCACGTTTTTCTTGTGGACTAAAAAGTAGAAAATAAATTTTCATACATTTGATGACAAAAAACGTGGGTCGGGCAGATGGGTCGGGAAATTTGATGGTGAACGTACCCACGTTTTTTGTCATCAAATGTATGAAAATTAATTTTCTACTTTTTAGTCCACAAGAAAAACGTGGTTTTTTAAAAAGTTTTTTTTAAGTATTTTATTTTGTCTTGTTTTAAAGATGGAAGAGAAAGTATGTATCTACACTTTTTATATAGCAAATACAAATTAATTTAAAATGTCTGCATGGTAATATATAATATTATTGTTTCCTTTCTTTTTGCGTAGATAGGTTTTGTTTATCAATATTTCAAATTTAAATTGATAACGAATGATTATTTGCTAATAAATAATGTTAACATTTTTCGGGTAAGTAGCATTCGGGCATTTGTCGCATTCGGGCAAGTGTCCATTCGGGCATTTGTCGCATTCGGGCAAGTGTCTTTCGGGAATTTGTCGTAGACCCCTAGAATATGAGGGTGTTGCACCTATCCCGTTGTATGATCATGGTTAAACGGTTATGTTTTTGTATTTATGGTGCGGGCGGTACAGTATTTTGTTCTGTAGGCAAGATTTTAAACTGCTGTGTAGGAGGCGGTGGCATCTCATTAATATTTTAAAATATTCTTTCCAACAAAAGGCTACTGAGATTTTAAAAACAGTTTCTTTTTTATAAAACTTAGATCGCTACTGATCTAAGGTGTCACTGAGATATGCAGCTCTTTTAACAGTACTCCCCTATACCCACCCGCCTATTCAGTCGAAC